ACAAACAATTAATATGGCTGTATATATTAGGGCCAACAATAATTTAAAATGAGTGTATATATCAGGGCTAACAAACAATTAATATGGCTGTATATATTAGGGCCAACAATAATTTAAAATGTGTGTATATATCAGGGCCAACAAACAAATAATATGGCTGTATATATTAGGGCCAACAATGATTTAATACGACTGTATATATTAGGACCAACACTCAATAAATATGAGTGTATATATCAGGGCCCACACTCAATCAATATGACTATAAATTAGGACCAACACTCAATTAATATGACTGTATATATCACGGCCAACACTCAATCAATATGACTGTATATGCAGGGCCAACACTCTATCAATATGACTGTACATGTCAGGGCCAACATAGGGCAAATCAACACCCAATTAATATGACTGTATATATCAGGGCCCACACTCAATGAATATGACTGTATATATCAGGGCCCACACTCAATTAATATGACTGTACATATCAGGGCCCACACTCAATCAATATGACTGTATATAAAGGCCAACACTCAATCGATATGACTGTATATACATATATGACTGTATATGTTAGGGCCAACATAGGGAAAATCAACACCCAATTAATATGACTGTATATATTAGGGCTCAATAATTTAAAATGAGTGAATATATCACGGCTAACAAACAATTAATACGGCTGTGTATATTAGGGCCAACAATAATTTAATACGACTGTATATATTAGGACCAATGCTCAATCGATATGACTGTATATACAGGGCCAACACTCAATCAATAAGACTGTATATACAGTGCCAACACTCAATCAATATGACTGTATATGTTAGGGCCAACATAGGGAAAATCAACACCCAATTAATATATTAGGACCAACGCTCAGTGAATATGACTGTATATATCAGGGCCCACGCTCAATCAATATGACTGTATACATCAGGGCCAACGCTCAATCAACACGACTGAATACATCAAGGCCAACACTCAGTCAATATGACTGTATACATCAGGGCCAACACTCAATCAATATGACTGTATACACAGGGCCAACACTCAATCAATATGGCTGTATATACAGGGCCAAAACTCAATCAATATGACTGTTTACACAGGGCCAACATGTACTGGCATGTATAGTTGATGGTTGAACATGTAGTGGCATGTATAGCTGATGGTTGAACATGTAGTGGCATCAATATGACTGTAGATGTTAGGGCCAACACTCAATCAATATGACTGTATATACAGTGCCAACACTCAATCAATATGACTGTATATGTTAGGGCCAACACTCAATTAATATGGCTGTATACACAGGGCCAACACTCAATCAATATGGCTGTATATACAGGGCCAACACTCAATCAATATGACTGTTTACACAGGGCCAACATGTACTGGCATGTATAGTTGATGGTTGAACATGTACCGGAATGTATAGCTGATGGTTGAACATGTAGTGGCATGTATAGCTGATGGTTGAACATGTAGTGGCATGTATAGCTGATGGTTGAACATGTAGTGGCATGTATAGCTGATGGTTGAACATGTAGTGGCATGTATAGCTGATGGTTGAACATGTAGTGGCATGTATAGCTGATGGTTGAACATGTAGTGGCATGTATAGCTGATGGTTGAACATGTAGTGGCATGTATAGCTGATGGTTGAACATGTAGTGGCATGTATAGTTGATGGTTGAACATGTAGTGGCATGTATAGTTGATGGTTGAACATGTAGTGGCATGTTTAGCTGATGGCTGAACCTGCTGTAACCCTGATGTGAACTTTGCATTTCGTACAGACCGAGCTGAACGAAGAACTGGCTGGAGAACTGATCAGTCATTACGTATAGACTATACACGCATCTATCGCGATTCACAACAACATCGGGGCGGTCGGGTAGCCTAGTGGTTTAAGCGTTCGCTCGTCACGCTGAAGACCCGGGTTCGATTCCCGACATGGGTATAATGTGTGAAGCCCATTTCTGGTGTCCCCCGCCGTGATATTGCTGGAATATTGCTAAAAGCGGCGTAAAACCATACTCACTCACTCACTCACTCACAACAACATCCTTGACAGTGATGGCTGTACGCGAAGCCCCGAGTTATTATAAGCTGCGGTTCTAGTGTACAGTGCTACACAAACAAATACAGAGGGTAAGTACTACCTACATGTTCACAGCCATCCGTCGGAGGGTTTCACAGGCATTTGCATCAGTCATACAGACATGCCCCTTTCACCTGTTCACTCCCCTGTTATCTTCACCTGTAACAATAGTGAGTGAGTATGGTTTTACGCCGCGTTTAGCAATATTCCATCAATATCACGACGGAGAACACCAGAAATGGGCTTCACACATTGTACCCATGTCTGGAATCGAACCCGGGTCTTCGGCGTGACGAGCGAACGCTTAAACCACTGGGCTACCCGACCGCTCCAGAGTCTGTTGGATGATTGTTAGTCTGTCTTATAGACCCTGATACAAATATATATCAAATACAGCCCATGCAAGTCTATAATGTTTGGCAAGTCTAGATTCCTGCAGAGTCACTGGGCTCCCTTTTATTATATTTTTATTAAGATAACTGAACAACTGTTTTGTCTGTACGATATGTTCATTTCAAGGACCAGATGTTAGTCTAGATGATTGTAGACACTAATTATCGAGAAAGGGTCAGTTCCAGCCTCGCAGGGAAACGAACCAGCGTCTTTGGCGTAGAAACACCATGAACCAGGAGATCACGTTACCGAATTTATTCTTAAATGGAACAAATATGTCTCACGGAAGACACGTTTGGGTGTATAAGCTGTGACAACACAGTGGGTGCTTGTAGGGTTCAATGTTGAACGTGAATCTTCACAACGTTGAAAGGGGAAAGCTGAGCTAGATTTCTGATTTCTCGCATTTTTGTTTTCTGATGAGATACACATTATGAGTCATGCAAAAACAAGTTGTCCTTATCTTATTTTGTTGAGCATGTGTTAGACTAACATCTAGTCTGAAATGAACAAATCTTTCAGAAAAAAACAGTTGTTTAATTATCTTAATAAAAATATAATAAAAAGGAGCCAGTAGACTCTTCATTTTCATACTGCAGTAACCTAGACTTGCCAAACAATATAGACTTGCATGGGCTGTATTGGATATATTTGTATCAGGGTCTGTGTGACTGACAAAGTATGTGTGTTTGTAAATATTCCTTGCCTCCTGTCTTATTTCTATAAGGTCAGTGATGACTAACTCGTATCTATTTCAGAATTTCTATCGGAAGGAAAAAGAGAAAACTCATGTTTTTGCCGAGAACTTCAGTTTAGTTTTCTCGTTTTAGCGAGATAGAATTATTTAAAATAATTACAATACACTACCATAAAAACAGGGAAACTATTGCACTAATAAAATAATGAGGCCTTATACCGTTAAGCGTATATCAGCATCAGAACCCGAGAAGATCCGGGGTAGAATAGGTCTTTGCAATCCATGCTTGTCGTAAGAGGCGACTAACGGGATCGGATGGTCAGGCTTGCTGACTTGGTTGATGCATGTCATCGATCCCAATTGGATTGTCTGGTCCATACTCGATTATTTACAGACCGCCGTCATGTAGCTGGAATATTGCTGAGTGCGGCGTTAAACAACAAACCAACCGACCAAACACCTGTGTGTGTTGCAGTGCTGTGGAGGAACACGTTGAATTATGTGACGAACCTTCGCTCAAAGGGAAGTAACTGCATGCCAAATACAGCTTCGTTCAATACATTTTAGAGCAGGGTTTGTCTGACGTATGTCAGTTCGTAAACTATTCGGTTGAACAGGCTTGATTGCGCTGGACCATGCACTGTGTGAGATTTGTGAAACCTTTACTATACAACTTGTGGCCACGACTAATGTGTGACTTTTACAATTTTACTATACATCTGTTGTACTGTTCTGCCTCAACCGATCTGTGTGACGTCTACTATGTTACTATACAACTGTTAAACTGTGTGGTCTAGGCCGATCTGTGTGACGTCTACTTTCTTACTGTACAACTGTTGAACTGTGTGGTCTAGACCGATCTGTGTGACGTCTACTATCTTACTGTACAACTGTTGAACTGTGTGGTCTAGACCGATGTGTGTGGCGTCTACTATCTTACTGTACAACTGTTAAACTGTGTAGTCTAGACCGATCTGTGTGACGTCTACTTTCTTACTGTACAACTGTTGAACTTTGTGGTCTAGACCGATCTGTGTGAAGTCTACTATCTTACTATACAACTGTTGAACTGTGTGGTCTAGGTCGATGTGTGTGACGTCTACTATCTTACTGTACAACTGTTGAACTGTGCGGTCTAGACCGATCCGTGTGACGTCTACTATCTTACTATACAACTGTTGAACTGTGTGGTCTAGACCGATCTGTGTGAAGTCTACTATCTTACTGTACAACTGTTGAACTGTGTGGTCTAGACCGATGTGTGTGACGTCTACTATCTTACTATACAACTGTCGAACTGTGTGGTCTAGACCGATCCGTGTGACGTCTACTATCTTACTGTACAACTGTTGAACTGTGTGGTCTAGACCGATGTGCGTGACGTCTACTATCTTACTATACAACTGTTGAACTGTGTGGTCTAGGTCGATGTGTGTGACGTCTACTATCTTACTATACAACTGTTGAACTGTGTGGTCTAAACCGATGTATGTGACCCTTCCTATGAAACTTTGACGAGTAGGCAGGTAATATATGGAACTTTAAATTAAATAATATATGCATTAAGAAACGGACCATTTTGGTATTTTTAGGAGGTATTTTTCTTTCTAAGCAAGTTAATATAATTGTCATGTAATTCGGCATCGTGGTCTTTGCTTTATCCAAAAGGGAAATTGATTTATTTTCTGACTGTATTTCTTCCTGTCTCCTCTCCAAGGAGGCAATACTGACCTGGAGGGAGTGATGTAACCACCTAACACAATAGCGACGCGGGAAATGACCCATATTGGACAACACAAGTATGGTTAGACATGTTAAATTACTTTCAACTGCGCAGAATAGGTTGTGTCCTGCTTATACACAGATTACCAGCTTTTATAATTTGACACGGACTGGATGAGACAAAATACAGTAAGTATATTATAAATTCAATAGGTGTGACCTTGTTTGTCTCTGATGACATCCTCATCAACATACTCTGACCGTTTGCACAAGCAAACTGTCTGGGAGGACACTGACTTGTAAACAGTGAAGCCATGTTTATATGGACGTACGTATGTGGTGTCCCCAGCTGTGATATTGCTGGAATATTGCTAAAAGCGCACACGCACGCACAGACACACACACATACGTTTCCTACAATCTATACTACGTTAAACAAGTATGGGAACACCCACTATTTAGCATATATTTCAGTAAAAGTAAAATTTACTGTACAGTCATGAAGTGATACGAAGTCTAGTGGTGCATGTTGTTTGTTTGTTTGTTTGTTGTTGAACGCCGCACTCAGCAATATTCCAGCTATATGACTGCGGTCTGTAAATAATCGAGTCTGGGCCAGACAATCCAGTGATGACATCATGAGCATCGATCCACGCAATTGGGATCGATGACATGCATCAACCAAGTCAGCCAGCCTGACCACCCGATCCCGTTAGTCGCCTCTTACAGCAAGCATAGTTGCCTTTTACAGCAAGCATGGGTTGCTGAAGACCTATTCTACCCCGGATCTTCACGGGTGTAGTAGTGCGTGTGGAACATTGCAGAGGTAACGTAAGCAGACATGCAGCTACAACCCTGAGGGAAACCATATTGGTTGCGTTTGGGCGACAGTCCAAATGACAGAAAACACGTGGAAATGTTATTGAATGCAAGCGTGACCATTGTCACACGATGGTGTCTGCCACCCAAATAAAACTTTCCACGTACGCGACGTGATTCCTGTGCAGTCACTGCACACACGAGTTTAAAAGCTGAGGAAGCAGAAATTTGTCAATGTTCAGTTTTGCATTTTATCGAAGCAAGGGAGTTAACTGACAGTCCAGTTTCCACCCTTGCCGAACTAGGATGGAATTCCGGAGTTTCATTTTGCCTTGACTAACGAGTATAGTCCAATCAAAATCGCGAAACGAACTAGACACCCGGTTCGTGAACAACATGGATTTCAACATGGAATTTTCGGTCAACTGAAGGATTTGCAAAGCATTTGTACCGCCAACTGGACGTTGATAGATATTTGGCAAATCTTTTCATGTTTTTAATCAAGGTGCTCAAGTGATTTGCTGCACTTTGTGAGGTAAAAGACCGTTTTATGACAATATAGATCTTGATTATCGATGAGATCGTCTTGACTTGGCGTCGCCATTTTGTTTGAAGCAATTGCAGGTGATATAAGAGGTGGAATCTGATTGGTCAATAGGAGGGGCATAGAGGGGACATAACTCTAAATAGCCACTGGTGGCTCTACGATCGAGCCTGGAAATTCCAGCCTAGTTCGGCAAGGAAGGAAACTGGACTTTTGGTTAACGCCCTTGACTCGGGAAGATGGCCGTCATGGTACGAAGAACCCTAAGTGCTGTTGATCGTGGACGGGCGATTGCATGGCTTCTGGATGATGTAGCCATACGAGAAGTCGCAAGACGCCTTCAGAGGTCATCATCTGTGATCCATCGTCTGTGGGAACGTTTTCGGTCAACAGGTAGTGTACAGGACCGACCACGTTCAGGCAGAACCACATCAAGGGTCGATGTTCGTTACATCGTTGTGATGGCCTCACGTCAGATTCATCACCGCCAATGCACTTCGACTTCGACATGCCACACATGTGAACGTCAGTGAACAAACAATTCCCAACCGTCTGCGAGCCGCTGGTATCCGTAGTAGACGTCTTGCTGCTAGGACCCCTCCTCCCTTCCCGTCTTCAACGTCACAGAGCAGCCCGTCTTGCATGGTGTCGTGCCCATCAGCGTCGGAATCGTCAGGACTGGTCACGTGTATTGTTTTCGGACGAGTCTCGATTCAGTTTGCAGAATCAAGATGGCCGTATCCGTGTGTTCAGAAGGCGAGATGTAGGTTTCCATGAGGCGACGGTCCGTGAACGTGACGGGATTTGGCGGAGGGTCAGTCATAGTGTCAAGGGGCATCAGTTTGCATCACTTGACCCCCTATTCATGGCAATCAGACTGGTATCTGATATACGGATGAGGTTATTGGACTCTTTATGATTTGACCGCCTCCGTGGTCTAGTGGTAGAGCGTCCGCCCGGAAAGCGGAAGGTCCCGGGTTCGATCCCCATCCGCGTCATACCTAAAGACGTTAAAAGATGGTACTTGTTGTTACCCTGTCTGGCGCTCGGCATTAAGGGGCTTAAACAAGGACTGGTCGGCTCGGAGTCAGTATACTGTGTCTGAGTGGGGTATTCATGTTAAACTGCGGCATGGTATCTCAGTGAGCTAGCACTATAAATCGGCATCAGTCCGGACTAGTACAAGCAGCCACACAAACACACACACGTACATGCACATCGCTATATAAGTGCAATAATCTTGGACGCGACGTTAAACCCCATTTCACCTCACCTCACCCCTTTATGATTTCGTCTCTCTACGCCATTGGACCTGGTGACATGTTGCAGGATGATTCTGCCAGGCCACAGCGTGCACGTGTTGTCACAGACTTTGTCACTCAGAGGGGCGTTTGGCGAATGCAGTGGCCAGCATATTCCCCTGACCTCGCCCCAAATTGAACTTGTTTGGGACATTTTGGGACGACGTGTTCGCGATATCCATACTCCGCCTGCAAACCTGAAACAGCTAGTCGGATTCCTTTAGCAAATATGGTTTTACGCCGTTTTTAGCAATATTCCAGCAATATCACGGCGGGGGACACCAGAAATGGGCCTCACACATTCTACCCATGTTGGGAATCGAACCCGGGTCTCCTGCGTGACGAGCGAGCGCTTTAACCACTAGACTACCCGACCGCCCCTCCTTCAGCAGGAATCCCAGGCAATGCCGCGGGCTACATTGCGGGCACATGTCATGATCAGGTCAATGAGAGCTCGATGTGCAGAGTGCGTCAGGTACCGGGGCGGTCACACCCATTATTGACTGTGTGTACTGGCGTGTGACTTTTCAAAATGACCCCTCACACTTTCCGCTCAACATAGGGGTATTGTTCCATTTGTTTACTGGTGTCTGATCAGAAAGATTCATCCATTAAATGCCACTATCTGAAACTACCCAATGTGTTCTGGTTGTCTTTGTTGTCTTTGAGATACGATGGAAATATGGTGAGTGAGTGAGTATGGTTTTACGCCGCTTTTAGCAATATCACGGCGGGGGACACCAGAAATGGGCTTCACACATTGTATCCATGTGGGAAATCGACGTCTTAGGCGTGACTAGCGAACACTTTAACCACTAGGCTACCCGACCGCCCCTGGGAATATAGGGTGTTTCCTCATTTGTTTGACGTCTTATAGTAAGTGTAGTACATCTCCGCCCCATGTATCTTAATGGTTATGTAATTATATCAACTGAATAAAAGATAAAAGGCGCAATAGGTTGAATATACTTCTTATATATAATATTGTCATTGTGTTTGTGTTTGTTTCAGGAAATCTAAACTAAAACCTACAGAAAGTCCGACTGACATGGAAAAGAATGTGTGACTAATCATAACCTGACACTTACTCCGGATGCAATGAATCAGGCACAGCCTGAATTGTGGGGCGAAATATCTTCCTCATCAGTTCACGGTTCAAAAACACACACGCAGTCACACTCAACTTGTGCACCTATTTCCAGTGAGTAGCATAAACCGACGAGCACAATGGGAGATAGCCCAGATGAGAGTGATGACGATATTGCCCAGAGACACATCCTCCTCCCCTGGGTGCCCTCCGCAAGGACAGCAGCAAGTCCCTTCCTTGCCGCCGCAGAACTTACCGGCATCAAAAGACGATGGTCTAAAAGTGACAGATGTTGCATACACCACATGCCATCTCCATATGAACCAAAAAGTCGAGATTCATCAGTACCAAGCATTGATCAAACCACGTCATATGGGACACCTGCAGAAGGAGACGTACCTGAATCAAGCGTTGATCAAACCACGTCATATGGGACACCTGCAGAAAGAGAGGCGCCTGAATCAAGCGTTGATCAAACCACGTCATATGGGACACCTGCAGAAGAAGACGCACCTGGATCAAGCGTTGATCAAACCACGTCATATGGGACACATGCAGTAAGAGATGCACCTGAACCAAGCGTTGATCAAACCACGTCATATGGGACACATGCAGAAGGAGACGCACCTGAATCAAGCGTTGATGAAACCACATCATATGGGACACCTGCAGAAAGAGACGCACCTGAATCAAGCGTTGATCAAACCACCTCATATGGGACATCTGCAGGAAGAGACGCACCTGAACCAAGCGTTGGTCAAACCACGTCATATGGGACACCTGCAGAAGGAGACGCACCTGAATCAAGCGTTGATCAAAAGACATCGCACGGGGCACCTGCCGGAAGAGGCGCACCTGAATCAAGCGTTGATGAAACCACATCATATGGGACACCTGCAGAAAGAGACGCACCTGGATCAAGCGTTGATCAAACCACGTCATATGGGACACATGCAGTAAGAGACGCACCTGAACCAAGCGTTGATCAAACCACGTCATATGGGACACATGCAGTAAGAGAGGCACCTGAATCAAGCGTTGATCAAACCACGTCATATGGGACACATGCAGTAAGAGGCGCACCTGAACCAAGCGTTGATCAAACCACGTCATATGGGACATCTGCAGAAGGAGACGTACCTGAAACAAGCGTTGATCAAACCACGTCATATGGGACACCTGCAGTAAGAGACGCACCTGAAACAAGCGTTGATCAAACCACGTCATATGGGACACCTGCAGAAGGAGACGCACCTGAAACAAGCGTTGATCAAACCACGTCATATGGGACATCTGCAGTAAGAGACGCACCGGAACCAAGCGTTGATCAAACCACGTCATATGGGACATCTGCAGAAGGAGACGCACCTGAATCAAGCGTTGATGAAACCACATCATATGGGACACCTGCAGAAAGAGACGCACCTGAATCAAGCGTTGATCAAACCACCTCATATGGGACATCTGCAGGAAGAGACGCACCTGAACCAAGCGTTGGTCAAACCACGTCATATGGGACACCTGCAGAAGGAGACGCACCTGAATCAAGCGTTGATCAAACGACATCGCACGGGGCACCTGCCGGAAGAGCTGCAAGTGACTCAAGCGTTGATAAAAAAACGTCAAATACAACGCCTGTAGGTGGAGACGGGCCTGTATTACCCGTTCAGAACACATCTCACGGCACAACGGAGAATACCCATCCTCCTCGCAGAAGAGAGATGCCTGACGCAGGGGCCATGTCGCACAAAGGATGGATGTCTCATGCAACAGACCAAGATGTTGTTGCTATGCCATCACAAGAACAAGGTAAGGTTGGCGATTTAATTTCTTTGTACATTTAAATTATTCTGTTACAAATCCATGTTAGGAATATGATATATGATGCTAGACATCAGTGGCTCATAACTGAATAGCCCCGTGGGGATTCCTAATAGGATAAGAATAGGCTTATGTTCGTCGTAAGATCTAGTGGTAACCACTTGGGTCCGGTGATTAAGCTCTGTGACTTGGTGTCATAGTACTCTGACGACGTGGATCGTTGTTCATAAAGTCAGTCACTGGATTGTCCAAACTTGTATATTTAAAGTGGAATGTTTCTGGCTGAGGCTTCAAACAAAAAACAAAAAAAACATACCCGAATATCCTTTTTATTTACATGTGTCTAATTTACAGGTTTGACTGTCAATGTTTTCAACATCACGAACAGTGAGGGAATACATGTCACCCAGGAACGGATCGTGTCGAAAGGAAGACTTTTCGGTGAGTGATAAAATAGGACTTCACTTTTAGGCAGCTTCACGTGGCAAATCATCCAAAACGAGATCAATGAGTTAAGCTGGCGTGCAACAGAAAGAAATATCATTAAAATCAGATCTTAGTTTTCGCTACCGCTAAACAAAGATCTAAGGACATCCCTTTACTGGTCACGTCAAAACAACCTTTCGCAAACTTACACCGACCAATGAAATGACTGACAAGAAATCGTCATTAGCCAATCAGAAGGCAGCTTTCTCAAGCTTTACGACACTAGTTTCAAACTGGCGACTACGTTTCGAAACATATTTTGACGTATTCTCGATTAATTCTCTTTAAACCGATCAAAAGATCATTCTGGAATGATTTATAGTTGGTCTAGATTGATGGATATAATCATAAAAGAAGTAACTGTCGTTCGGAATACCCTCTGTTAAATATTTCGAGGTTGCATAATTAGAAAACACATTTCGTCACTTTCATGATCTGGTAAGCGAAGCTCTGATTGGTTGGATGAAAGGTCGTTCTGACGTGACCCGTAATGTGATGTCCTCAGATCTTTGTTTAACGGTAGCGAGAACTAAGATCTGATTTTAGTGAGATTGGTCACTATACAACTCCTCCCTCCCTTATACTGTCCTTCTCCCCACATCTTGACAAGAAGAAGAAAATATTAGGATAACGAAAAAAGTAAAATAGGAATAGTTTTGTACTCTCAGGGCAGTGGTTGCTATTCTATTGCTGAAATAAATGTATTTGACCCAATCAGGAAATTCGCCCTTCATGCCAAAGGTAAAGCCTATTACTGGTCTCCATATATATATGACAATATCTTACTTACCCTAACTCTTCCTCGTCAGAACCTGACGTTTCTCCATCAACAGAACCAGTCGGTCATGACATGACTACAAGTTGGAATCAGAAGGACAACCCATCTGTACAGTCCAGAACAGATACATATATGCCACACTGTTCCAACTCTAAATCACAGTTGAAGGGTCAACAGATACACCAAGCAAAAGAGGAAGGTAATCACTTGCTGTTGTTCTTCATAGCATTTCGAGATGGGTAAGGGATTCGAGAGAGTGAAAGCTTCCTCTGATGGACCGACCATTTGATATTCCGGAGAGGGCCTGGGATTTTATCCAAAATAAATTGTTCCCGAAAATTCTTGAAAAGATATTTATGCTTTAGACTGATCAACAAAAGAGTATTTGTTGCCATAAGAATTACATTGTTGTGTTTTTCTTTTAAAAAATATATTCAGGATCATGGTTTGAATAACAAAAATGTCTCCTATTAATGCTGAGCACGAGGCAGAGTAACAAGAAGTACCTTCTTTCAACGTCTTTATTTTGGTACACGTCCAGTGATCAGACTCACCATCCTTCTCCTGTCCGGGAAGCGTTCTGTTGTGGTGTTTGTATTTGTCAGATTACTTGCAATAGTTTTTGCATAGAATAAATCTTAAAAATGCTATGTTTCAGATACCAGTCGTTCGCCAAAACTGAAGCGGATCTCTGGTAAGTATATTTATCATTCAATATTTGCTTCCACTGGAGATATGTCTTGGGTGAGTTCAAGTGATCGCCTATGAGATACCGGTGCAATGAAATCGCATAACAATGCTTTGAAAATCATTATGATGTCACTGGTTACCATGATGTCACAATCAAATGACATCACTAATCTCTCAACTACTGAAGCTGGTTAACAGCACTTTTTTACACTCAATGACATGGCACTGCTTATGATTCTAACTTAGACTTAGTACGAGGGCTGGTCAAAAAGAGTAAGGAACAGTCATCAAGTTTGGACTTTAGAGAAAAGTACTCCCTAAGAAATTCATGAGCGCATGTCAAAAGGTTACGGGCATAAGTGTCATAGCTATTCCACTGTTAAACGTTGGGCAGCTATGTTAAAGACTGGGAGAACGAGCCTTGATGATGATCTTAGGTCTGGACGACCTTCAACTTCCATCAATGAATATTCAATCAAGGAGGAAGAAAAACTTTTAGTCAGATAGATGTATAAACCATTGCTGAACGTGAGGAAAACGCAGGTCTAAACCATGGATCCATTGAAACTATTATTCATGAACATTTACAGCTGAATAAGCTATCTGCTCGTTGGTTGCCAAAGTTTCTAAATTCTGGTCTTAGAAAAAAGAACTGACATTGCCAGAGAAAATTAAGAGCTTTTGAGGAGGAATTTGTCAAATTCGAAAAGTGATTAGTAACGGGGGATGAAACATGGGATTACCATTATGATCCCGAGTCAAAACGTCAACCCATGGAATGGCACCATTCCACTTCTCTGGCACCAAAAATCGTCAAAATCAGTGATGAAACTTATGGCCACTATTCTGGGATGTAAAGGGTGTGATTCTTGTTGAATACTTAGAAAGTCAAAAGACTATTACCAGTGCCTACTTTGCTGATATGCTTCATCACCTGAGAGATTCTGTCAAAGAAAAGCGGTGTCGAGTGCTGACTGCTGAAGTTCTACCATTTCATGACAATGCCTCTTCTCACACCTCTCCACTTGCAAAGGCTGCTGTGCGACAATGTGGGTTCAAAGAGCTTCCTCAACCTCCATACTCACCAGACCTGGCTCCAAGTGATTTCCTACTGTTTTCTAAACTGAAAGAACACATTCGTGGAAAGCACTATGACGCCAACAATGACCTCGAAGCTGCTGTGGATGGTTTTTTCAGGGTGGCTTCAGAAAACTTCTCTGGAATTGAAAAGCTTCACTATTGATATGAGAAGTGTACTGAAAGCAGGAAGATTATGTTGAAAAAAAATTCATGACACTTTCACAATTGTTGGTTTTGCTGGTTAGGCTTAGAACTTTTTGACCAGCCCTCGTAGTATTGGAAATAGAACCAATAAAGCAGCCGAGTCAGAAACATGAATAAATATTTTATTTTCGTACTTCAATAAACCGTGTTGTCCTGTTTCAGACAGAACACAACAACTATTACTGCTGACAGAGAAGGAGCTGTTCACGCCGACAAAGGCACTGGCAATAGCCAAGCGGTCCCTTTTGGAACTCGGTGTAGTGCTTGTCACAGGAAGGTCAGGGGATGGGAAGACAACTCTGTGTTATAGAGTTTTGAAGGACATAGCAAATATTCAACATAGAACCCCTCTCATCATCACCACAGCAGATGACTGGAAATATATACCACCCCCAAGACACGTAAATAACATTTCTGAAGAGGAAAAGTATGTGGTTTTCATTGATGACATATTTGGTCGAACTAATTTATCAAGGGAGGATCTTAGAATGTGGGAACGAGAACTGCCGATTATGTGGCCTTTAGTTGAATCTGGGCAGGTGTTTCTGCTGCTCTCATCAAGGGGAAACATTTACAAACAGTGTCAGCAAGGTCTAAAAACTTACAAAATCTTTTCTGCATTGAAAGAAGTAGGGTTAAACACGGACATATATGGTCTCAATGTGAAGGAAAAAATGGAAATGCTAGAAGCATATCTGAACAGAAGAACAGCACTGAAGATGACTTATGATGAGATGAGACAAGCTGTGAAGACAAGCAATGAGCTAGGTTTCCCACAAATATGCAGGTTTTACATCAGCAGCAGAGAAGCCCAGAAACGAGGAGTCAAGTTCTTCAGTAGACCATTACAGTATCTGATGGATGAGGTTAACACTCTCAGGGAGTTTGATCCCCAAGCCTACGGAGTATTACTGCTTCTTGCGTTTGAGGAAGGTGTTATCAAACAATCCCATGTTGACCCATTTTCCTCAGAATGTGGTCCTCTCATCAAGAATTGGGAACTGATCAGATCTCTATGCAACATAAGCCCAGAATTTGGGCTCGGTGATGTTTGTAACGTTGCCAAAAGATTATGTGGTATGTATTTGTCCTTTGTTGGGGGATATTACAGATTTAGCCACCGATCCATCCATGAGACTATTGTCTTGGAGTTCACATCAAAGTACCCAGGAAAGGGTATAGAAATTTCTCCAATTAACATTCTTGTGGAATTTGTCAGGACAGTTGAATGTGAAGACAAAACTGCCACATCTATTCTTCTCAGTGAGGATTACTACAAAGATTTTGCGGTCAGGATAATTGAACTACTCAAATCCAGAAATTCTGAAAAAGTCATGGACCATTCTGCTCTAAGGAATGATACGTTTCTCCAGTACTTCCATAGTGCACTCTCCGAGGATGACCGAAAAACTTTATGCTCCACAACCATACCTTCAACATACACCAACATAGGGGCATATTCAGTGTTTTCAAATGATTACATTACAGCTAACTACCAAGACAAGTTGGAGTATTTCAACTCTGAAATGCAGGCCATACAGCTTCCTGTTCCAGAGCTGTATATAACGTCAATACTGTTCGCTAAAGGTCTACAGTCCATTGCCACAATACTTACTCCATCATCATTTCAGGGCTGTAGAATGGATATGAACATGTTTCTTGCAAGCTCCGCATTTGTTGGGGACTTGACCACTGTTGAGAGGCTCCTTGATAGTGGCATTGTTCCCAACGAAACTTGTGTCTTGTCTGCTCTTTTGGCATTGGGAGACAATGAAAACGTTTTAAGGAAAATCCTATGCCACCATCAAGCTCCACTACTTGATACAAACATGCTGTTGTTTTCTTTGAAATTTGCTGTGCATTGTAACAGAGTGAATACACTGAAAGTTATCACGAAGAGCATTGTGAACCATCAAGCAAAGGAGAAAATGGTTGACATTGTTGCCAAATTATTTTTTGTTCAGATGTCAGCTGTACATGGACATGTGCCTTTAAATTTGCCGCTGACAGTAGCCAATGAACATGAACACAAATCTTCTGTTGACACATTCCATGTGCTTGTTGCTGCAGATGCAGAATTAGACTTTGCAAAATGCTTAAGCTTTGTAAGCCAGACCACAGACATTGAGTTATTAGAGAGTATCACATGTGAAATACGGAAAAGAGAGAAAGGGTCACTACAGTATCAACAATCATTTGACAGACATAATGATTTAGAAACAGATTGTTCTGCAACTTCAAGTCCTGCTACATGTCCTGAATTTCATCTCAAGTCGCTGATCAATTCAAAGGACGAATATGGTTGCACACCACTCCACAATGCAGCTTATGAGAGCTCAGCAGAATGTGTCAAGTTTCTCTTGGACAATGGCGCAAATCCAAACTCTGAGACAATCACACTGGAAACACCGTTGCATGAAGCTGCTCGCACCAAGAAAGATCGTTTGTCAAAAATGGAGTCCCTTTTGGCAGCAGGTGCCGATGTAAATGCAGCGGACATAGGTAGTGGCACACCACTTCATTCACTGGCGCTGAAAGGCAATTTGACAGAATTTCAATACCTTTTACTAAAAGGTGCAAAAATGAATGCTGATAGTCTAGGCCAGACTCCTCTACACCGTGCAGCAAGTGTATATACAGTTGACAATACTGTAATTCAGCTCCTGGTGGAGAATATAGGTGACATAAATCATAGTGATTATTATGGTTGTACACCATTGATCTACATTGCTGGGAAGGGTTCTTTTGCAACGCTGAAATATGTCATAGAAAAGGGGGCTGATGTTAATGCTAAAACGAGAATGGGGAAGACAGCATTACATGAGTCAGTTTTGTCCTCCATTGAATCAGTTCATAAGGCAGAGTTACTCTTACAGCATGGTTGTGGTATCAATGAAATCAGTGAGGAGGGGTTCACTCCGTTACTCTGCGCTGCCCAGCAAGGTACCTTTGAGTCACTGAAGCTACTCGTAGATAACCAAAGTGATGTTTCTGTGAAAGACAAGCAAGGGCAGACTGCGCTACATCTTATACCTCATTACTCAATAGATGAGGCAAAGAAAATCAGCTACCTTTTAAAGGCTGGAGCTGACATTAATGCTGTAGATGACAAGGGGGCTACTCCCTTGCATGTTGCAGCTGCTGAAGGTTGTTTAGCATCCGTTGAGCCCCTTGTCAAGTACAAAGCTGATATTAACTCACGTGATACTGATGGACTCACTGTTCTGCACAGGGCTGCACAATCTCTCACAGACTCGGAGGCGATCATTGAAATCTTGATTGCTAAAGGGGCTAATGTCAACATGAGAGATAACTCTGGGTTGACAGCTTTGTGCCATGCAGCAGAACATGGAACTTTGAACAGTTTACAGATTTTGGTGGCAAATGGAGCAGACATGTTTGTTAGGAGTTCCACTGGAGAGACAGTGTTACATATGGTGGTTAAGAAATACCACATGCCTTTAGAAAAAGTAGAATTCTTAATGGAAAGGGGTGTCAACGTGAACCTTTTGGATTGTTCCGGAACAAGCCCTCTGCATTATGCAGCTCTTGAGACATCTTACAAAACAGTTAAGTTTCTTGTGGAACATGGAGCAAAAATCCAGTGTTCTAATGACAATGGAACAACTCCACTTCACAACGCCGTAGAGTCAACGATTAACAGAAAGCAAAAGGTTGAGCTCTTGATCAAACATGGAGCTGATGTATTCGCAGCGGACAAGAATGGTGACACTCCTTTACACGTTGCTACAGACGGCGGCTTTGAACGGTTGGAACTGCTTATAGTTGATCTGAACATAGATATTTCAAATACTGACAAACAAGGAAATACTTTGTTGTACAGAGCGGCCATGTCTAGCCGTGATATCAAGTCGAAGGCATTACTGTTACTCGACAAAGGAGCAGACATCAATGCTACAGGCAAACATGGTTGGAGCTTGATACACTGGGCCATTTGTTTGGGGAGCGGAGAGGACCTGGCAGAGCTTCTAGAAAGAGGTGCCTGTGCATCAAGTATAGATGAGGATGGGTCGAGTCTCCTTCTCAAGGCAGTCAAATCCAAAACAGACGCCTTGATTAAGGTCCAGCTGTTGCTGATGAAGGGTTTGTCGCCAAACCAATTAGACGGAAAAGGTTGCACACCGTTGCATATTGCAGCCAAAGAAGGTCTGTTTCAAGTAATGATGTTCCTTCATAAGAATGGTTCAGACACTTCAGCAAGGAATAATGATGGAAGGACAATATTACATGAGGCAGCGGTATCACAGATAGATACACATAAAAAGGTGGTGTCACTGGTGGAGGACGGTGTGGATGTAAACGCACTCGACAACAATAATATAACCCCACTGCATGACCTAGCGAGACAGGGGCCATTTGAAACACTTGAATACATCATTAGTCAAGGAGCTGATGTCACTTTCACAGACAATCTTGGAAAAACACCTTTGCACTTAGCTGCGAGCGCAGGGTTGGGTGGTGTAAAGAAGGTTGGGTTACTCCTTGATAAAGGTTGTTCTGTGAACGTGGAGGACTACAAGGGACACACCCCAATGAATGATGCATCTGTGGCTGGGGATACTGACTGTGTGAATTATCTTGCTCAGAGAGGTGCAACAGGTCGGGATGAGGATGCAGGTGGAGGTTTAGCCTAGTGGTTAAAGCTTTCGCGGGTTCTATTTCCCACATGGATTCAGTGTGTCAAGCCCATTAATATAGAAATTGTAAAGTAGCTAAATCTAAAAAACTCACTTGTTATGAAGTGGCGGTCGGTTAGCCTAGTGGTTAAAGCGTTCGCTCGTCACGCCGAAGACCCGAGTTCGATTCCCGACATGGGTACAATGTATGAAGCCCATTTCTAGTGTCCCCCGCCGTGATATTGCTTGAATATTGCTAAAAGCGGTGTAAAATTATACTCACTCACTCACTCACTCGGTAGTTATGAACATACAATACAGCGTTATTGATGTCACATTCTTTAAGTAAACAATGAAATCTGTTTCATTTGGAAACTGTCTTTCCAAGAGTGAAGGGGGGCACGGGTGGTCTAGTCGTCTAAGGCGCCGCGATTCAGAGCAGAGCTGTGTCCCTTGGGCACGCCAGAAACCTATGATTGTGGGTTCGAATCCCGCTTCGCCCCGATTATGTTTCTAGGTTTGTCAGCACCATACCCGTGCTCGTGGTTTTCACCGAAGTGGTAAACGTCTAAGACCTGCATCCCTTCGAGCTGTCCTCCCATATTAAGCTGACACGTCGTGATATAACTGCAATACTGTTAAAAGCGACGTTAAACCCAACTCACTCACTCGCACATTCCAAGAGTGAAACCTTAAAAGTGAGTGATATAAAGTTGATATCCTTCTATCTGTATTGCTATTATAATGCCATTCAGAAATATGACAACATTTAAGCCCACTACCCAGTAAAAAATAAACAACTTCCTACGCCAGTTACAATCTTGAGTATTCTTACAGGGTTTGTTGTAAAGATGAACTCAATCTGCTTGTACTAGTCCGTACTAATGCCGTGTTTATAGTGCTAGCCCACTGAGAAACCGACCGCCTCCGTGGTCTAATGGTAGAGAGTCCGCCCGGAGAGCAGAAGGTCCGGGGTTCGATCCCCAGCCGCGTTAACCAAAAGACGTTAAAAGATGGAACTTGTTGTTACCCTGTCTGGCGCTCGGCATTAAGGGGCTAAAACAAGGACTGGTCTGCTCGGAGTCAGTATACTGTGTCTGAGTGGGGTATTCATGTTAAACTGCGGCATGGTATCTCAGTGTGATAGCACTATAAATCGGCATCAGTCCGGACTAGTACAAGCAGCCACACACACACACATATACACCTGCATGCACGTCGCTATATAAGTGCAATAATCTTGGACGCGACGTTAAACCCCATTTCACCTCACCTCACTGAGAAACCATGCCATACAGGGTAACAACAAGTACCATCTTTCAACGTCTTTTGGGATCGAACCCCGGACCTTCCGCTTTCCGGGCGGACGCTCTACCACTACACCACAGAGCACAATGCAAGTGCTAACTATTCTCAATGGAGGCACTGTTCACTTAAATGCAAGTAGAACCTTATTGAACTTTACGTAAATTTTATAATCGACACAGAAATCCAATTTTATGCAATATGATTGTACAGGGTTGCAGATCGATTAAACAACACTTGATTGTTTTGTGGATATTGCTCCAGTTTTATTTGTACCTCTGTTTGTCGGCGACACAGCTCTTTTGGTCCCGACACGTAAAGACCTACAGAAATCACTTACTGTATTCCACGTAGTATGCGCCCCGTTCTAATAAGCGCCCACGGCGATATTTGCTGATATATTGGCTAGTGAACAAGCCCAATTTGCATCCCTTCCGTTTGATCAATGTACACAAGACTTATTTATTCGCGTATAATACGCACACGTGTGTTATATGCATCCTTATTTATGGGCCATTAAATTCTGGATAAATATATCTGTCGTACATAAACATTTCAGGCTGTCAGCATAAACCACGAAATTTATTTTTCAACTATGTTTCATTTTCACCAAAATAAAATTTTAATAAGAGCCCCCTATTTCTAATTTTGAGAGCGCCCTGGGCGCTTATTACGTCGAATACGGTATTGTTTTGAAACTTATTATAAATTGTTGAAACTAACTGTAAACACGGACAAAACGAAGCTCTTATTTTCGATGGTGCTAAAATTGACAAGAGAAGGAAATATATTTTGAATGAAAATTATTTGAATTTTGTGGATGAATATAATTATCTTGGTTTTTATTTCCAAAGCAAATATAATATTTCTAAATCTGTTAAAACTATGTGTGGCCAAGCAACGTATTTTTGGCACGTTTACACAATCTCTCTTTAAAATTCCATCTCTATCTCTTTGATGCTATGCTAAAACAAACACTACTGTATTGTTGTGAAATTTGGGGTTGTGATCATTGTAAACTAATTGAAAAGGTTCCTTTACAGTTTCTCAGACAATTATTACCGGTAAAGAAAAGCACCTTTAACAATACTCTAAGGAGAACTCGGTAGAACCCCACTTTTTCTGGATGTTAAGTTAAGAATGTTAAATTTCTGGTCGAAGCTTATGTCAGAGATATGTAGCAAGCTATCGTTTGTATTGTATTCAGTCTTGTATAGAGACTCAATTGTAAATCAACGGACTTAAAAATGATTGTCTTTTATTAAACATATTTTGATGAAAATAAAATGAATCAGGTATTTCCTACGGAAGCCTTTTAGGGCCATTTGTTTTTTTATTTTCTTTCGATACTATCTTGAAATTTCAAGAAACTAAGTTGAAATTTCAAGATACTATCGAAAAAAACAAAAAAAACAAAATGGCCCTAAAAGGCTTCCGTAATTTCTCTATGTTTGGATATCACAGAGTTTTATACCATCCTCCTGGTTGAAATCATAAGTCTCCAAAACTCTCTCTGGCGCATATTGGCAATCTTGGAAAGCGGATATTTCAAATTCTAGTAAATGCTCCACATATCGTATTTTTAAAATCGCGAATAAACTTGAACATATATTTGATAAACATTCCTCCCCACGTATCTTTTAAATTGCTATATCTCTAGGACATCTTGTCACCGCCTGCCAATAGAAAGCGGAAGGTGGAATAAAACTCCGTTGAATGAACGTTTATGCAAGTTATGAAATGTTTTGAAAGGACATATATATATATGTGTGTGTGTGTGTGTGTGTGTGTGTGTGTGTGTGTGTGTGTGTGTGTGTGTGCGTGCGCGTGCGTGTTATTATATTTTCTCTTTACTTGTATATAATTCCTATGCACTGTACATTTATTCTGCACTATTATTATTCAAATATTACAATATAATGAAATTGTACAAAGGAGAAGGCCTCGTAAGTGTGTCCCTTTAACCTTATCCATTTGATTTTCCGCAATAAAATATGTTTAAATTATATCACATAGTTTTGACATTGGAGATGAATTCCACTATGTCTTCAAATGTAAATATTTCAAAGAACAAAGGGACCTGAACATCCCAAAACACTATTCTAAAAGGCCAAACATGTTACAACTCCAGCAATTATTAAACGGCCTTAATATCTCTGTCAAAAAGAAAATGTAAATTTATTAACATTATAATAAAAATTGTAAAAACTCCCCGTAAACCTCTGTCCACCGCAGTAAAATACTGTTTGAACTTCATAGAGAATTACTGCTCTGTTCTATCAATACGGCACCAAGGGGTCTTTTGAAAAAAAACAATGTTGCCCAAACAGTTCGAAAAAAATAATTTGCTATATTTTACCAACATTGATACACCTGTTCATGCAGGATGTTCTAAACATACTGAACTACTGATTATTGTTGTGGGTAAAACAATTGTTTGATGCCTTTGGGAGAAAAACGTGTGTTTTGAAGCACAGGCTTAAAAATATTCTGTTTCGAAAAAAACAAAAAGCTCATTAACATACGGTATCTATTTCGCCACCATGCCTACATTCACTTTATATTACCCTATCATGCCTACATTCGATATATATTTCTCTGTCATGTCTCATTCAATATATTTTCCCCTACCATGTCTACATTTTAATATATTTCCCTACTAGGCCTATGTCTGGACATTCGTCCTACATTTTCTTCAACAGATATGTCTACTTTCCGTAACTAGTATAATTTATAGCCAGTACAGCTGAATATGAGACCGTTTCTCGTCATTTTTCGGAACGATAAATACTTTCTGTTTAATAAAATGCATGGAATTTGTTTATGCATTATTGCTTCATAAAAAATAACATTGTACACAGTTACACTTTGGGAAAGTCAAATTTTGTTGGACGTTCGTTCTCATTCCAGTTTTGCAAACCCGATCCAAATTTTAACTTTACAGACACCTAGCGGTTGTGCAAGAACATGGATGTGTTTGTCGCCTTCGTGCTTATTTGATCACGAAAGAATCGCGGGGAAGGATAGGGATTCGCTACAATGGATAGAGAAGATTCGTCAGGCGAGAAAGGTAGTGATTTAACTATATTGTTTCGGTGAGGAGCTTAATAGTAATTATTTGTTAATGATTTGTGCAAGAGTTATCGTCCTTGTTTGGCGACAAGAACTGGAAGTTTATTATTGCGTTTTCACACGTATTTAAACATGTCTTCGAAAGTAATAAAGAGTATATACATCTGATTCTTTTTTGTCCTTTTATTTAAATAGAATAGTAGTATGGCCCCCTGTGGATAAAGCCCATATTTGACATCACTATTGTAAAGATGTAGGCATGTGCTTGAAGACAGAAGCATTATCACAAGATTCAGCTTGATCCCATATGTGGGCGAGACCACATTAATACCCAGGTGTCTCAAGTGGTACAAAATGTCCCATTGGGAATTGTTTAACTGGAGCCTTGGCAAACTATTTAAGTACAAAATAAGTGAAACGATCAGGAGTAGGTTAGAAAGAAAATGCAGACATTATAGCTACTTGTAGTGTAACCATGAGATTTATTGTTATTGTCATTAAACAATAACAGAGTTACAAAGTAGACACAACTTATGGATAACATCTTCTTTATTTACTGTAAAGGCAACGTTTTGGTATAGGTCCTTATGCCATTGTCAAGCAAGACTGAATAACATGGAATAATGAACATGGTACAGATTAACATGAGTAGGTTAAGTTGTCATTAATTAACCAACTCATGTTAATCTCTCTTGTATGCAATTGTTGTTACTGTTAATCCTCCACCTACTGTATATGTTCTGTGCCGTGTTCATTATACAGCACTGCTTGACAACGGTATAAAGATCTATACCGAAACATCCCGTTTACAGTAAATAAAGAAGTTGTTATCCATAAATTGTGTCTACGTTGTCATCTGTCAACTTCTAAGTAATGCAAATCAAACAATTCAATATCAGGGTTAGAACTAAACTGAAAAGCTTTACTAGACCAGGTAATGTAATATGCCCTTGTAGTGTTAAAACAATGGGCTAATTGGGAAATTTGTACTAGCCTGTAGCCGGAATGTGTACTAGCCCCGGGATAGCGGTCTGGTCTTAAGGGACATGACGTCGGCTGTCCTGAAGCTTTGTTTGTAAACAGTAGCTTACTTTTTATTTAATATGGTCATATCATGATGTGATTGTAATCATAGTGAGATAAGACAAGAAAGAAAATGGGGGGTTACACATGGTTGAGGGACCTTAATTTTTCCAAAATGTATACTGTTTCATCGTCAAAAAGGTATGATACAGATGATATCGTGACCTTAGTCTTTTGTCCCTCAGCCTTGTTAGTAATTGCATGGTTAAAAAAGAAGCCGAGAAAGAAACCATGCACCTTATTTTCCCTTAAATCTATTGTTTGCATTAACATGATTAAGTCCTATTAATAATCCAAATGTAGTTTTACATATCTATATGATGTTTTTACATATCTACATGCAATAAACTTGCTTATGAATTTTGCAGATTGTATACTTTTTTTGCTTTAATAGATTTTGTTCACCTGGACATCTGTTGGATATTGCCCAGGGATTTTCTAGGAAATATTAAAATAAAAAAAAATAGAAATTAAGAATTTCTTAATTATTGTTATGGTTACTGATGGTGTTGCACAAAAGAAGATGTAGCATTGGATACAATGCTAAGGTGTACTGAGTAGGGCTGGGACGAGTCCAAATTTACTACCCGGGGACCCACACCCCCATTATCCGACCCTACCTGGGTATCTGCTGTAGGTCTCAAGAGAGAGGTACAAAATGTCTGATTGGGAATAGTTTGGCCGTAGCCCTGGACAAAATGTATTTAGATACACGAATAAAACGATCTGGTCATGCATACACTGAAGTTGACTGAAGTTTTATCTTTATTCTAACATTCCAGTCAGAAGGAATGGGTGCAGAGTCAGAAAGATATGCGAACATTAGTGACTTGTAATGTAACCATATAGGTCTAGATCATTTTTGTCATTAAACAATATATCACATGACTAACCACAGGACCGGGTAGTCCTGTGGGTACCCGGGTCCTTCCCAGTACCAACCCGACCCAAGTACCCGAGTTACCCATCCCAGCCCTAGTAATAGTACTGAGGGATGCTAAAGGAAATACTAACTTTGAAGCATCCCAATTTTAGTGTTTTTTTTCCCAATTTGCTTGCCAAGGGCACTTGGTTTAGAATTCTAGATAAATCCCTGTTACTAATATTCAGTGAGTCAATCACTTCGGGCAACAGATTGGGGAATCGGTAGGTCTCTGGTAGCACATGCCTATTGTAACTGAGCTTATTGATTTAGCATTCAGTGTGCAATTGGTCTCACTGTATGGTTTGATGGTGACATTCTGGAGGACGGGGACTATGAGTGTAACAATCAGTGTGTTACTGATAGTATTGATTGCAGCAAACAATATACTGTATTCGACGTAATAAGCGCCCAGGGCGCTCCCAAAATTAGAAATACAATGTAGGAGGCTCTTATTAGAATAAAACCGCCTCCGTGGTCTTGTGGTAGAGCGTCCGCCCGGAGAGCGGAAGGTCCAGGGTTCGATCCCGGGCCGCGTCATACAAAAAGACGTTAAAAGATTGTACTTGTTGTTACCCTGTCTGGCGCTCGGCATTAAGGGGCTAAAACAAGGACTGGTCGGCTCGGAGTCAGTATACTGTGTCTGAGTGGGGTATTCATGTTAAACTGCGGCATGGTATCTCAGTGAGCTAGCACTATAAATCGGCATCAGTCCGGACTAGTACAAGCAGCCACACACACACATACACGTGCATGCACGTCGCTATATAAGTGCAATAATCTTGGGCGCGACGTTAAACCCAATTTCACCTCACCTTATTAGAATATGATTATGGTGGAAAAAAACAGAGTTGAAAGATCGTGAATTTTGTGGTTTATGCTGACAGCCTGAAATGATACAAAAGAAAAGTATGTGTGTATTATATACGGCAGATATATTTTCGAGAAGTTAAATGCCCATAATTAAGGGTGCATATAACACACAAGTGCGTATTATACATGAATAAATAAGTCTTGTGTACATTGATCAATCGAAAGGGGTGCTAATTGGGATTGTTCACTAGCCAATATATTAGCAGATATCGCCGTGGGCGCTTATTGCGTCGAATACGGTAGTAGTCCTCAGAACAGTTTTGCAGGCTGATACCATTGGCTATCATTATGTAGCCAGCTGCGTCTTGAAATGCCATTTGATCATTGACTAACCCACCAATCATTCGACGGTTTGAATTGAGGGGGTGCAGCTTCAGCATAACTGATCATAGATCAGTAGTACTTATACAATGGTGTGTTTGTCACCAGTACTATTTACCTTTTTGGTTTACAGGTAAGATATTCTGAAATTTCTATATGCAAAAAAGTTTTTTTTGTGATAATCAGAAAGATGGGTATATGTTATGCCTGTTAAATGTCGCTTTGCAGACTGCTGTTAGTCTAAGACATCTATTCAAGATGTTTAGCTAACTTCATTGCGGACAAACGATGTGTATAACAGGAGACTTCAGACCTCATGCTTTCATGCCCACCTTCTGGGCCATTTGTCTCCTGTAAAATGTATCGGATTAACCCGTAACCAACAAGCATAAAATTCAATGGTGATATTTGTTTCATAATTTCAAGCTCTTTTCTTCAAATATGGACTGGCAACATCAGTGCTGGTGATACTTTTAGGACTGGAGTGATTGTCTACATGACTATCAACAGGTGTAATTTAAGATGTTATAGTCAAGTAGACAACTGAATTGTTTCAGCAACGACTGTGTTTCAAATGCAGTCATAACACTGGTTTACAATTATTTTACATTGAATACATTTGAAGCAATGTAGTCGTGTAAGTGGAATCCGTTCTGATTTATCAATGAACAGAAATTCTTACAGCTGTTCACAGATGCTCATGCTTCCTTGAATTAAGTCGGGTAAATAAGTAATCAACATGAATAGGAAGGCTATAGAAATCTATTTGTTAACACATGCTGTCACTTCTTGGGACATTTTCGGGCAGATTTCTGCTGAAGGCAATGCCTTCCATGTCCTTTGTCAGGCACAACGTGTGCAATGGATGGGATGAACCCAGGTGAGTTACTTCAAACATTCATCTCTGGACATAATGTACATACATTTGTGTGTTTCCTTTCTGTGTGGTCTGGTCTACCATGTCCACTGGTATATATGCAGTCTGCATTGTTTGGACTGGACATAGATGGGATCTGTTAAGCACACACATTGTGTTTTCAGGGTTAGAAACTAACAGTTTTCGTCCACTAGTCCTTATAATGCTTACATATAGCAAAACCTTTAAAAAGGGCTAATTTCTACTAGTCCTTCTGATACCTTTACCATTGGGCAGTTTGGCAAGGACTATAAGACTAGTGCCAATTTCTAACCCTGTGTTTTACCTCCTACAATGAAACTATTGTAATGTAATGGAGGATTATTATTCTTTCCATGGTGGCACCCTTCCTTGAACAGCTGCTGAAGACTTCACCTTTTTTGTTATGGTGTCTGGGACTATATTCTCTTCTTGTCGGATTGCTTGTTTTAACCCCTTCAATCCTATAGACAAGTAATATCAGCATCCCAGCATCAGGTAGACACCATTGGCTATATCCAACTACTTCAGCTTGTTTTGGACTTGTGGTTTATGTAAAAGGACTGGAGTTTGGGAGAAAACGAATCATCACTCTCAATTTTCACTGGTGTCTGATTACTGCTTATGGGAGTGTCTATACCTGGACATCGATAGCTACTACATCACTATGACACCGTTTGTGTCCCAGTTTGATGAAGGCACAACAAGAAGCTCTGACTGTGTTACAAGATGTCTGGCCCAGCAACCCTGAGTGGAGCATGGTTGGCTAGGAACTGATAAGGAACCCCTAATACCTTCATCTGTGAGCTGGGCGGTCGGATAGCCTAGTGGTTAAAGCGTTCGCTTGTCACGCCGAAGACCCAGGTTCTATTGCCGACATGGGTACAATGTGTGAAGCCCATTTCTGGTGTCCCCCGCCATGATATTGCTGGAATATTGCTAAAAGCGGCGTAAAACCATACTCACTCACTCTCTCACTCACTCATCTGTGAGCTCACCAGTACATGGTTTACCTTGATCACCCCTGGGTCTGGTTCCTATCCCTGCACTGGAGCCCAGGTAAAGAAACATGTTCACTGACAATCAAATACCAGTGAAGTGTTATTAGGTTTTGTCGTGGATGTTGGTTTATCCATTGGCCAGTTGTCATGAGAGTTCATTTTCGTGTCAGTCAGTACACTTTTTGCTTTGTGACCTGTAGTTAATCTTGTGGTCTCAATCTACCAGGTTTTGTTTGCTGAGGTCACCTTCACTCTGGTTATTATCATTTCATGTCTTATGCTTTAGGCTGATTTGGATGGTTGCTGTGCATCTTGAGTGTCACTGGCCTAACAGGTGTAACTATAAGAGTGAGTCTGTCCATGAAAATGGAGGCCATTCAGTCATCATATGCTTACCGTGGCAAACTTTATGATATATGCTGATAATTTACTGATATAGTTTCTCTTCCCTATTGAAGGGGAGGTGGGGTAGCCTAGTGGTTAAAGCGTTCGCTTCCATGCTGAAGACCCGGGTTGATTCTTCACATGGGCACATTTCTGGTGTCCCCCGCTGTGATATTGCTGCAATATTGCTGAAAGCGGCGTAAAACCATACTCACTCACTCACTTCCCTATTGACACTGATTTGATAACCTATGAAGTGATAATGTTGTTTTTCCCCCATGGGCGCAATGTGTGAAGCCCATTTCTGGTGTACCCTGCCACGATATTGCTGGAATATTGCTAACTGCGGCGTAGATCCTTACTCACTCACTCACTCACTCACTGATAATGTTGCTATGGTTATAATCAGTGATTTAAATTTCCAAGTAACTCGAAGTGTCAAAGATCAGTTAAATAATGACATTTGGCAAGTATGGTTTAAATTTGTTTGGTTCTTTGCATTTGTCGATGTTGGCAAATAAGTTTTGAGTAGAATTGGCAGATTCTTTATTTGGTATGTAGAACTTTGTAAAGTGTTCACTATGAATCCCACTTGCCACACAATGTCTGGATGATAGGTATCAGAAACCCATTTCTCGTGTTAACATTGTGAGTGAGATGTGTTCAAGTTCCCACTTGGTATTTTATTTGTGAAGCCCAGATTGTTGTTTAACTCAGCACTCAGCAATATTCCAGCTACATGACAGCAGTCTATAAATAATCTTGATCAGACAATTGACAAGTGATTGACATCATGAGCATCGATCTATGCAACTGATATGTATAATGATATGCATCGACCAAGTCAGCGAGCCTGTCTACTTGTTTGCCTATCAAGACAAGCATGGGTTGTTGAATACCAATTCTAACCATCCAATTCTTCACAGGGCCCCATTGTGAAATGAAACCTCACATGCATAAATCAGCTTTCACTTCACAGTGGTTAAAGCGTTCAGCTGTCATGCCGAAGACCCGAGTTCGTTTCCCCACACGGGCACAATCTGTGAAGCCTATTTCTGGTGTCCCCCACCATGATATTGCTGGAATATTGCTAAAATATACTCACTCACTCTCATTCATATCTCATCAAATTCAGGCTAAGGCTCAGAAGTCTCAGAAGGCACTCTCTGTAATTTTCCAGTTGTGAATCTTGAGTTCCAATAACATTTGTCTGACAGCGTTTCATTTACTAAGGATGACACACCTTAATCAGGTGCCATCAACATGCAGAGGATTTCTTTGTTCTGTGAGGTAATTTGCTTTTTCGCCATCGTCATTTTCGTTCTTGATGATGACCTGAAGCTAGGTCTCCATCAGTGCCACTGATGTGGAGTCATCCCTGTTTCTTGTTACCCAAGGAAGAATAGCCGCTAATGGTTATTCATGTCATTCTCCACATTCTCTGAATCACCCTCTGGTCAAATATTCCCACTATGTGTTTCAGTGGAGATTGTTTCGGAATCCACTGAGAGGATGTATAATGCATTCTTAGTCCCAACACATTCTTAGTCGCAGATCTGTTGACACTGAACAAAATTGTTTGTTGGCTGTAAATAACATATGATTTTGAAAGTAACGTTTCACCTGTATTTGGTTGCAGGAGGATGTAATGGGTCATCCCACACAAGCCAAGCAGCAGGCACCGCCAATCAGAGACTTGCCTTGTTCGCAAAGCTACAGCAACAGATTCCAGGATTTGAAAACATCCCATCACCTAGAGTCCTGTCGGAACAGATAGGATCAGATCGCAGGATGAAAGAGCCTTTGAAGAACGTTTCGAGGAGCAATTTGTTTGTGCAGTGCATTGCCAGAGATGGTGTAGAAAAGGGACTGCAAACTGATCATCAGGCTACTCATAGTGTGTGGTCTGCATTAGATAATCAGGAAATTCAGTCAACCTCAAGAAACTATGGCCCTGAAGTAAAGATGGATGCTAACGATGCATCAAGTGGCAGACCAGGAGACAGTGGTGCAACTCCGATGCAATATGGTAGCTATGATTACCCGTATATGCAGCCACAACAAGAGCAACAAATATATGGGCATCCTCAATATCATCCATATTATTATAGCCATCAGCATCAATACAACTATATGCCTCCAGAATATGGAACACCTGGTGTCACTCAGGATGCGTATGCACAAGACATGAATAGACAACCTGAGAGAAATTGGCAGGGAGTTGACAGGGCTTGGGGGGAGGACTTGGACCGAAGTGATAGAAGTGAGAGATCTAGGAGACGTGAACATTCTCCTGATGGAGAGAGACGTTCACCTGTACGGCAAAGACGTTCACCTGACAGACAAAGACGTTCACCTGTCAGACATAGACGTTCACCTGTCAGACAAAGACGTTCACATGATAGAAACAGAAGCTCACCAGATAGACAAAGAAATTCACCCAATAGACACAGACTCTCATCTGATAGATATACAGTGGAGCGCAGGAAATCACCACAAGGTCGAGAGAAAAATTCTACTAGCTCTGGTGAAGAGAATAGCTCTAAAACATCGTACCGAAGGTATAGAAAGTATCTGTCATCTGTAGGGCAAAATAAATACATTGAGACCACAGGCAAGACATCAGAAGAAGAAAGGATTTTAACGCGGGCATCAAATCCACCATCAATAAAAGAATTAAAGGAAAAGTATGAATTGTTTTTGAAAAACAGGGATGGTATTGCTTCACCCTCTGATCAAATGTCAGAAAAGCAGGATTCAAATTCTGAATCCTCTGTCTTTAAACGACCACTTCCTCCACCCAGTACCAAATCAAAGTCAAGACATTCAGAAACATCAGGCCCTCCAAGGGAAAAGCAGAGTAGATTTTCCAACGATTACTCTTCCGTTCCACCACCTGTTTTTAAGGATGTAAAGCCCAGTACCAAATCAAATTCAAGACATTCAGAAACATCAGGCCCTCCAAGGCCAAAACAAAGATTTTCAAAGGATTTCTGCCCAGTTCCACCTTCTGAATTTAATGTAAAGCCATATGAAAAGACTAGGAGAGAGAGAGAAAAGGACCCAGGTATTTTAGGAACTGCTCATATTGCTTCTAAATATGTCAATAAAGATTCATCTGGGTGTCATGCTTTCCCTTCAGAGGCTACCAGTACATATGATGCTGAGAAGGCCAAGCTTGCAATGGCCTTAGCCTCAACAAAACCAAACAGAAATTCTGTGGAATGTATCAAAGATCCAAGACAACCAAATCAAGGGGGTACTGTTAGTGACTTTATAGCTAACTTCATTTCCACGGTATGCAAGTCCAAAGGGGGATTACAAATTGTAGCCAACAAGTACAAGTTGCCAGGAAATTGTATTGGGCTTTTGCCACCTAAGATGACCCAAGATGTTTGGTCTATTCTTGCGAAACCCACCCAGGTAAAAGATGAAATGTTGCAAGATGTGGAGAGATGGTTGGCACTTGGTCTTATTCCTATTATAAGATTGATCTGTATATTTGGAACTTGTGCACAATCTGCGAAGGAGGTCCGTTGCATGACTAGTGATGCTCTAACCGTTTTGGGGTATGTGTGTCGCAACATGTCTATCAAACGAAGATTGTTGATGCGTAATGCATTAAACAAGAAGTATGCTGTGTTATGCAGGACATCCAATTGTGTGTCTGATTACATCTTTGGGGGAAACCTAGCAAAGGATCTCATGGAAATCAAACTTGGAAACTACCACATACGAAACTCCAATGAAGAAGATAATGATGATATTTTTGCACCAAACTACAAGCTGAAATTCTGCGCTGGTCTTGCTTTGGTTGGTCCTGATGCTGATGTCAATGTGGCAGGCATGATCAATATGGCATGTGCCAATGATGGAGATGTTGAGGATTTGAGAGAGAAGTATATGATGCCTTTAAATTGTGACTGCCTTCTGCCATCAAGAATTAATCCCGAGATCTGGAGTCTGTTGTCCAGGTCTGGGTTGGAGATTGACTACCGGCTCCAGGATGTACAGCTATGTATATCAGAGGGGATGATTCCTCTGATGAAGCTCCTACAGTCAATCCATGAGAAGAAATATGACCCGGATGTAACCCTGGGCAGGCTTACAGATGCCCTGGCACTTCTTGGCAATTCCATTTACCAAATGAACAAAGTGAGAATGGAGCTGATGATGAAAACTCTACCTATAGAGGCCCATGGTTTCTGTCGCTGGTATTGGTCCGGGGCTGAACAGGTTTCCGGTGATCATCTGGAAGTGGAACTTCAAGCTCGCGAGGAGTCTGACACCAGCAAGATGGCGGATGTTATTTTGGGGGTAGTGAAGGCACAGAAGAACCAACACAGCTGAGTGTGTAAGTTGCAGATAAATGTAATTTTGTCCGTGGACGGTCACCTGGAAAGCTTTGTGGCTGATGCGTTCTTCCATTGTGTCATTGAATGCCATAAAAACAGCAACATGTTTTACAAATAGAATCATAAATATTTTGTCCCAGTACTTATGGTTTAGTGATCCTTAACCTGTTAAATCTTAAACTCTCTGCCCCCATTTTCGGCTTGTTATTATTTGAAAACCCATCATGTTTGCAAATTATGAATTGCATTATTAAAGAGTTGTTGGTGATAATCTGTGGCTTAGATACTTCAGTCCTGTGACCAAACAGTCATAGTATTGAAATAATGCATCTAATGGTATAATCATATTTTCGAGGTGTTCATTATCCATGTTTCACCATTTTTGCAGCATTTTCGAGTCCTACGGCACTGGACACTGAAGAGGATGAGCAACACAGATCTCAGACCATTACTACCATGACTACAAAAACAAATCTTAATGGTCATGTATTTTCACACCTTTGTCTTATGAAAGGACAGTGACGTAGGGTGTATTTGTAAGGGATTATTGACAAAGAGGCAGAATGAGTTAATCATGTTGAGATGTATTGATAATAAACCTTTTTTTGTAAAATATTCTGATGGATGTTTATTCTGTATATTAAAATAAATGTTATTTTATCACATTCTTCATTGATATTTGTTGGTGCTGTTTAGTTCAATAGGTCAGTTAAACAGTGATTTACAATCATTTTGTTAACACAGTATAGTAGGTAATATACAGATGTTTCAAATGTTTTAAGTGCTTAAGGAAACATTTATATGTTGAAGTATTAATGATGGTGAATTTGTGTCTCACAGTCCCCATGTTATTTCCTTTCAATTTGTCTCTCCATCTCTGGGGGCACGGGTGGCCCAGTCGTCTAAGGCGCCGCGATTCGCTGTGCAGAGTTGCCTCCCTTGGGCACGCCAGAAACCTATGATTGTGGGTTCGAATCACGGTTCGCCCTGATTATGTTTCTAGGTTTGTCAGCACCATACCCCTGCTCGCGGGTTTCACTGAAGTGGTAGAACGTCTGAGACCTGCATCACTTCAGGCTTTCCTCCCACATTAAGCTGACACGCCATGATATAACTGGAATACTGTTAAAAGCGGCGTAAAACCCAACTCACTCACTCTCTCCATCTCTCCAAAAAGTAGGTTTTTGTAGGGGTTACCAGGGGTTACCATAATGAGAGGGTACCATGTACATGAAACTCAGTGCGTGTGTTTCTTGCTATACTCATGACATTGAAAGTACCGCGGTCTCAATGTGATGTGACAATGTCTGTGTTCACCAACACAGCACAGTGTTTGCCTGCTCTGTACATAGCCCTGTGTACTCATTGGATGACATCCCAAGACAAATCCAACATTTTATGAATCTGATCATGTCTTATAGGCAATAAAATGTATTTCACAAATCATTATGTCTTATGTTAGTTATGTTAAGTGTGAGTGGTAGGGAATGTTGTTTGTTGTCACAGTCAGCAGTATTCCAGCTTTATTTCTGTGGCATGTAAATAATCAAGTCCGGCAAAACCAGTGGTTGATATTATGAGCAAGTCTTTTGCTGTAAGAGCTCAATGACATGAATACACACAATCAAGTCTGAACATCAGATCTATTTTAGTTGCCTCTTATGACAGACCGCCTCCATGGTCTAGTGGATAGGGCCTGTACCTGGAGAGTTAAAGGTCCATGGTTTGGCCGCCTCGGAAGGTCCAGTGGATAGATTGTCTGTTTGGAGAAGGACAAGCTTGCAGTGGCCTCAGTCTTGACAAAACCAAACAGGAATTCTGTGGAAAGTATCAAAGATTTAAGGCAACCATAAAAAATATCCCCAGCCGCATCATACTTAAAGGTTGTTGGTTGGTTTGCTGTTTAACGCCGCACTCAGTAATATTCCAGCTATATGACAGCGGTCTGTAAATAATCGAGTCTGGACCAGACAATCCAGTGATTGATATCATGAGCATCGATCCACGCAATTGGGATCGATGACATGCATCAACCGAGTCAGCAAGCCTGACCACCCGATCCCGTTAGTCACCTTTTACGACAAGCATTGTCGCCTTTTACTGCAAGCATGGGTTGCATACCAAAAGGAGTTAAAAGTACTTGTTGTTAGCCTGACTGGCACGGCATAGGGGGATAAAAGAAAGGCTGATTGTTTCGGAGTCTGTACACTGAGTGAGGTGTCCATGTTTAACTTCAGCATGGTATCTGAGTGGGTTAGCGCTATAAAACAGCCCTAGTACAAGCACAAAGACACTCGCTCACATGCACGGACACATGTCAGGTTTACCTCACCTACCCGGCACTCAGCATGGAAGGTTTACCAACTGGATGAAGATCATGGTGAGAGGAGGTGAAATTGAGTTTAACGTCACGTCCAAGATTATTGCACTTATATAGCGACGTGTGTGTGTGTGTGTGTGTGTATCTGCTTGTACTAGACCGGACTGATGCCGATTTATAGTGCTAGCCCACTGAGATACCATACTGCAGTTTAACATGAATACCCCACTCAGACACAGTATACTGACTCCGAGCCGACCAGGCCTTGCTTTAACCCCTTAATGCCGAATGCCAGACAGGGTAACAACAAGTACCATCTTTTAACGTCTTTTTGTATGACGCGGCCCGGGATCAAACCCCGGACCTTCCGCTCTCCAGGCGGACGCTCTACCACAAGACCACAGAGGTGGTCCTGAAGATCATGGATGGAGGGCCCATGTATGGTGAGCGAACGTTCACAGATACTGTTTTGTTTGTTTACTTGTTGTTTAACGTCACACTCAACAGTATGACGGTGGTCTGTAAATAATTTACTGTGGACCAGACAATCTAGTGATTGACATTATGAGCATCAATCCACGCAATTGGGATATATGATGACGTGCATCTACCAAGTCAGCGAGTCTGACCACCGAATCCCGTTAGTTGCCTCTTATGACAAGCATAGTCACCTTTAACAGCAAGCATGGGTTACTAAAGACCTACTCTACCCCGGATTTTCAGATACTGCACTGTATTGATTATGTAAAGTGATTTCTAGTTCAGTTTCATTACTCATGCCATTATTAACTTAAATGGAGTAATACATGTAGTTAGAACTAGATGACAAAAAATATGTCGTCTACTTATTTTTTTATTTTTTTATTTTTTTATTTTTCCCGCCTAGTGGTGGGATTTGGGGTGGGACAGGGGACAGGGACATTTTTAGTCCACTAGTCATTATGATGATAAAACCCTTAAAAAACATTTTGGCCAGTTCAGTAAGGACAACAGGTCAAGGGTTGCTTCCTTAGGTTGCTTCTAGGGTAGGAAGCTGTGATTTGTGCTGTTGCGATAGGGACCCTGGGAGGTTGCTTCTGGGGTAGGAAGCTGTGATTTGTGCTGTTGCGATAGGGACCCTGGGAGGTTGCTTCTGGGGTAGGAAGCTGTGATTTGTGCTGTTGTGATAGGGACCCTGGGAGGTTGCTTCTGGGGTAGGAAGCTGTGATTTGTACTTTTGTGATAGGGACCCATGGAGGTTGCTTCTGATGTAGGAAGCTGTGATTTGTGCTGTCGTGATAGGGACCCTGGGAGGTTGCTTCTGGGGTAGGAAGCTGTGATTTGTGCTGTTGTGATAGGGACCCATGGAGGTTGCTTCTGGTGTAGGAAGCTGTGATTTGTGCTGTTGTGATAGGATCCCGGGAGGTTGCTTCTAGGGTAGGAAGCTGTGATTTGTGCTGTTGTGATAGGGACCCTGGGAGGTTGCTTCTGGGGTAGGAAGCTGTGATTTGTGCTGTTGCGATAGGGATCCCGGGAGGTTGCTTCTAGGGTAGGAAGCTGTGATTTGTGCTGTTGTGATAGGGACCCTGGGAGGTTGCTTCTAGGGTAGGAAGCTGTGATTTGTGCTGTTGTGATAGGGATCCCGGGAGGTTGCTTCTAGGGTAGGAAGCTGTGATTTGTGCTGTTGTGATAGGGACCCTGGGAGGTTGCTTCTGGGGTAGGAAGCTGTGATTTGTGCTGTTGCGATAGGGATCCCGGGAGGTTGCTTCTAGGGTAGGAAGCTGTGATATGTGCTGTTGTGATAGGGACCCTGGGAGGTTGCTTCTAGGGTAGGAAGCTGTGATTTGTGCTGTTGTAAAAGGGACCCTGGGAGGTTGCTTCTGGGGTAGGAAGCTGTGATTTGTGCTGTTGCGATAGGGATCCCGGGAGGTTGCTTCTAGGGTAGGAAGCTGTGATTTGTACTGTTGTGATAGGGACCCATGGAGGTTGCTTCTGGTGTAGGAAGCTGTGATTTGTGCTGTCGTGATAGGGACCCTGGGAGGTTGCTTCTGGGGTAGGAAGCTGTGATTTGTGCTGTTGCGATAGGGATCCCGGGAGGTTGCTTCTAGGGTAGGAAGCTGTGATTTGTGCTGTTGTGATAGGGATCCCGGGAGGTTGCTTCTAGGGTAGGAAGCTGTGATTTGTGCTGTTGTGATAGGGATCCTGGGAGGTTGCTTCTAGGGTAGGAAGCTGTGATTTGTGCTGTTGTGATAGGGACCCTGGGAAGTTGCTTCTGGGGTAGGAAGCTGTGATTTGTGCTGTTGTGATAGGGATCCTGGGAGGTTGCTTCTGGGGTAGGAAGCTGTGATTTGTACTGTTGTGATAGGGACCCTGGGAGGTTGTTTCTGGGGTAGGAAGCTGTGATTTGTACTGTTGCGATAGGGATCCCGGGAGGTTGCTTCTAGGGTAGGAAGCTGTGATTTGTACTGTTGTGATAGGGACCCTGGGAGGTTGCTTCTGGTGTAGGAAGCTGTGATTTGTGCTGTTGCGATAGGGACCCTGGGAGGTTGCTTCTGGAGTAGGAAGCTGTGATTTGTGCTGTTGCGATAGGGATCCTGGGAGGTTGCTTCTAGGATAGGAAGCTGTGATTTGTGCTGTTGTGATAGGGACCCTGGGAGGTTGCTTCTAGGGTAGGAAGCTGTGATTTGTGCTGTTGTGATAGGGATCCTGGGAGGTTGCTTCTAGGGTAGGAAGCTGTGATTTGTGCTGTTGTGATAGGGATCCCGGGAGGTTGCTTCTAGGGAAGGAAGCTGTGATTTGTACTGTTGCGATAGGGACCCTGGGAGGTTGCTTCTGGGGTAGGAAGCTGTGATTTGTGCTGTTGCGATAGGGATCCCGGGAGGTTGCTTCTAGGGTAGGAAGCTGTGATTTGTACTGTTGCGATAGGGACCCTGGGAGGTTGCTTCTGAGGTAGGAAGCTGTGATTTGTGCTGTTGTGATAGAGACCCTGGGAGGTTGCTTCTAGAGTATGTTATTCTTCATGTTGGAAATAGAGACAACGTCCTGTGATTCTTGCTGTAAGGATAGGGACCTGTTACTAGCTGTTGGAGGGTGTAATTTGTGCTGTTGCGATCGGTAGCTGTTATTTATGCTGTTGGAATAACGGGAGAGGGACCTGTGATTCTTGCTGTTGGGATAGTGATCTGTGATTCTTGCTGTTGAGATAGAGCGCTATGGATGGTGTGGTTGGAATATGGGAACAGTGGATTACCACTGCTGATCTGACTCCAACAGTTTTACATACACCTATTATTGTCGTATCTAAAGCAATGAACCATATGGGAAGAGCTAGGGACCAACCCCACCCACCCTACCACACACACACACCGAATGGCTCGTCACACCAAAGACCCAGTTCGATAGCCCACCTGGGTACGTTTAAAGCTCATTTCTGGTGCCCCCTGTCGTCATATGTCTTCAATGATGCTGTCAGTAGCTCTGATTACTCCTTTCAATGGGAGTGTGCGTGAACACAATCAGTCGTGAGCCGAGTCCTTGTGTCGACCGTGATGGCATCACGTACAGGGGCCACGATGACCGCAATGCATGTCACAGTTGTGTGAAAGTAGGGCTTTACACCGTTTTGCCAATGTTCCAGCAATATAACGGCGGGGGACACTAGAAATGTACCCACCTGAAGAATCGAAGCCGGGGCTTCGGCGTGACGAACTAACGCTTTAACCACTAGGCTACCCCACCGCCCCTCCACAGTTGAATGTTGATCTGAGACGGTAGAAGCTGCAGTGGTTGCGATACATCCTTTTATTTCCTTGTTTCCAAGGAAACGAAACTCCATGTCTGTGATTACCGGCCGGGGTGTTGCTTGTTCAGATTGATCTGGTAAGTAGACTCGACTTGGCGTTGATATGTGGTATCAGCAATCAACAGGGCAAACACAGGCCCGGAAAATCCTATCACCTCAGGTCTTGAGAATCAACAGCTTGGCATATTCCCGGTTTTCTAATAAAGTTAATCCTTTGAATTGTACAGTATGACGTACTTTACCAAATCACGTAATCGCATCAAATACACCTAACAAAACCAAATGAAAAACATTGTCAATACGTGTCAAACAGTACATATCACATCTTCCCGAGGCAAGGGAGCTAAAGTGGAAACTGGACTCTTAATGTCAGTTAACTCCCTTGCCTCGGGAAGATGTACATATCACAGTCAGTACTGCGTGAGTGAGTGAGTGAGTGAATACGGTCTCACCCTGCATTTAGCAATATCCTGTGTCGGGGAGCACCAAGAATGCACATCACGCGTAATATATAAAACGTCAATGCAAGCGAATAACCAGTCTTGATTATCCACCGGAACAGATTCCATTTGGCGTAAAAGGCAAAATAGCTGTGAAAATTATATGAATGGTCCACTTAAAATCAGTGATGACACCAGGTGTTCGCGTAAAGGGCAAGCGTGCCCTTCCGGTAGCTTATGTGGGAAATGGAATAGAGGCCGGGCGAACGCTCAATCAACCAGACGAACCACTGTACCCTTAGCAGTAGAGGGAGCATGGGTGGCCCAGTCGTCTGAGTCGACGCGATTCGCTGTGCAGAGTTGCGTCCCTTGGGCACGCCAGAAACCTATGATTGTGGGTTCGAATCCCGGTTCGCCCCTGTGATGTTTCTAGGTTTGTCAGCACCATACCCGTGCTCCTGGGTTTCATTGAAGTGGTAAACGTCTGAGACCTGCATCACTTCGGGTTTTCCTCCCACATTAAGCTGACACGCTGTGATATAACTGGAATACTGTTAAAAGCGGCGTTAAACCCAACTCACCCACTTAGCAGTAGATATATGCTTCGGTTGTTATGCAATAACATAATAAGTGATGCACCCAGCTTTCGGATAAACACAGATGGTTGTCATCAAACAATTAACGCCCTTTTGTTTTCAAATGTTTTCTCTGTTGCCATTTCTTAATGTTATCTACATATCTTTCATGGTCTTAGCGTTATCCACATTTTATGTACAACTTACAACTTGCGTTTCTTTTGCGGTTGAGTATATATTTTTCAAACTCCCAAACTGTCAAAAGGCTCCAGTTCACCACTAATCCTATCTTGTGCCAAAGTAGGTGAAGGAATATTAATTGTACGGTTTTAAAGAACTGTTCTGGAAACGAGCGCTACCACCATTACCAGCGTAAGTAAAAAAAAAATATTACTTCACTTATGAAATCTTTCACATCTAGAATCTAAAATAACAAAGTGTATTAATTATGGAAATCTGGAATCAAAGACGTATATTCGTCTTTGCTGATATTAATCAAAACCTCACTCCTGGAATTATTCTCGTTATTTTATACTTTCTTTGGATATTGTTTGATGTCAGAGTGTTGGTCGGTAGTTTTTAAGACAAAATATGCTGGTTTAACTCACCCTCGCCACTAGAATTTAATAGCATTGTAAAAGAAGGTTCGTTTCTGCAGCTGGTATCAAGCATACATAGTCGTTGCGATATGACTAATCATGGACACTTAATATATTTAGGGTCCATGGACTAATACGCTGCCGTTAGATTTTACCCTAATCACTGTAAACACGGAGAATTCGGATTCCGTTTCCAGCTTGAGATAAGTTTTTGAGTCAACCAAGAAAAAGATGGCGGCCAATCTGTATACTATTTTGCTGTATTTGGTTGAACTGTGATTCTCTGGTGAATGTTTTGGGTAAAGTTGGTATCTTTGGGTAAACACTAGGCCTATCAACGCTCTACCTAGTACCTTGTTTATTTGAGAATATATTATGTCTTACTAGGTAATAGTTCCTCACGATTTTAAAAGCAAGAACCCGATAGGCCTATGTCTTGAAACCTGGAGTCGAGTGTAGTAGATGTCAGCCTTTCCTAGTTTGCAAAGGACACGTATTAATTTTCTTGTGTAAGTTACAGCTAGGGTAATGAGTTCATTTAGTTAGCTAACATTATTCCAGAGGACCACGGATACAATTTAGGACATCAGATGAGATTGGTCGGCCCTAAATGTTGACAAATATAATTTTTTTCCATTTCAGGTTTATATTGTTTTGCTTTTTGTTTTGCCAGAGTTACATGTATTTCATTTGTGACAGGCTTGTAAAGAACGAAATACTTTGTTGTTTGGATTTTTTATATGCATTGTTGCATGAAGTACAATGTTAATATGTCTGAATTTTTAGAAAATGAAGAAAGGCAAAAGATTCTAAATTTTTGACAAAATAATGGTTTTCTCCCCATTTCGCTTGCTATGGACACATAGTACTGCTTCATTTAACATGTTATATAAATGACTGCACTACTGTTTAGTTTAGTTGTGCCTTTGTACACTACAACCTGCTTCTTGTTTTGTTTCAGGTGGCGAATTTCTTTAATGCAGTGTTCGTGTACCTGATGTAGAACTGTACCAAATGGAAATTGTACTCAAATCGTCCCAGGTCTAAGACAAAATGGATGACCTTGCATGAATCTGAAAGGAAATTCCGAATTAGTATCTGTACATGGCATACCCATTTTGGACTGATTGTCCTAAATCTTAGCACATTACAGAGACTACTGTGTCAGTTTGAAAAACACAATGCCAGTGAATACTGTTGTTACTTGTACTGATTAACAGACACTGTTACTCAAGAAAACTTAAACATGACTGAGGAGGAAGGGAAAGGTCTTATTGCTACAGGGAAAACCTTTGAAGAACTTGCTGATGAATACTTGGGCGACACCGCAGGGTCTGAGATAGGAGATGATGATTTGGGTGATCTGGCAGAGAAGTATCTGACAGACTTGGTCACAGTTGACTTAGGGGAGAAGACATTCAGTTGTTCTGGGGTTTCAGACAGTGAGAAGGCTACTTCAGAGAAACCAGCCTCGTCTAGTACGCTGGAAAAAGATGCTGCTGTTCTTCCTGCTGCTTTCGGTAAGGATGCATATGGTGTAAAAGTCCTTGCTTTCAGTGTCTGATTCAAAATTGTCAGTGTCATTAGCAAGGGAGTTTTCTTTCTTACAGCCTGGCAGGTTAGAATCAATTTAATCTATCCCGACAGAAATGTTATCAGCCATGGGAATGTAGGCAGGCAGCTATTTCGGACACTTCATGCCTTGGAGAAAGTAATAAGGAACAACAAAATTCTTTTGTAGTGTTAAAGGACATGAAGAAAGCAAAAACAATTTATCATTTATGGGTAAATAAGGAAACAGAATGTTTGTTCTATCTGCATGGTAGGTGGCTGATTTTAGTGATAATGACAAATTGTTTTGTAGAATTTACAGCATGAATTGTTTGTCTTTGATATGTTTTAGCTTAGATATAAGCTTGTTTAGATACCTGTTACCATGGTTACAAATCTTAAATCTGAATTATTTGCCGGAGATATTTTCACTGTTATGGCTTGCAAAATATGTGTATGTCGTTTGATGTATAATATATAGCGAGTCTGCACATCAACATCTTGTATTTCTATCAGTACCTGATTATTCTAATGATGCTTCAATCATCTCAACGCACTGCAATTCACTGTGCAAAGTGAGTCCCTAGGGCATACACAAAGGTATGATTGTGGACTCCCAGTTCTGCTTGATCACGGTTGTTTTCTAGGTTTGTCAGTACCATACCTGTGCTCATTGGTTTCATTAAAGTGATGAGCCGTGAAGATCCAGGGTATAATAGGTCTTCAGCATCTCATGCTTGCCGTAAAAGGCGACTGACGGGATCGGGTGGTCAGCCTTGCTGACTTGGTTGATGCATGTCATCGTATCCCAATTGGATGGTTGCTTGTCGTAAGAGGCTACTAACGGGATCGGCTGGTCAGGCTCGCTGACTTGGTTGATGCATGTTTTTGATCCCAATTGCGCGGATCGATGCTTATGATAATTATCACTGGATTGTCTACTCCAGATTCAATCATTTACAGACCGCCGCCATATAGCTGGAATATTGCTGAGTGCGGTGTTAACAACAAACCAACCAACCAATTGGGTGGATCATGGCATCAATCCCTTGATTGTCTGGTCCAGACTCGATTATTTACAGACCGCTGTCATATAGCTGGAATATTGTTGAGTGTGACGTTAAACATAAAAACCAACATTAAAGTGGTAAACATCTAAGACCTGCATCACTTTAGTCTTATCTTCCAAATCAAGCTGACATAACTGAAATATTGTTCCAAGCTATGTTAAGCCCAACTAAGTCACATTTTATATCAAACAAATGGCGAAAACCTTTCACGTCTGATAGTGCTGACTATGGCCATGAACTCTCTTACTTCCCAACTCCACCAAAGAAGAAATCATGTAAGACCTGATTCACTTTGGGCTTTTCTCTCTACTTTGTTTCCTCCCACATTAAGCTGACACATGACATGAATTGAATACTGTCTAACTCAATCACTCACTGCCTACTTCTGATGGTGATGTTATAGTTCATTCATGCATCATGTAGGATGGTAAACTGTATTATTGCGGTAGTTAATTTATAATGGATTGTAGTGGCGTACACTTACTGACCTATTAAATATGTCATACGCAAAATGTTTCTTTTCTTTGTTCAACTTTTATGACACAATTGATCGATGCTAATTTTCTTGCCGTGTTTGGTTAACAAAGTACCTGTCATTAGCGACTCAAGGGCAGGTAACGCTATATTATTGCGGTATCACTATTTTGTTGTGTGATACGAGTGGATTATTTTGTTTACATCACTTCCTGTTTTGGATTATGCTTAATCAGTATGCTTACGACATATCTTCGGTCAAGGGACTTTGTCGAAACAAATGGGTTCTTTTGTAACGAAGTTCGAATGGAGGTAGGGTAATTCCACTTCAAAAACATTCCAGAAACTATCATAAAAAAGTTAACTTGTATACTTACGAGTAGCCGTGACATAGCGCAAGGAGTCCTGTATTCGATCAAGCAATGAAACATCATGCTTAGTTTTGCATAAGTCAACAGTCGACAGGGTGTGTGGATTACGAGATTTACTGATATCGCGATGATATAGAGCCTGGATAATATGGTCATACTATACATGTTCATCATTTTAAGAAAGGACTTTGTGTTTTACAGATTCGCAAAACAAAAGAAAATCTCTGGGTTCTCCTGCATCATCTGATAGGAAACAAAGGAAAACTGAAGAACTCGGAGAGAAGGACCAGGCCAAAGAGAAACTCACTGCCAAAGTTTCACCAACAGTAACAAATACCTCTGTCAATGATAGTAAACCTGGGAATGCAACATCGGCAGAAACCAAAGGAGCATCTAGTTTAACACAAGAGGGAGGCAAACACGATAAGCCTAAACAAGTCGAAACACAATCTTTATCGGGTGGCCCTAAAACAAAAGAGTCCCGTTCAGGTGGTCCAATGCGCAGTCATGGCAGAGGGAACCATCAAGCCAAATATTCCAGGGATGCTGCAACTAGATACTCTAGGCCAGGGCACAGAGAGCAGGATAGGAGAGGGCTTTTGGGACATTTTCCTTCCAGCCATAATCATAATAATGTTATGGCTAGACCGGAGAGCCAGAACAGGAATGGACCAAGGAGTGCTAGTCATGATCAGAATACATTAAGATGGAACAGTGATCGATTACCGTATGATTCTACTTGCATCGTGGGGCCCCGTGGAGAAGGAAGAGACATTGGTAGGTCAGACTTTCGTGCAACACATCCTGAGGGTTTTGACAGGCGACAACCTCTCCTTATTGAGAATATTGATTTTCGAGGCCCACCTATACCAAATAGACAGCCTATACTGAAGAAAAGAGATGGTCTACTAGATCCCCCTCAACCATCTTTTCAAAGAAATGAGTATGTGCCTTCTGAATTGTGCAGGAGAGATGGTCTGTTAGATCCTCCTCCTCAACCACCGTTCAATAGGGAGGAGAATAGTCGGAGAAATGGTCTGTTAGATCATCCCCCTCAACCACCGTTCAGTATGGAGGAGAATAGTCGTAGAAATGGTCTGTTAGATCCTCCTCCTCAACCAGCGTTCAATAGGGAGGAGAATGGTCGTAGAAATGGTCTGTTAGATCCTCCTCCTCAACCAGGGTTCAATAGGGAGGAGAATAGTCGGAGAAATGGTCTGTTAGATCCTCCTCCTCAACCAGCATTCAATAGGGATGAGAATTTTAAGAGAGATGGTCTGTTAGATCCTCCTGAACCGTCATTCAATTGCGAAAGTAATTTTAGGAGAGATGGTCTGTTAGATCCCCCTCACCAAGCTTGCAGTAGGGAACAGAATATGCAGCCCATGATGAACAGAAGAGATGGACTGTTAGACCCTCCTCAACCGTCGTTCAATAGGGATGAACATTTTCGGAGAGATGGTATGTTAGATCCTATGCAACCATCGTTCAATAGGAATGAGAATTTTAGGAGAGATGGTCTGCTAGACCCACCTCAACCATCGTTCAATAGGGATAAGAATTTTAGGAGAGATGGTCTGTTAGACCCTCCTCAAAAATCGTTCGGAAGGGATGAGAATTTAAGGAGAGATGGTCTGTTAGATCCTATGCAACCATCGTTCAATAGGAATGAGAATGTTAGGAGAGATGGTCTATTAGACCCTCCTCAACAGTCGATCTATAGGGGTGAGAATTTTAGAAGAGATGGTCTGCAAGACCCTCCTCAACCATCGTTCGGAGGGGATGAGAATTTAAGGAGAGATGGTCTGTTAGATCCTCCACATCAATCGTTCAATAGGGATGAGAATTTTAGGAGAGATGGTCTGTTAGACCCTCCTCAACCGTCATTCAAAAGGGATGAGAATTTTAGGAGAGATGGTCTGCTAGACCAACCTCAACCATCGTTTGGTAGGGATGAAAATTTAAGGAGAGATGGTCTGTTAGGTCCTCCACATCAATCATTCAATAGGGATGAGAATTTTAGGAGAGATGGTCTGTTAAACCCTCCTCAACAGTCATTCAATAGGGATGAGAATTTTAGGAGAGATGGTCTGTTAGATCCTCCACATCAATCGTTCAATAGGGATGAGAGTTTTAGGAGAGATGGTCTTTTAGACCCTCCTCAACAGTCAATCAATAGGACTGAGAATTTAAGGAGAGATGGTCTGTTAGATCCTCCACATCAATCGTTCATTAGGGGTGAGAATTTTAGGAGAGATGGTCTGTTAGACCCTCCTCAACCGTCATTCAATAGGGATGAGAATTTTAGGAGAGATGGTCTGTTAGACCCTCCTCAACAGTCATTCAATAGGGATGAGAATTTTAGGAGAGATGGTCTGTTAGATCCTCCTCCTCAACCATCGTTTGGTAGTGATGAGAAGTTTAGGAGTGATGGTCTGTTAAATCCTCCTCATCCGTCGTTCAATAGGGATGAGAATTTTAGGAGAGATGGTCTGTTAGACCCACCTCAACTGTCGTTCAAGAGGGATGAGAATTTTAGGAGAGATGTTCCCTTAGATCCTCCTCCTCAACCATCGTTCAATAGGGATGAGAAGTTTAGGAGAGATGGGCTATTAGACCCTCCTCAACAGTCAATCAATAGGGGGGAGAATTTTAGAAGAGATGGTCTATTAGACCCTCCTCAACAGTCAATCAATAGGGATGAGAATTTTAGGAGAGATGGTCTTTTAGACCCTCCTCAACCATCTTTCAATAGGGATGAGAATTTTAGGAGAGATGGTCTTTTAGACCCTCCTCAACAGTCAATCAATAGCGATGATAATTTTAGGAGAGATGGTCTTTTAGACCCTCCTCAACCATCTTTCAATAGGGATGAGAATTTTAGGAGAGATGGTCTTTTAGACCCTCCTCAACAGTCAATCAATAGGGGTGAGAATTTTAGGAGAGATGGTCTGTTAGATCCTCCTCATCCATCGTTTGGTAGGGATGAGATTATGCAGCCTCTGTTGAACAGAACAGGTGACCTGTTAGCTCCCTTAAACAGAACATTTGTTGGGGATGAGAACAGACAGAGAGAAGGCCTGTTAGAAGCCCCACACCCAACATTCGGTAGGGAGGAGAACAAGTCGGCCATGTTGTTGAACAGAAGAGACAGTCTACTGGATCCCCCACACCCACCCTTAACATGGGATGAGAATAATAGGAGAGATGGTCTGTTAGATCCTCCACAACCATCCCTTGGTAGGGGTGAGAACAGCCAGAAAGATAGCCTGTTATATCCCAGACACCCTGTGCCAACACCAAACAGAAGAGGTCTGTTAGATCCCCCTCTTGCCACGACTCTCAGCAGGGATATGTGTCATTTTGATTACAAAGGGGATGGCAATGAACGACAGGTACACAGATCACACCCCAAGCCTCATCTCCCAAGAGGTGATCAAGGCAATGGTGGACAGTCTGTGAACCAGAGGCCTCACCATCAGCCTGTTGAAGAACCCCCCAAAGCATCCTGCAGTGTTAAGGAAATGCAGAGGACGGATGCAAGGAAACCTAGAGAGTTCAGGCGAGGTGTAAGTGTACATGAATTCGTTACCAAGTTAGTATTGAGTACGTTCAGCACAACTAGAAGTGCTACATTGACAGTTGGAAAATACAGCATGCCAGCAAACTGTCAATCTGCTGTTCCTCCTGAGATCAACTTTCAACTGTTAAAAAGACTTCCAAAGAATATTCAGAATGCGAACACCGTGTTAATGGATTGTCAGCGATGGCTTGCAAGAGGTATGACCCCATTAGTCACACAAGTCAGTATGTTTGGCAAGGCGCCCCAGACTTCAGGTGAGGTTTGTCGGAGAACGACTGATTCATTGAGGATTTTGGCCTGTGCCTGTGTCAACATCTCCAAAGCGAGACGCCTGCTGATGAAATGTCACCTGCCAGAAAAATATGGAGTCTTGTGCAAAATGTCCAACTCTATCACCAGCTATCTGTTTGGTGATAAAGTTGATGAAGATATTCGCTGGATACAGGCAGGAACCTCTAAGAGCAAGATGCTAAATGGACCCAATGAAGAAGCTCACATTCCAAGAATTAAGAGTGATCTTCTTCGGGATGAAAACATTGATGAAGATGTGGCCAATATGGTCAACAGGGCATGCACAAAAGAAGGGATTGTGAAAGATTTGCGAGAAAAATATAAGATACCTTCAAACCTAAACTGTATGACACCCCCAAAGCTCAACCATGAGATATCTAGCATGCTTCCTGCTGCATGTGTGGACTTGGACAGCAAGCTGCACGATGTCCAGTTGTCAACATCTGAAGCTATGGTCCCTGGGGTGTACTTGCTGGAGAGAATTCATGAGAAGATGTATAATGACTGTGAGGCTTTGGGGATGCTTACTGATGCCTTAGCTCTCTTGGGAGATGCTATGTTTCAGTACAATAACCTCCGGATGGAACTCTTCAAGGAGAACCTGCCATTGCAGCTTCAACAGGAGTGTGTTTGGGGTGGTAGAGAGGCTGACAGTAAGGCTCCAGATTGCAAATAATGAGCTGGTCACAGTCAGGGTCTTAGGAGGAGAGGGTAAGGTCATGAGAGATGTTGGGTCAGAGGGAAGGTTTGATATAGAGACAGATTACATTAGGAAAGAAACCAGGAAAGGTGAAAGGTACAGGTGAGGTTAGATTAAAGGGAGGTGAGGTGGGAGGAAAGGTGTGGGCGAGGCTGGAAAAAGGAGTTAGGTGAGGTTAGAAGAATATATGTGAGCTTAGATTATGGGTACAGGTGTGATTAGAATAAGGGGATAGGTTAGGTTAGAGGAAAGGTATTGATGAGGTGAGAGGAACGGGGCTGGTGAGGTTAGATAAAAAGTGAGTAGGTGAGGTTAGACTAAGGGGATGGGTGAGGTTATCCGAAGGGGATTGATGAGGTTATCTGAAGGGATAGGTGAGGTTAGGATGAGGGGATGGGTGAGGTTATCTGTAGGGATAGGTGAGGTTATCTGAAGGGGATAGATGAGGTTATCTTAAGGGATAGGTGAGGTTAGGCTAAGGGGATAGGTGAGGTTATCCTAAGGGGATAGGTGAGGTTAGGCTAAGGGGATAGGTGAGGTTATCCGAAGGGGATAGGTGAGTTTATCTGAAGGGATAGGTGAGGTTAGGCTAAGGGGATTGGTGAGGTTATCCAAAGGGGATAGGTGAGGTTATCTGAAGGGATAGGTGAGGTTAGGCTAAGGTGATAGGTGAGGTTCCCCGAAGGGGGTAGATGAGGTTAAAGGATGAGAGGTTGAGATTAGAATGTGTACTCAGATGAACATGCCATACACGACTGCTGAGCAATTAAAACATTGAAGAAAGTGAAAATTTTGTGATGATGAGGATAGACTGTATGCAGGAAATAATGTTTTGTATTAATTTATGAGAGGCATTGCAACTTTTAGTTTAGTGTTATGTCCCTTAGGTTCCAGGATACACTGGTTGTGATTTGATAACAGGAACCAGTGCATCATGACCCTTGAGTTCTCCTGATGTTACGGTGTGTGTAGGAATCATTCAGACACTTGACATGTAGTTTCCCAATTTGACCGTTCATCATGTCATCGATGTGTGAAATGAGGATCAGATGGTCACAATGTCTGACCATAGTGATGCATGTGACTAGCTTAAGCTTTATGTAAAAGCCCTGCGATGTTGCTGGAATATTGCTGACTCTGCTTTTATGGGACATTCAATTCTCTGTATGCAAAATGTAAAACTTGCTTCACATCCTTCAATATTGGCTTATTGTTGTTTATAGTGATGTAGACATTGGCTAAGTTTTGAAATGTACAACATGCTTTGTACTGAGAGGGAGAATGGAAATTTGTTGATAGAGAAACATGATTGATATATATGGTCTGTGTTATAGGACTGTTGATTGAGTTTATATTGTATGTACAGCCATGAAACATTTAATGTTTTTTCTTGGTGCAGAAATGAGTGGAAGTTTTTTTGTCAACATATTTTCTTTTCACAATATGTATGAATGGCTTTGTTAAGGGATCTTTGTACAGCAAAGCTAACCCTTTCCTAAGTTTAGCAGTGGTCAAGAATATTCTTTTAACAGTTCAATTTAGTGGAATGATTAGGTCATACTGATTTGGAAAGAAATAAGGGAATTTCTTACATTGATATCCTCTAGATGTATCATCTGAGGGAGGACGGGCAGAAGCCTTAAGGTGCTTAAAATTAGATGTGCAGAGTTGTAGGGCTGGGACAGATAACTCGGGTACCCACAGTACTATGCGGACCCATGGTTAGTCACGTGATTTATTGTTTAATGACAAAAAAAATCACTTTAGCACAGTGGTTACATTACAAGTCGCCAATATTCGCATTTCTTTCAGATGATGCACACATTCCTTTTGACTTGCAATGTTTGAGTAAAGATAAAGCTTCAGTCATCTTCAGTGTACAAATGATCTGATCATTTGATACATGTACATAAGTAACTTTTGTTATGGTTGCGGGGAAAAAAATCCAAATCGGACATTTTGTACCCAACTTTTGAGACCTACAGTAGGTACTTGGCTAGGGTTGGGGAATAGGGGGCACAATGCATCACTATGGTACCTGGGTAGTAAATCTGGACCCGTCCCAGCCCTACAGAGTTGTTACCCTTGTGGAGTTGCTTCCCTTTTGTGGATGAGCATTGCACTTTTTGGCTGTGTAGAGTTGCTTCCCTTTTGCGGATGAGCATTGCACTTTTTGGCTGTGTAGAGTTGCTTCCCTTTTGTGGATGAGCATTGCACTTTTTGGCTGTGTAGAGTTGCATCCCTTTGGTGGATGATCATTGTACTGTTGGTTGTGTCACGTTGTGTCCTTACAGTTGCTAGAGCCACTGTCCATGAGTGCAAATCATACATAAGCCTTTGTCTGGTCCTTGTGTTCATATTCCACAATAGTGGTATATCATTGAAATCTGATCATATGGGATTTCTTCCGACTGCAAAACGTCTGAAGCAGTCTTAGGTAGGGGTGAAACGATACAGCATATTTACGTCAAGTCAGGTGGAAACTTCTTAACTATAAATATTTCAGAGCAGGTTCCAAAGGAAAAGCCAGCTGCAGACATGTTCATAGTGACTGTTCTTAGTTGTGAACTTGAAAAGCTAATTACAACACATTTTGCAAAATTTGTCTAACAAAAACGCTGGATTGGGGGTCATGAATAACTAGTAAGTGATTTATTTTAGAAAGTGTATCGCTTTGTATCGATACAGAAAAAACAACATGCGTCGTATCATCCCATGAAAACTCAATGCACAGGGCATCAGTGTATTGTTTCATCCCAATGTTAGGCACATCTAGGGCTGGGACGGGTAACTCAGGTACCCGGGTTGGGTGGGTACTGAGTAGGACCCGGGTACTCATAGGACTACCCAGACCCGTGGTTAGTCACATGATATATTGTGTAATGACAAAAATTATCTAGAACCCTATGGTTACACTACAAGTCACTAATTTTCGCATTTTTTTCTGACTATGCACCATTCCTTCTGACTTTATATATGGTAGAATAAAGATAATACGTCAGTCAACTTCAGTGTATGCATGACCAGATCGTTTAACACGTGTATCTAAATACATTTTGCCAGGGCTATTGTAAAAAATGCCCAATCGGACATTTTGTACCTATCTCTCGAGACCTACAGTGGGTACCCGGGTAGGGTCGTGTAATAAGGGCATGGGTACACGGGTAGTAAATTTGGATTCGTCCCAGCCCTAGGCACATCCCCTCAACTGTCTTGAGATACCTTGTAAAACTGAAATACTATACAAAGGGGCCTTAAACCATGACTCAGGCAAACCACTCCCCACACCACTCGTACATACCATTTCCACGAGTCTTGTCTTCTTCATAACATTAATACTGAATTCATATCCCTTATTTCTTTGCTATCAGTGTCTATTTGGTATACTTTATCTGACATTCAGTTTCAAAATACTGATGTTAAACATTGTATTTGTATTTGTCTCTGTTAATGTTCACAGGAAGAATGATTTCAAATTGCATTAATGATTTATGTGACTGTAATAAACATCATGTCTTACACCATACAAATTAAAACTAATCATGTGTCTGTTTTTTTGTTATTTATTTTCCCAAGTATGAAGTAACACAAGGCATACATACCAAAAAATATGAGTACACTTTTCTGTTTGGGAGCAAAAATAAAGAACATCAGTGCTGAAATCCTCTTAGTCTCTCTGAGGAATAGGCCATCAGAGTGTACTGCATTATGTAGTAATATAACAGCTGCAAGATAAATCCTGAAGAATAATGAAAATGTGGTGTGGTTTATTTCCCGATGAAATATTGTCCTATCATGACGTTATTTCTGGAAATTCGAAGTGCTGGCAACTTGATGGCGTAAATTGGACGACATCATTTTTCAGAGGGAAGTGTCTGGTTAGTTTTTCTCTAAAGATGTAGCTGGGGTACGCAGATAAATACGATGACTGAACAATAAGTTTGAAATACCCACCTGTGAGTACAATGGTGAGGTGAAATGTGAGGTGAGGTGAAATGGGGTTTAACGTTGCGTCCAAGATTATTGCACTTATATAGCGAAGTGCATGTAGGTGTGTGTGTGGCTGTTTGTACTGGTCGGGACTGATGCTGATTTATAGTGCTAGCTAACTGAGATACCATGCCGCAGTTTAACATGAATACTCCACTCAGACACAGTATACTGACTCCGAGCCGACCAGTCCTTGTTTTAGCCCCTTAATGCCGAGCGCCAGACAGGATAACAAGAAGTACCATCTTTTAATGTCTTTTGGTATGACGCGGCCTGGGATCGAACCCCAGACCTTCCGCTCTCCGGGCGCATGCTCTACCACTAGACCACGGAGGCGGTCGTGAGTAAAATGGACTTAGCTGACATTGCCAAAGTCACCCTCATGGTTATTCTCCCTGCAGTGTTTTATTGTACGATAACAACCACAAGTTGTTTATTTCTTAATTATCAGCTCATCACAAGGCATTATTGAAATTTGAAACCTCTGATTAACCAATTGAATAACAGTATAGTGGGAGCAGAAATAACTTTACCGCACCATGTATTTCACCTTTCCTGATTCTTGGTGAGAATGGATAATCAATACCTCATTAGAGACGAATAATTAAAGGCTCTCATATGATACCTCTATATATTGGTCATGTTTGTCCTGCTAATTCACAGGTATTTCCAAGCAGCAGTCATACATCTGGAATAATGCAGAATGATGTAAAACAAACAAATACCATATACTAGTATATTATAGCTAACAAAAGAGATCGATGATCGGAATTATCCTCGATGGGAAGAAAATAAATGATTATCAATCTGAAAATGATGTCATCGATAATATCTTACAAAAACTATTGTTATGAAATACAGTTTAGATTTAAAAAACCCAGACTTCTTATTGTCAATAATGTTGCTGGAGATGGAAGGTAACTGTTTTCGTTGTATCTTAAATGACAACAAAGTAATCTCTGCATTAATGTGCCACCACTCACCAGTGCAGTGGAATTTTTTGTGTGTATTTGCTTAAAGTTACTTCTCCTAAAAATATCAATTATTGATGGATATTTAGTTAATGATTATCAATCTCTAAGATCTGTATCAAAGGCCAGCCCTATTATATATATCTATATCTATATCTATATATCAGTGATACATCTGGAATATTGTGGACTGATATATATATATAGGAAGACATGTATATGTATTACTGTGACAGCACTGTGTGCAAGGAGGCTTACCTCCCACACCCATCTGACACGCTGTGACATAATTAACTGCAATAAAAGCAAAGCAATATTAAAACACAACTCAGTGCAAGGCTTTGAAAATTTGGTATATTTGGAAAAATAAGACTTTTTTTTTCTTATACTGTCTATATCAATTATTGGTGTTTTCAGTGTCTGATTGTGTTATTGCTGCATTGTAAACAGCCCAAGATATTGCAGAATGCTGATAAACTATATCAGAGAACCACCAAGAATTTTAGAAAGGATGACAATTTGCAGATGGTATTATTGACAGTCGACAGGGTTTTGATTTCTGAGATGAAATCCCTACAATAGGTAAAGTATGTTGTTTTTATCTTAGTTATAGAAATTAAAAGGCAATCTGACAACTATAGAAATTACTTCCATTACTTAAAATGAAAAATAGAAAAAAAAAGATATTGATTATAAAAACCAATTAACAATGAACAGTTTGATCTCATGTTTGTGTATAAGATTTTTATGGCCTTACATCCAGCCAGTAATTATAACTGACCATGCTTTTTCTATATCTATGATAATAATAAAAATTCTTATAATGCGCTAATTTCCACACAACAAAACATGTTCAAAGCGCTGACAACACACACACACACGCACGAACATATCAAGTGATGGGGCTGTTCGGAGAGCAATTGTGAAAAGTTTTGGCACCAAAGGATTTAAGTTTCCATGTGTGAGTGACCAGCTGAAGTTTGTCACCAGACCGCAAAATCCTAGATGGCTGGTACACTTGGACAAGTTCCTTGAGTATTTAAATGCGGTCTTTGTCAACATCATGGCTAAATGTGACCACAGATATTTTCAAGCAAGAGACATTTGGGGCGAACTGGGGGTGGTGTGTTTATCTTCCTGGGCACCGTTCAACAAAGCGATCTTAGCACTACAACTATCGTAAGCCAGTGTTAAAGTATGGGAGTTACAATCACCTTAGCGCTGAGATGGCTTTGGTGGAACGGGGCCCTGTAGGCAACTCGGAAAAGCAGCTGCGGCAGAGATTTACACGAGTTGTCGTTCTTGGAAAATACAAAATCAAGAATATTTATTTCGAAATAAGTTTTTGTTGTTATTGACATCTGCTGTTGCGCTGAGAAAAACAGAAGACAACAAATAAAGACAGAAAATAGGTCTTTATACCTATTGAAGTTATTCCCTATATTTTTGGATGGGTATATTCGCACTTTAATAAGATCATAATTCATTAAAACTACAGTGCTACGTTTACAGTTTGATAATGGCGACGAGTTTGTCGAGCACAGAGGACTAGAAGTTTTTGTTCAGCGGGAAGGTGCATGTCTATAGTGTATATCACAATACAAGTAGTGGCATATGTTTTTGCTCTACGCATGTGTTCATGTGAAATTCCGTGTTGTCGCTGTTGGAATATCGGAACATCAAATGCCTAAAATATCTGATAGGTTTGAATGCGTGGAACAAATGGGTAACAATATGTTCGCCACTAGGCCTATGTGAATAATGTTTAGAACTGTCCAAAAGAGGGTTTGGTAACAATGCAGTTTACAGGGCGCAGCATACTGTACCGCTAATTTGACTCAGGCTGCAGACAGTGGATCTCGCGTGACTGATGCTGATGGGGTCGTTGTCCATTAGTACATTAATACAAACATAATGAATGTATGTTACTATTTGTGTCTGTCTTCATACAAGTTAATACTTTTTTGATAAGAAAAAGGGGGAAAAAATGTAAAAAAAGGCCAAACTGAATTTCTACACAGAGTTATGGGAATTGAATTGCCACGTGGGCAAGAGGCCACCCTACATTGCCCTAACTGTTGTCTGCTCAGGTACTTCAGAGATATATCCCAGTTACGGTTTTGTCTACGGAAATGTACCCCAGACAAATTCAAAATACAGAAACGTATCTGGTACCCTACACGAGACCATATTCCCCAACCCGAGACCGAAACCGGTTGATGTTGTAGTTCCGGTCCACCTGATTACGGGTGAATGCAGGCATCACGGAATATTGCAGGAATTTAGATAAATGTACGTACGTCACTGTGTATTATCGTTTCCTCTATGATACACTGGAATGCAAGTTTAGAATGTTGAATTTAACCGTGGTTTAGCATGAAACAGGAGGGTGACGAATACCCCAAAACCGGTTACACGCATTGCGTCCTGCGGCCCTTGGCAAAATGGACTCCTCCTTGGGTTCATTTCTGTTTTTTGATTTTGGCTAGGGTACATTTCTGTAGTACCTGTGCTGACAGCGACCCTTTCAGCGTTACTGACCCCTTCACAATCCTAATGTTTGGGCACCACTTGCTAATCAAAGAGAGCAGGTGATAACGGCCTCAACCTATAGTCAAAACTGCCACACAAAAATATAGTCAATTATAGTGTCACAATATAAACAGTGAAAGGTTTTCTCATTAGTATCAAAGTACTTTCATGTTTTCACAACAGATTGCTACACTGGGAACTCTGCTGGAAGAGATTACAATGTAATATGGGGTTTAACACAGTAACACCCACTAACATGTAGATGTAGGCTTGTTATATCTACCAACCAGTAACACATGTGTAAACCTTGATTACTGTTCTGCATGCAAATCCTGACTAAATTGATTAAAATATTGCCACAAGCTATACCGAATGTATATATCATGGATTTAATGGTGCTTTTGTAGAGATATAATATGACCCTAATATGCAATAACGTCAACAATGCAATTAGTGGAGAAAATGGTGACTGCGCAAACAATCAGGTGCTGATCACTTGGTAAACGAGCACTGAATATTTGTGATAGCACCTGTCGTAAAGTGTTTGCTGAATAGATTAACTCATTAGCATAGCTTTGCTTCAAGCTGGCACGGTGTAGCATCTTCCACATGGCTCTAATTCAGATCCAACAAAGTGTGTCCGGCAAAGTGCACTACTCCCAAGTAATCCTGTATTAGGGCTGATACGATACACCAACTGTGCGATTCAATACATACATGTATCACAATACTTGCACCTGCTCTTATCTGTGGTGCGTAAGTCATCTTTTTCATTGACAAGATGGCAAAATACCTGGCGCACTAACAATTTACTGTTGGCAGTGTTAAGTATGGCACAGTGGATGAAAATATGTACGTTTTCACTACTCATTTTCACTTGTAATTAGTGTTTGGTGTAACATTTATTAAAGAATACATATAAGGAAGAATCGATACTTTTTACTTAGTGCGCGATTGTGATCGAGAAGTAAAAAATCATGATCGACCGATGCATCGGTGTATCGTTACACCACTAAGGCAAAGTTGCCTGTCTGTGGGTGACGAGTAATTGATTGTCTATACTTTCTTCGCTCTCTTGTAACCCGATTACAATCTGATGTTTCGTCCTATTTGTGTTTTTACAATTTTCAGTATTGACCTGTTCGGTCCTTGTAACCCACTCACTATCTGAGGATTATGTTGTTTGATGGTTAGGGTTCATGCTCATTTTATGAGCTCGAGTCTTCCCCAACCTGCTGTTATAAGTTCCTTGAAGTGTGAACCTCCATGGAGTGAGGGCCTAAATATGTCAGAGTTTCTGGGATATACAAAGATAATTGAATTATTATTGATCACAGGCATGCACAGGCATGCAGTGTCAGTCTTCACTTTTTCAATTTGTGCAAAAACCTTGAGTTCAAGACCATTGTGCCAAAATGATCTAAAACAATGGTTCTTCTTTTATTCATGCTAGAGAATTCCCAGCTGTTTCCATGGGAATCTGGAAGTAGTCCATTTGTGTTTTTGATTTCAGTCTTGTGAAAAACGTATGAACGTCAAAATATGTCATTCATACGTATATATCAACATCAGTTTAACAGAACTTCACATTATTAAAGTATGTTATGTTGCGCATTTGAATAGATTGTCGGATGTTGGGACAGAGCCATTTGTCATGAAGTCCATAGTAAGTTGCTGCATCAACAGAGAATCATCACATGAATGAACTCAACCGTGGCTGTGACCGGAACTGTACAATGAACTCAACCGTGGCTGTGACAGGAACTGTACAATGACCTCAACCGTGGCTGTGACAGGAACTGTACAATGAACTCAACCGTGGCTGTGACAGGAACTGTACAATGAACTCAACCGTGGCTGTGACAGGAACTATACAATGACCTCAACCGTGGCTGTGACAGGAACTGTACAATGACCTCAACCGTGGCTGTGACAGGAACTGTACAATAACCTCAACCGTGGCTGTGACAGGAACTGTACAATGAACTCAACCGTGGCTGTGACAGGAACTGTACAATGAACTCAACCGTGGCTGTGACAGGAACTGTACAATGACCTCAACCGCGGCTGTGACAGGAACTGTACAATGACCTCAACCGTGGCTGTGACAGGAACTGTACAATGAACTCAACCGTGGCTGTGACAGGAACTGTACAATGACCTCAACCGTGGCTGTGACAGGAACTGTACAATGAACTCAACCGTGGCTGTGACAGGAACTGTACAATGAACTCAACCGTGGCTGTGACAGGAACTGTACAATGACCTCAACCGTGGCTGTGACAGGAACTGTACAATGACCTCAACCGTGGCTGTGACAGGAACTGTACAATGACCTCAACCGTGGCTGTGACAGGAACTGTACAATGAACTCAACCGTGGCTGTGACAGGAACTGTACAATGAACTCAACCGTGGCTGTGACAGGAACTGTACAATGACCTCAACCGCGGCTGTGACAGGAACTGTACAATGACCTCAACCGTGGCTGTGACAGGAACTGTACAATGACCTCAACCGTGGCTGTGACAGGAACTGTACATGCTCTTAGGGACTAGCTGGAAAGATACCTTCCCGTGACTTCCACCCATCTCAACTTCAAAGACTGCTTCAGAGTTGACCATGACTGTCTGCATTGACTGAATATTTGAATCAGGTCATTCCAACTTTCTGCAAATTCAAGTACAAAGAAGCAACAAATCTGAAGGTCTGCGTCATGATGTTTTTGAACAAGACCAACACATAGAATGGACAGTCACTGATTGAGATGAAAAGTCCATCTTATTGTGTGTACTCTATAAAAACAGCACCTCATTATTAACCAATCCAAGGGGGCATGGGTGGCCCAGTCGTCTAAGGCGCCACGATAGCTGTGCAGAGTTGCGTCCCTTGGGCACGCCAGAAACCTATGATTGTGGGTTCGAATCCCGGTTCGCCCCAATTATGTTTCTAGGTTTGTCAGCACCATACCTGTGCTCGTGGGTTTCACCGAAGTGGTAAACGTCTGAAACCTGCATCACTTCGGGCTTTCCTCCCACATTAAGCTGACTCGCCGTGATATAACTGAAATACTGTTAAAAGCGGCGTCAAACCCAACTCACTCACTCACTCACTCACTCACTCACCCACTCACTAACCAATCCACCGATATGGTTTGGACACCTTTCCAAGGATAGCTTGTAGTCATTATAGAAGACAGGCTTCTATGTACTTTGACCTGTGTATCTGTGACCACAATGAGCAGTTCTTGTATCACACTGTCACTATCAGCTCTGCACTCAACTCTTTCATGATGATCACTGAATGTGATGTATTTGGAAAGTCTTCTCTTTTCAGTTTTGATTCAATTGCCATGGTAGATATATAGTTTAGTTGGATAACATCAACGTCAACATGGTAAAATCTCTTACTTCTTTTTCAGTCTGCGTGGAATGAAGACCTTCTTTCATTAATGCCAGAATGCATGTTCACTGTCTAGTACACCTGTTATGGTCACACCTGTCTGATTACATACAACTGAGAACAATGTCTTCATGTTCTTTTGATGTAAAAAGCATCACTGTCTGTCACTTTAGATATGTTTGATCCCTGGGTATGTACTCCGACTTGTTGTTCCATCTCGTTTCACCAAGCTCTGCAGCTAGCTTCTTATGCGACCATCAGCAAGCTGACTGAAGGCCTTCAACCATAATTTCTTTCTTTTTCTGTAAAAGAACCTATATCTTAAGTTAACAGCACAGTGGGCTATCAGCACTCCTCTGGATCATTAGATTGGAGGTTTGTATGGAACAAGCAACAGCTCCATCAGTGAATGATCCATGACACTTCCATGTCTTCTGATCTTTAGTGATTTCTTACGAGGTCATCTCACTCAAGCTATTCATGGATGGCATGAGCATCTTCATCAAGATGGTTGTCAACACACCTTGATCTTGATGATGCAGGGGTGAGAATCTTCTGCGGATCCACAAATTTGTTAAAATCTGATGGCTTACACTATAAACACCCCCAAATTATGGACCACACTCCATTGCAAAGACGTTTCAGCTGAAAAGGAAAATATCTATTCTCATCCCCAATCATGGTTTCAGCACTGTCAACAGATGGGGAACAGTGTGGTGTATGTCTGACACCCACTGGCAACAGAAGGGGAACAGTGTGGTGTATGTCTGACAGTGCCACAGGCAACAGAAGGGGAACAGTGTGGTGTATGTCTGACAGTGCCACAGGCAACAGAAGGGGAACAGTTGGGTGCATGTCTGACACCCACTTGCAACAGAAGGGGAACAGTGTGGTGTATGTCTGACAGTGCTACTGGCAACAGAAGGGGAACAGTGTGCTTTTTGTCTGACAGAGCCACAGGCAACAGAAGGGGAACAGTGTGGTGCATGTCTGACAGTGCTATTGGCAACAGAAGGGGAACAGTGTGGTGTATGTCTGACACCCACTGGCAACAGAAGGGGAACAGTTTGGTGTATGTCTGACACCCACTGGCAACAGAAGGGGAACAGTGTGGTGTATGTCTGACAGTGCCACAGGCAACAGAAGGGGAACAGTGTGGTGTATGTCTGACAGTGCCACAGGCAACAGAAGGGGAACAGTGTGGTGTATGTCTGACAGTGCCACAGGCAACAGAAGGGGAACAGTGTGGTGTATGTCTGACAGTGCCACAGGCAACAGAAGGGGAACAGTGTGGTGTATGTCTGACAGTGCCACAGGCAACAGAAGGGGAACAGTGTGGTGTATGTCCGACAGTGCCACAGGCAACAGAAGGGGAACAGTGTGGTGTATGTCTGACAGTGCCACAGGCACCAAAAGGGGAACAGTGTAGTGTATGTCTGACAGTGCCACAGGCAACAGACGGGGAACAGTGTGCTTTTTGTCTGACAGAGCCACAGGCAACAGAAGGGGAACAGTGTGGTGTATGTCTGACAGTGCCACAGGCAACAGAAGGGGAACAGGGTGCTGTATGTCCGACAGTGCCACAGGCAACAGAAGGGGAACAGTGTTGTGTATGTCCGACAGTGCCACAGGCAACAGAAGGGGAACAGTGTGGTGTATGTCCGACAGTGCCACTGGCAACAGAAGGGGAACAGTGTGGTGTATGTCTGACAGTGCCACAGGCAACAGAAGGGGAACAGTGTGGTGTATGTCCGACAGTGCCACAGGCAACAGAAGAGGAACAGTGTTGTGTATGTCTGACAGTGCCGCAAACAGCAGAAGGGGAACAGTGTGGTGTATGTCCGACAGTGCCACTGGCAACAGAAGGGGAACGGTGTGGTGTATGTCTGACAGTGCCACAGGCAACAGAAGGGGAACAGTGTGGTGTATGTTTGACAGTGCCACAGGCAACAGAAGGGGAACAGTGTGGTGTATGTCTGACAGTGCCACAGGCAACAGAAGGGGAACAGTGTGGTGTATGTCTGACAGTGCCACAGGCAACAGAAGGGGAACAGTGTAGTGTATGTCCGACAGTGCTACTGGCAACAGAAGGGGAACAGTGTGGTGTATGTCTGACAGTGCCACTTGCACCAGAAGGGGAACGGTGTGTCTGACAGTGCCGAAGTGTTCATGTTTCTGTCTCTGTGATCAGATATCTTTTGCCATCTCGACGTTATCCTTGCCATCAACTTGTGAAGAAACTAGCATTTCTTTAATGGGTTAAGAGGAAGTAGCATGGTCCCATTTTAAAAAAAAAATTTTTTTTATTGTAACAGACCAAAAAGAACACATTAGAATACCAAAATTCATTTTTTGAGTTTTGTTGATTAGTGTTGTTTTGTTTGCAGTAAGGTCAATGTCAGATGCTAAATCCACATCCTTCCGGACATCCCTGACCAGGGGACATGTCCTTATTATTGGCAGAGTTGACCTTTTTCACAGATGGTTCCTCTTCTATCGCAATACTCTGAGTATTCGTGCTCCACGATGAATTTTCCTAGAACATCATGTCCTTGTACTACTGGCATCATGGCCACACATACGAAATAAATCCCTCTTTCTGTCTGTCTGTCTGTCTGTCTGTCTGTCTGTCTGTCTCTCTGTCTCGAATACTCTGGGCTCTGTACAATCAGCAGAATTACAACATTTCAGCTGATCAGTCTGAGTGTTGGCAGGCTTAGACAGATATGATCTGCATGCCTGCTGGAGCAAGGTCCCCAAGCCAATAGAAGATTTCCAAAAGTTACAAGGTCCCAGAACCAAGAATTTCCAATAGTGATAAGGTCCCCAAACCAAGAATTTCCAATAGTGATAAGGTCCCAAAACCAAGAATTTCCAATAGTGATAAGGTCCCAAAACCAAGGATTTTCAATATTTATAAGCTCCCCAAACCAAGAATTTCCAATAGTGATAAGGTCCCCAAACCAAGAATTTCCAATAGTGATAAGGTCCCAAAACCAAGGATTTCCACTAGTGATAAGGTCCGAAAACAAAGAATTTCCAATAGTGAAAAGGTCCCAAAACCAAGGAATTCCAATAGTGATAAGGTCCCAAAAACCAAGGATTTCCAATAGTGATAAGGTGCCCTTTTCTACTGACCACATAGGGTAGCTATATCTTCAGTGCATGGACAACATTCATAGTCTCTCGTGGACAGATCTGATGATGTGATCAGGGAGTTAGATAACCAACTATAGGAAGGATAGCTTCCTGTCAACTCTGAATATGGCTTGGACTAGTCCAGTGGTTGAATGTTTTCTTCTGCACAGAAATTCGATTCTTCATCTTCACTGTAGGAATTATGCCAGTTCTTATGCTTTCACATTGCATAATAAATGAAAGCGGTGAGAAATGCACCTCAGTCAATACAGTGGCCCTGATGCTCTTATAACCACTGTCACCATTGACTTGAAGTCGCTTTCAGTTTGAATGAAATGCTGTTTTCCTCAATCATTCTCACTCACTCAATGGGCTGTATTGTAGGAAACTCACCTCGTATTCAATGAAGTTTACAATTTACTTAATCATCCGTCCAACACGTCCAATCAGCAACTGACAACACTGAAGTGCTAAGGCATATGTCATTCCATCAGCATCCTCGTTCAGGCGTGTCTTGTACATTTTGAGTTCGAGTCACAGTGGGATAATCCCTCAAGTTATGACTCAGAAACACAACCATGACTTCAGCTTTGCTGTGATGTGTCATTTCAAATGTGATCTCATAGTCCTTGAAACACAATAGAATAGGATGGCACTTTACTTGAGGCTTTTAATGACCATACTCTTTTTTTTCTTTTTTTTTTTGGTTAGGATTTTCTTTTCAGAAACTAATTTTATTCTTCAGGCTTTGTATGAGGACCTTTTTTTTCTTTAGTGTTGTGATGTAATCCTTGCACACTCATTTTTCAGGTTGAGTCTGCCAGCAATATGTTGAAACCAGGAAGCGTGAATGCAGTGTGCAAACATTGGCTTAGCGGCAACTGCCTGCAAGGGGATCGGTGTGTATTTCTTCATGGTAAGGATGGCGCTCTCTTTCTCTCTCTACACAGGTGGCGCCATGTTGGTTTTACTCCTAGGTGCATTCCTTTTGGTGCCTTTACAAATCCAAGGTTCACAGGATTGGTTTGGTTGGTTTGTTCTTTTATGCCGCACTCAGCAATATTCCAGCTATATGACGGCAGTCTGTAAATAATCGAGTCTGGACCAGACAATCCAGTGATTGACATCATGAGCATCGATCCACGCAATTGGGATCGATGACATGCATCAACCAAGTCAGCAAGCCTGACCACCCGATCCTGTTAGTCACCTCTTACGACAAGCATAGTCGCCTTTTACGGCAAGCATGGGTTGCTGAAGACCTATTCTACCCCGGATCTTCACAGGTCATGTTCACAGGAATTATGTTCCTTTGTCCGCACTTACTTGCCTTGGACTAAGGCGTGAATGTCTTTACTTGTCTCTCTGGGATTTCCTCCCATACTAAGCTAAGCCTTGCTATAACTGAAATATTGTTCAAAGTGGCATTTTGTTCAAACTTTCTCCTCCCACAGGTATTCCTCACAGGTATTGGCGAAATGCTTCAGGATCCTGACTGAGTGTCTTTCAGCTATTATGTACTTATTTTTTATTTTAATTCTAGTGATATATTTTATTTTTTTCAATCAATGTTTTCCATGAATCAACATTTCAGGAGCAGACACTGACAGTCAAGTGAGCATTGCACCATCTCGAAGGAATCCATCTGTACAGTCTGGTTCAAACTCTTCTCTTCTGGGTAACATCTTTTACCTTTCATTGCAGATATGTGTGCATGAATGTGTGATTATCTTTTTTGTGAGGTACTCGTGTGTTAGTTCGTTTATTTCTCATAAGTATGTTTTTTATTTTTGTCTTTGAGAGATTTTTCAGGCTTTTGCTTTTTTGATGAAGCTGCAGCACTTAAGAACAATATCAGCACATGCATGACAGCGTTTTGGTAGCATTCACAAATAAACTATATATATGTTCCGCACAGTATTTTGCAGAGATACATAACATGTAGAACTATTGACTGATCGCTAGTTTTTTTTGAGTGGTAATGTAGCCTTGAGGTTGGAGTGCTTGCTCTTCATTTTGATGGTACAGGTTTGTTTCCCAGATGGGTACAATGTGTAAAGCCAATTCTTGTGTCCCTTTGGCTAAGATATTGCTAAAAGTGGCATCACCTACTCACTTCACCTTTTTTGTGACGAGTAGTGTTTCATACAAATAAGTGATAAAGTAACCTTATTGAACAAGACAAAACTGCTATCCTAACATAAAGTGCCTTCTCACCAATCAGTCACAGACGAATTCTGTGGTAAAAATATCCAAATTCTGTGGTAAAAATATCCAAATTCTGATGTACAATTACCAAAATTTATAAATTCTGCAGTAAATTGAGCAGTGAAAACATAACCATTTCCCCCTCAAAACTTAATTTTCTCATATATTGTTTCTGAAAAATTATTACTCTTGCATTTAGACATTTGGTTTATCATGTCCACTTTATGTAGTCAAAATTCCGCAAGAACATTGAAAAGTGAGAATTGTTCACTTCAAATTTCGCCTTATTGTAGAATTCATATTTTGTACATTTGAATCACATGTTTTGGACATTTTTCAAGTGCAAAATTTGATAGAAAAGCTAAAAAATAACGAAAATTAGTGTATTAATTTGAAAAGGAAAATTCTGCGATGTTTCTGCAATTCTGCAGATTTTCAGCAAATTTTTCCATGATCACGGATTCGCAGAATTCGTCTGGGACTGATCATAGCATTATGCATGCACATTTCCATTCTAGGCACTATTGGAGTGTTTATAGGTGTGATATTGGTCTTTCAGGCTCCCCAGCTGTTATGAATTATGGACAAGGAACAGTTGCTATGCCCTATCCAATGTTACCTATGGGGAACATGGGAGGCCAAGGTCTTGTTCAGCAAGCCCCCACTAATTTGGCTGACCAAAGACTTTTGAGACTGCAGCTTGCTGCACAACAGATAACGGGACTACAACCACAGATGCCGAGTGCTCAACGCCGGATGCCCAGGCGTCAACAGCAAGTTCCTGGTCTTCATCAGATGGCCGGTCTTCCACAGCATATGGCCGGTCTTCAACAGCAGATGCCAGGTCTTCAACAGCAGATGCCAGGTCTTCAACAGCAGATGCTAGGTCTTCCACAGCAGATGCCAGGTCTTCCACAACAAATTCCAGGTTTTCAACAGCAGGTGCCAGGTCTTCAACAGCAGATGCCAGGTCTTCAACAGCAGATGATGATTAACCCTGTTGGAATGAACATGTTTGGACAAAGTCAGCCAATCTATGCTGCTAATCCTATGATGTCTTTGACTGAACGTCAAGGGCTAGACCCTGATAGCATGAAATTTATGGGCACTAGGTCTAAGAGAAAGTCTAGGTTCCATGATAGCTCAGAAGTGTTGCTTCCTACAGGGGATCTGGTGTCATCAAAACCTGTTCCACTGATGGGTATGAACATGCCCATGACTTCATCAATGATGTTCGTACCACAAGACAACCTTGTGTTGCAGACACCTCTTGGTCAAATGGGAAGGGCAGAAAGTTCTTCATTACAGATGATGACCAAATCCATGGTTCGTGATCCAAGTGATGGTACTATGGATGATGGCCCACAGAGGAAGAAGTCAAGATTCCAAAATCCTGAGTTTTCCAGGATGGGAAATGAAAGATTAGAGTTTGCAGGATCTAATGTGGAATATATCAATAATGATCCAGGACCAGATGACGATTATGTAGAAGACTTTGTTGATGAGATAATGTCAGGGATTGGTCCAAGAATAATTCAACCTGAAGATTCAAGGAAGAATAAGGGGATTTCATTCAAGACTTTGTTTGCTCCAATGCGACAAAGGCTGGAGAAAAACCACAAGTCAGGTAAACTGGGAGGTAGGATCATGACAGGCCAATCTGATGACATGCGGACCAAAGATGACTCCTGGGCATATCTGAGGAACCAAACTGACGATTACCGTAAGGGAGATCCTTTCAGGAAAGACGTCGATAAATTTTCATCACTGGATCCTACCTATCCCAGGAAGGATAATTTTATTCATGGACAAAGGGAAGACCAAGAAGTCAGTCGGAGGGAGAATTATTCTGGATATGGCACACATGGACATGCCTACGGACGTGACAATCCACAAAGTGACAGATTTGATGACCAAGAATACAGAGGAAATGCAGATGATGCAAGTTTCTCGAGAATCTCCAGAAGAGATTATCAATCAAGATACAGTGTTGAAACTGCCAGGGACACGTATGTTCCAGAATACACTGGTCAACATTCTGCTGCATTCAAAGAGAATATTAGCGGCGTAAAAGAGTCTTGGCCAAGGCCACAGAATATTGAGGATCCAAAGCCAAATTCCGATTTAGAACTGGGAGTCAGACCACCAAGAGAAGTCAGGTTAGGGATTGCAATGCCAGAGTTTATTGAAAAGTTTATGAAAACCGCAGGTAGGTATGCAATAGGGGTGCAGCGAGTGACGGCAACTTACAACTTGCCTGGCAACTGTGTGGGGCTTCTGCCACCCAAATTGAACACAGAAACTTGGGAGATCCTGACAAAGAAAGCTCAAAACCGAGATGAGATCTTGCAAGACCTTCAGAGATGGTTTGCTGGAGGAATTATTCCTCTGGTCAAACTTGCTGATCTTTTTGGCAGCAACTTGCAGATTGTTGAGGATGTTTGTCGTTATGCAAGCGATGCTCTAAATGTGTTCACTTTCGTCTGTTTCCTCCTTTCAATGAAAAGAAGGATCCTCATGAGAAATTCCCTTCATAAGAGGTATGGGATCTTGTGTAGAAGACATCAGGCCATTTCCAGCTTCCTTTTTGGTGACAGTCTTTCCAAGGACCTGGATCATATCAAAGCTGGAAGTTTTCACATCCCCAGGTCAGAGAAGGATATCAAAGACACAAATAATATTGATCCAGAATGTGCTGATTTTAAGCCAGCTTTCTTTGCATCTCTTGCTATGCCTGGCAATGATGTTGATGTCAATGTTGCCAACATGATCAACATGGCATGTTCCAGCGACGGTAACCTAGTAGATTTGAGGGAAAAATACCAAATTCCTTCAAATTGCAGTGTACTAATCCCTCCAAAGCTGAATCCTGAGGTTTGGAATCTTGTCTCCCGATCTGGTTTGGATCTGGACTACAGACTTCAAGATGTGCATATGTCTATTGCCGAGTCAATGGTTCCTCTGCTGATTATGTTACAATCAGTCCAGAACAGGACATATGATGAGACTAATACCCTGACTCTCCTCACACACTCTCTGTCCCTTCTAGGAAACTCCATGTATCAGATCAACAGGGTCCGGATGGAGTCCATCAAGAAGAGCCTTCCGTCTCAGGTCCACAGCTACTGCAGCTTCCACTGGACAGGCGCCGAGATGGTTATGGTGGATGATAGTTGATGTGGACTGTTCCAGTCATTATAACTTTACATTTGCTGTTGCAGCTGAGGATGACTGGAGTCATTGACGGGAGTTCTGTTGTCATTTGGCACAAGACACAAGTTCTTGTCTTCATCTTCTCTGAGATGACTGCAAATAGCATTTGATGTTACCATGCCTACGCGGTCAATTCGTTTGGCAATCATCCTCATCAGTTTTTTTTGTTATTATCCTTCATGTTCTTCAGGAAGGTGATGCTCCTTGTATGTTTGCTGCTCATCCCCGTGGGTGCCTACTGCCTAGCAACCAATGCTGGTTGTAGGGATGTTGGATCTGGTGGTCAGGCTCGATGACTTTGTTGATAGCATGTCATACCCTGACAATGTGGACAATGTGTTACAATGTCAATCACTGGATTATTTACAGGCTCCTGTCATTTAGATGGAATATTTCTGAACAAGGTGTTGAGCAACAAATAAACTGACTTCTTGTGTCAAGATTACGAAATTTTGGTTTAATGGTATACCTGGTTGATTAAAGATTTGTAATATGGTGGACATGGTGATGGATTATGTTGAAAGTGCCAAAATACTACTATACTACTGGAAAGCAGTTGTGAATATAGTTAATCTATCTTGACAGATTTACTATAGACATATGAAAATGAGTTCTTGAACTTCTTTGAGTAGTATGTGTCTGAAAATGAATTAATATGAATTTTTGAAGAAATGGACCATGTGGTCCCACAAGATACCCCTTCATTAAACTGAGGGACGCCCACACTGGGGATTAAACATGATCAGAATTATTTTTTTTGAGTTTCAGTTTGAATTTTTTTTTTTCTTAAACTAATTTCTTTTGAAGAAATTACAATGGTCATTTGGGCCATGTTAACTCCAGTGTTGAAAAATCTTTGCAGAGAGAATGTGAAGGTTTGAGTTGATCTAGATATGTGCTCCTAAATCATCTCAACATGATCATTATGCGCAGGTACTTCCAGCATATAAATTGTAAAATGTGTAGGTGCTATTGTTTGCAGGAGTGATTTCTTGACATTCTTGTTGGTTTGTGAGTTACCATTGTAGAATACATCGTGGAAGCCTGATCTATAACATTGCTTATATGGTCCTGGGAAATACAACAAAAAATAGCTTGAACAGATGTTTCTATATCTTTTTTGTTACTGCCGGGGTCAAGGGTGACCCAGTCTAAGGTGCTGCATTTCGCTGTGCAGAGTTGTGTCCCTTGGGCACACCAGAATCCTATGATCAAGATTCAAACCCCAATTTGCCCAGATTATGTTTCTTGCTTTGTCAGCAACCGTCCCTGGGTTAGTCTAAAATTTATCCATTTTTACACATTGTTTAGGGTTCTCTGTTCTGCTGCAGATAAACTACTACTTTGTTGAAGTAGTGTTTGTCAGTATTATAGAACAGGCTTGTTGATGCTTCTGAGGAGGGAAGAGAATACACCAGGCATCGTCCTGCGAGAAGTGTTCATGTGTAGACCACAACTTTGTGAATTGTTTTGACATCTGTGAGAATATGTACGCATAATGTAAAATATAAAGTTTCCAGATGTTTCAACATAATGTAATAAACTTCATCCCTTAATCATCAAATTGTTTTCTTTTTAATTATATTTTATTTGAATATGGAGTGTTATAAATATGTGTCAACATGGCGAATACTGGTAGTTTTCATATATCCTGGGTGGGGTAGCCTCGTGGTTAAAGCATTTGCTCATCACACCAAAGATCTTGGTTCGAATCCTGCATGGGTAAAAAGTGTGAAGTCCATTTCTGGTGTCCCCTGTCGTGATATTTCTAAAAGTGGCTGTATGGTGACAATCAGGCATTGGAAGATATTGTTGTGGCCAGAGCGTTTGCCCGGAGAGCGGAAGGTCCAGGGTTCGATCCCCGACCGCGTCATACAAAAAGACGTTAAAAGATGGTACTTGTTGTTACCCTGTCTGGCGCTCGGCATTAAGGGGCTAAAACAAGGACTGGTCGGCCCGGAGTCAGTATACTGTGTCTTAGTGGGGTATTCATGTTAAACTGCAGCATGGTATCTCAATGAGCTAGCACTATAAATCGGCATCAGTCCGGACTAGTACAAGCAGCCACACACACACACGTGTGCATGCACGTTGCTATATAAGTGCAATAATCTTGGACACGACGTTAAACCCAATTTCAACTCACCTCACCTTTTACACCTTGTTTCATCTGATGTTTTTCACAACATATATGTTTAAGAATCATTTGCAGCTTTAGGCTAATTTCACGTTCATGAAATCGTAACAGTTACACTATACACTATGCGCTATTAGAAAGTAATTAAGGAGTGCATTGCACACTAATACCGAGAATTTAGAAGCTTTGGTGCTGATTGGCTGATCCGAAAGTTCACCTGACTTGACCTGTAATGGTTCCTCCAATCTTCACTCGGACTGGTTGTGGCAGTAAAAGATGTGATTTGATTTAAATTGTGATGTAATTAAACCAGATGTCTTTTATTTTGTTATTTAGGTAGCAAGAGGCATAGGACTTTTGTTTCAAAACTGTACATTGGGCATGCATTTTCCCAAACCATAATTTTGTGATGTTTCCACGATATACAGATTTCCCATATGATTTTCATGAGACTGTTTTATGAAGGACATAAATAAATACTGATGGCTACTTCCACACTCCTAGGAATTTCTTTGTAGGAGACTCCATGGTCTAGTAGATAGAGCATATGCCTGGAGGGCAGAATGTTAGTGGTTCGATCCCCTGCCGGGTCATACCTGGGAACATTAAAACATGGTACTTGGTATCCAACCTTACGCTCGACACACATCATCATAGCGCCATGGGAGGGGGCACGGGTAGCCCAGTCGTCTAAGGCGCCGTGATTCGCTGTGCAGAGTTGCGTCCCTTGGCCACGCCAGAAACCTATGATTGTGGGTTGAATCCCGGTTTGCCCCGATTATGTTTCTAGGTTTGTCAGCACCATACCCATGCTCATGGGTTTCACTGAAGTGGTAAACGTCTAAGACCTGAATCACTTCGGGCTTTCCTCCCACATTAAGCTGACACACCGTGATATAACTGGAATACTGTTAAAAGCAGCGTTGAACCCAACTGACTCACTCACTCACTCACCATGGGACATCCATTATTCAAGGCACTATCACACTTCTCACCCATGGCAGGTGGTACATATATATATAATGTTATGGAAAACAGTGTAATACTTCAAGGTACTGTCACAGATCTCACACTATTGTCCCCAGTGTTGAGAATGGCCATTATTCCAGGCACTTTCACATTATCAACTTTGTCATAGTGCCAGGAAAGACCATTATATTCAAGCCACTGTCATGGATCTCACACTATCAACCATACATTACCAGAAAAGACTTATTGAAGGCACTGTTCCAAGTCTCACACTATCAACCTGATGTGTGAAGATCCGGTGTAGAATAGGTCTTCAGCAACCCATGCTTGCTGTAAAAGGCTTGTCGTAAGAGGTGACTAACAGGATCGGGTGGTCAGGCTCGCTGACTTGGTTGATGCATGTCATCGATCCCAATTGTGTGGATCGATGCTCATGACGTCAATCACTGGATTGTCTGGTCCAGACTCGATTATTTACAGACCGCCATATAGCTGGGATATTGCTGAGTGCGGCGTTACAACGAACCAACCAACCATCAACCTTATGGCAGTGCCTTGGACAACCATTATTCAAGGCACTATCACACTTCTCACCCTATTAGGGTGTCTGGTACACAAAACAGTGTCATATTTGTCAGGATGGCAGGAAGGACCATTTTTCAAGGTACTGTCACAGATCTCACTTTATCGACCTTACTGTGCCAGGAAAGAACATTATTCAAGCACTATCACCCTATAAACTTTATCATAGTGCCAGGAAGTATCATTATCAAAGTTCCTGTCACACTGTAGACCTTAAAGTTCCAGGAATAACCATAATTCAAGGCACTATCACACTATCCGGCCAGGAAGGACCATTATATTCAGACCGCCTCCGTGGTCTTGTGGTAGAGCGTCCGCCTGGAGAGCAGAAGGTCCAGGGTTCGATCCCGGGCCGCGTCATACAAAAAGACGTTAAAAGATTGTACTTGTTGTTACCCTGTCTGGCGCTCGGCATTAAGGGGCTAAAACAAGGACTGGTCGGCTCGGAGTCAGTATACTGTGTCTGAGTGGGGTATTCATGTTAAACTGCGGCATGGTATCTCAGTGAGCTAGCACTATAAATCGGCATCAGTCCGGACTAGTACAAGCAGCCACACACACACACATACACGTGCATGCACGTCGCTATATAAGTGCAATAATCTTGGACACGACGTTAAACCCAATTTCACCTCACCTCACCTCACCATTATATTCAAGTCCTGGTCACAGATCTCCCACTACAGACCTTCCAGTGCCGAGGGCAACCTTAAGTTCTGTCACACAGAAACATTTTTGAAGGGCAGCAAGAGGGTTTCACGTGGTTGTCAACAAATCAAATGTAATTTTGTTGTGCTTCAGGTCATCATATTGTTGATTGGATGTGATGTGGTATGCAATGTTAGAGAGTTGTACAAAAACACAACACGAGGAAACTTTGAAAACAATATTTATTGAATTAACAAGGAGTTTGAGGTCTGATGACAGGGAACATGACAGTGATGTGTACAAGATTATTAAAGGTACAGTGGTGACTGCTGCTGACATGCATGGTGAGGATGATGCACTGTATCCTGAGATCTGAATTACAATAGGCCTTATATTTTTATACCCCCGACCTTTTAGGAAAAAAATTGATTTTATTAATTTTCCATTTTTTAATGAATTTTTCAAACCCTAACCCTATCCATTATGTAATTTGAAACTACTGACACACAAGGCGGGTCGGGGGTATTAGTGAGCCACGCTCACTTTTGCCCTTGTTTAAGATGGTTTACAAGGCTGACCGCAAAAACAGGAAATTAGAAAATAATACAAAATGACCTTTAACCAAAATATTTTGTCAGATTCTGTTTGACAACAAGGTGAAATGAAAACACACAGGATTCTATCACCGGATGTTCATAAAAAATGGTAAAAAACATCAAAAAAAGCATTTATTCTAACGACATAGAAACCCAAACAATTTTCTTTTGGTATCTTGCCAAGTTATAACTTCTTTTTTTTCACATTTATAAGAAGTAGTACCGGTACTTATTGGGAAGTTGAAATAATTTTTAACTGTTGTTTTTTACCATGTACATCCACACTTCTCCCCGGCAAACCCTAAAGACCCGTGAAGATTCCGGGATAGAATAGATCTTCAGCAACCCATACTTGCCGTAAAAGGCGACTATGCTTGTCGTAAAAGGCGACTAACGGGATCGGGTGGTCAGGCTCGCTGACTTGGTTGATAGATGTCATCGTTCCCAATTGCGTGGATCGATGCTCATGATGTTAATCACTGGATTGTCTGGTCCAGACTGGATTTTTTTTACGGACCGCCGTCATATAGCTGGAATATTGCTGAGTGCGGCGTTAAACAAAAAAACAAAACAAATCGAACCCTAAAATGGTGTGGAGTGTGCATAACCATGTGTCCTTGTCTAAGAACAGTTTGATCATACCATCAAGTTTTGTTTGTTGTTTAACTCCGCACTCGACAATATTCCAGCTATATGAGGGCGGCCTGTAAATAATCGAGTCTGGACCAGACAATCCAGTGACTGACATCATGAGCATCTATCTACACATTATGGATACAATGACATGCATCAACCAAGTCAGCAAGCCTGACCACTCGATCCCGTTAGTCGCCTCTTACGACAAGCATGTGTTGCTGAAGACCTATTCTCTACCGGGTTCTTCACGGGTCTACCATCAAGTAGTTCCCAGTAATACTGTAATGGTTTCAAATAGGACACATGGGAATTCAAATTATTTCAAAACTGATAAAAAAATTAAAAAAAGATCATGGTGTCAAAAGTTCACAAAGTGAGTAGAAATATATATAAATATATGACGAAATGAAAAAAAAGGAAACGGATTGAAGTCGGGACTAGAATGTTGTGTACTAATTATACATTGTTTGTTTGTTTGTTGTTTAACGCCGCACTCGACAATATTCCAGCTATATGAGGGCGGCCAGTGATTGATATCATGAGCATTGACTCACGCAATTTGCATGGATCGATGCTCATGATGTTAATCACTATAAAGTCTGGTCCAGTCTTGATTATTTACAGACAGCCATCATATAGCTGGAATATTGCTGAGTGCGGAGTTAAACAACAAACATAACTTCGTTTTAAGCCCGATTTAAATGACACGATGCTTAAATTAGACGTCCAATCAGGATTTGTTAAAACTTGTCAAAATAGCGATATGTTAACACAAGTAACACAATATATGATATGTGAAAACAGCAAAATGTATATAAATCATTTGTAAGAAACATAGAATATATGATAAACACAATAATTTATAAACCAATCAATAAATTAATGGATTGACTAGGTACAGGATTTCATTAAATGCCCCCTCTGGGATGAGCTTCCTCATCAAATGACTGCATGACCCACTGTGCTTACCCTCCAGACTACACACCACATCAATCACAGATCTCAACCTTTTGATAGGTAAAAACTGTTTGATTCTCAGAGATGGAGCCAGAATTTTGAAAAATGGTTTGTGCACAGAATACACAGTTCACAAAGACTGGACCGTGGGCACAGTTAACATGCAAGGTGTCTGAAAAAGTCGGGAGTACTCCCTTGGATCCGTCCGTGATTCTATACATAGTTTGATTTTCATGTTTATTTTTCATTGCTAAGGGACGAGGGTGTTTTACACTATAGATATTTGGTAGTGCAGTGATCAATATTCTATCTATATCAAGACGGTCTGTTATTATTATCCTGGGGAGGTATTCACAAAAGAATTTAAGTCTGAAAAAAACCTTAAGTCTTGGAAAGTTTTTTTACCTTTCCTGACTTAAGATTTGACTTATGTCATATTTATAAAGCGACTAGGCTTAAGTTTTACCAATTCCTGACTTAAATCTTAAGATTGGGTAAGGGTTGGTTTGACTACACGGTGTTTGACTTTAGTCGGTGAACAAAATGGCTGCCGTACTCTTTTTGCGTCGTTTGTTTCGTCAAAGAATACAAAGTCTTGATGAATACAACGATGAGGAGTTAATATGGCGATACCGTTTAGATGGAAATGGCATTAAGTTTGTAGTTAATTTAATCTTAGGTTTTTTTATGAATACCGCCTATGCTTAACCAATGGTTGGGAGCATAAAAAATAAAATTATATTCTGCTGCTTCTTAAAACTCAATACAGTAATGTCTTATAAAAAAGGACCCTTTTTTACCACCCTTACAATGGCATTATACCCAACCATCAAACTTCAAGTTCTCCAACCAACCAACTAGGGCTGGGACAGGTAACTCGAGTACTAGGGTCGGGTGGGTACTGAGTAGGACCCGGGTACCCAATGGACAACCCGGACCCGTGGTTCGTCATGATATTTTGTTTATTGACAAAAATTAACTAGAACTCTATGGTTACCCTACAAGTAACTAATGTTCACATTTCTTTCTGACTATGCACCCATTCCTTCTGACTTTTTATATGGTTGAATAAAGATAAGTCAACTTCAGTGTATGCATGACCAGATTGTTTGATACATCTACATGTATCTAAATACGTTTTGCCAGGGGTATGGTAAAAAAATTCCCAATCAGACATTTTCACCTATCTCTTGAGACCTACAGTGGGTACCCGGGTAGGGTCGGGTAATAGGGGGATGGGTACCCGGGTAGTAAATTTGGACTCATCCCAACCCTACAAGAGACCCCAATAAACAACCAGTCCAATAACATCTGATAACCATGACTAAACCCGCTGTTGCCAGTCCTGAGTCGAGCCACAAGGAGGAGACTGAATAATGCCACATCATTTGCAGCTGCTCAGCTACATATCGGGAAAATGATATGATTGAAGAATGTCATAATGAACAGGTATGTGATATGTAGGAACGTGTAAAAATATACAGAAGTGTGCATAACAGATATGTACAATCAAGATATGCATGAATAGATATGTACAATCAAGATATGCATGAATAGATATGTACAATCAATGGAGACTAGGATCACCCAATATCGGTATTCACTGACATTAAATACTTCACCATACTTGAAATAGTGTTCACCAGGGCCAACTTGCACAAAACGATCTTAGCGCTAAGGCTATCGTAAGCCTATGTTTAAGTATGGCAGTTAAGATCATCTTAGCGCTAAGATCGCTTTGTGCAAGTGGGCCCTGGACTGTTGCCTCAGTGTTCAATATAACCTATTGACTGAAACTTCTGTTTGCATGAGGGACTCTTTACCCAGTAGTGTGGTAATTATGACTTCTGTTGCATGAACCACCAATGTTAATGGAGAAACAATTAAATATAAAGCAATAAAACGCTATTCTGACTCCTATGGTGCAGATTTGTAAATATTGACAAGTCAAACCATAAATTGAAAAATCAGCAGAAATGCTGCCAGGGCATAGAAGACCTCCCTTCTTGGGTCACTGTTTGAAATTTTACTTTGGCATTCATAAATTGTACATTATACTGTGTGTATGATCTCACAATCCCTTGTCTGGAAACATCTCTGAATCAAGGGACCGCCTCCATGGTCTAGTGGTAGAGCGTCTGCCCCGAGAGCGGAAGGTCGGGGGTTCGTTTCGCAGCTGCATCATACCAAAAGACGTAAAAAGATGGTACTTGTTTTTACCCTGTCTGGCGCTCGGCATTAAGGGGTTAAAACAAGGACTGGTCAGCTCGGAGTCAGTATACTGTGTCTGAGTGGGGTATTGATGTTGAACTGTGGCATGGTATCTCAGTGGGCTAGCACTATAAAATCGGCATTGGTCTGAACTACTACAAGCAGCCAAGTCCTGGCAATGTGTACCGATCCCAGACTGTTGTTGATGAAGGGCAGCTGTTGTCAGACCACCCTGGTCACGGTGTCCTGAACGGCAATTAGCTCCTCCACCGAGCCCTCTGATGTTGAACTCTTACTGATGTCTACACCTACAAAAACAACCACAACGTGACTATTAAACACACAAAAAACCCAAATCTGAATAACAAAGTGATAAAATGCACAAGGTGTAGAAATTATGTGTACATGTTTTGATTTGTTTGTTTGTTGTTTAATGCCCCACTCATCAATATTCAAACTTTATGACAGCGGTCTGTAAATAATTGAGTCTGGACCACACAATCCAGTGATTGACATCATGAGCTTCGATCCACACAATTGGGATATGATGACATGCATCAACCAAGTCAGCAAGCCTGACCACCAGATCCTCTTAGTCGCCTCTGACACCAAGCATGGGTTGCTGAAGACCTAGTCATCCCGGTTCTTCACAGGTCGGCACCAAATGGATCAGGCGGCGTGGCTCAGTAACTTTGGTGGTAGCGTGATATTGTGCCCTGATGATGTTGATTGTAGCTCATAACATCGATCACTAGATTGTCTGGTCAGGACTTGATTATTAACATGCCGCTATCATATAGCTTGATACTGATGAGAGCAGCAATAAAAAACACACAAACAAACAATCAAACTGATGCAGGAAAATAACCTGTACAATTATAAAAATTTGAGCGAGAGAGTTGGGTGTAACTCAATTTGAACAGTATGTTTGTTACCGTATTCGACGTAATAAGCGCCCACGGCGATATTTGCTAATGTTTTGGCTAGTGAACAATCCCAATTAGCACCCCTTCCGATTGATCAATGTACACAAGACTTATTTATGCACCCTTAATTATGGGCAATTAAATTCTGGAAAAATACATCGGTCGAATATAAACATTTCAGGCTGCCAGCATAAACCACGAAATTTATCTTTCAACTCTGTTTTTTTCACCAAAATAATATTTTAATAAGAGCCCCTTTTTCTAATTTTGAGAGCCCTGGGCACTTATTATGTCGAATACGGTATATCATGTGTGTCAGCCTGATGTCTGAGGAAAGCTTGATGAAGATAAGTGAAAATCACGAGATGGCTTGGTGCAGACAAACCAAGGATCAGGGCAAATCAGGGATTCAAACCAATGATCCTCAGATCCTTGCACTCCCAAGGGACACAGCTCTGCACAGTGGATTGTCAGGGCAACACCTTGGACAACTAGGGTCCCTGTGCCCACATACAGTATAGTCCCATTAATCCGACATCAATGGTTGCATTTGATTATGTCGGATTAACGAGTATGTCGAATAAAAGAAATTAAGTAGTATCAATGTTCGTGATCGAAAATTGGACAACTACATGATAGACAAGGATTCAAACATGTAATAAAAAAATAAAAAATAAATATTCATATTGTTATGTTACATTGTTGGCGGAATATGTTTTCTAATCATACAACCTCTAAAGTTTAACACAAAACAACTGTTACGGACTGTATGACTTATTCAAAATACCGTATTCGACGATATAAGCGCCCCGCTCTAATAGGCGCCCACGGCGATATTTGCTAATATATTGGCTACTGAACAATCCCAATTAGCACCCCTTCCAATTGATCAATGTACACAAGACTTATTTATTCGTGTATAATACGCACTCGTGTGTTATATGCACCCTTAATTATGGGCAATTAAATTCTGGAAAAATATATCTGTCGTACATAAACATTTCAGACTGTCAGCATACACCTCAAAATTTATCTTTCAACTCTGTTTTTATCCCCAAAATAATATTCTAATAAGAGCTCCCTATTACTAATTTTGAGAGCGCCCTGGGCGCTTATTACGTTGAATACGGTACTTTAAAAAGCATAGTCTGGAATGGAAGTCGCAAATTTGAAACTGGTACCCGAAGCTTAAGAAAGCTGCTTTCTAAGTGGCTAACGTCAACTTCCTGTTTGTCATTTCATTGGTTTCTATTGGAATATGTCCTCGTTGATAGCGCGAACTTGTATCTGATTTTAATAAGATTGAAGTAATCTAAACATGTGATTTATCCTGTTTTCTTTATTTAAAGCATTAATTGTTTATTGTTAAGCAAGTTTATCCCTGCAGCCGTTGTAATATGCAGCTACCAGCTGATTCGTCTCGCATCAAAACACGGGCTGTGCACTCGCGGGCCGATGACCACGGAGTACGCTGATCACTGTGTCGGATTTCGGTAATTCGTTGCAAATTAGGTGTGTCGGAGTCGGAGTGAGAGACTGTCGGATTAACGGGTCTAAATAGCACTCATTTAATCGGTTCCCATCATTAGTGTCTGATAAAGCCGATTGTCGGATTAACGAGTGTCGGATTAACGAGATTTGACTGTACTTTGGGTTGAAGAAATTTAGGAAGGGTGACATGAAATGTAAAATGACTAAATGTGATATGGAAAAATGGTGAAATTGTTCAACTTTGTCTAACTAGAATGGGCATAACGTTCTGAACAACTCAAACAGAGAAAGGACAAGCACCGAAGAAAACACACTAAATATTAGATTAACATGATTCAGAGTTTCTTATGGCCGTCGGCAGACCAATAAAAAAATTAATTTGAAAGATGGTTTGTTTAACTAGCCGGACTTTTGACCGATAGAAATGCTAAACAAGGCGTCACATGTGTCATAATTTCATAAATAAAAAGTACATAGTAACGATAAGCCCTACTTACAGTATCGATTTAATAGAACAATGCACAGCCTGCAAAACTTGTAACGAAAATTCTGATCAGTGCATGTCTTTGCATCATACTTTCTGTATCATAGGGAAACACTGTCAGGAACTTTTGTGACTTAGTCAAGAGCTTTTCTTATTGCAAAGTTCAATGGCTAGCTCGTATGTATTCATCCAATCACGAATGGTATTGCATTGATTTGTTATGGTTTGTCATTGGAAACTCTCAGACTTATTGACTTTTGCCATTAACTTATTACCTTTCTCGGGTCTAAGTCATTGACCTGTATACAGATCTCTGTGATTAATAGAAAAATATAAATATCAACACAGCTGTTCCCTACCTTTCCATCTTCTCTGGGGGAGGAAGAAGATGACACAGGTGAAGAGACAGATGTGCCAGGTGCTGTGGACGTAGCGGTAGTTCTCCACCGTCTCTGCGAAGGAGAACACCGCCGCACCTGACCCCGCAATGACCACGCCCGGCAGCAGGAAGAACACATACCTCTTCCATGTAGGATAGCACCTGCCGCGTGATCGGCACTTTAAGCTCTGAAATAGGAAAACTTAACTTTGTACTTCACTCTTGCAGACTCGTGTTTCTTTCAACCATAGGATCAACTGTTGTTTTTTCTACTCAGTTACTTTTTGTTGTTGTTGTTGTTGTTTAATGCTGCACTCAGCAATATTCCAGCTACATGACCGCAGTTTGTAAATAATCGAGTCTGGACCAGACAATCCAGTGATTGACATTATGAGCATCAATCCACGCAATTGGGATACGATGACATGTATCAACCAAGTCAACGAGCCTGACCACCTGTCGCCTTTTACAGCAAGCATTGGTTGCTGAAGACCTATTCTACAGTTACTGCTATAGTAGCTACCATTCTTGAATCACTGCTACCAGAATGACACAGACTTTGATGGTCAAGATTTGACCGATGGGTTTTGACTGATTATTGTTTTATCACATTATTAGTAATATTCCAACAATCTTACAGAAGTGGATATCAGAAATGGGCTTTTGATATTGTAACCGTTTTGATAATTATTATTTTTGGCATGACAAAAGCTTGAAGCTCTACGCTACCCCATGATCTTGCTTCTTGAGTAGATATGGTTTTATGCCACTTTCAGCAATATTCCAGCAATATCATGGCGGGGAACACAGGAAATGGGCTTCAATGAACACTTTAACCATTAGACTACCCCACCGCCCTCCTGGCTCTTGAGGACACTGTTCTTTATGATCATATATAAGATAGCTACGCGATAAATCATAAAGAACAATGAAGAACGAAGTGGGGTTTATTTCACGATAAAACATTGTACTATCATGACATCATTTCTGGAGGTTCGAACATGCGCTCACAAATAATGACGTCATAAATTGGACAATTTTAGTTTTGAGAGGGAAGTCTGAAGTGAGATGTTCCCCATAGATGTAGCTGGGCCATGCAGATAAAGACAGTGGCAGAACAATTGCATCCAAAATTGAGAGAGATATGACAAACGTTATTAGGAAAAAAGTTACAGTTGTCCGACGTGAGGATTGTGAGACCATGCAGGAAATACCAAACCTGTTTGTAAAATGGACTTGTCCGACATTTCCGAGGTCGGATTCTATTCAGTGAGTCATTATTATTTAAAAATGGGTAAATATTTTTACTTTTTACTAACATCCTTGAAAAGACTGTACATAATGTTAATATCTCATAAGAAATAAACGAATCGTGGTCGTTGTTTATCATACAATAAAACACTGCAGGGAAAACATCGGGGCTAGTGTTTATTGTACGATAAACAATGACCTCGACTTGATTATTTCTTAAATACATGAATTAATCCCTGAGTAGAAATGGCATGGAAATATAAACTATCATGACTCACCCATGACACAGCAAGAAGGACAACTCCACACAACAAAGGCACAACAATCAACCACAGACTTGTATGATCCTTGAGAACTCCTATTGGCAGAACCAGCAGTGCTGCCACCTGGAGGATGACTGTGATTGGTGCCTGTACCCTCGCCATGGCAACGATGGTAAACCACAGCGAGCAGACGGACGAGAGGAAGTCGCAGAAGCTGAGGATGTTGTAGTCCATCATACAGTACTTGTACATCGCGATACGGTCTCCATCACACGCGTGGTACATCTGACAGAGGGAAGAGGAAGTTGTGAAAACTTAAAAGGGGATAACCAAAATTAACGTAGCCCCATCCTCGCTTTCGAAATGTTAACTCACCACGGGGTTTGTATACGCATCATTCCTCCATTACCCCATCTCCCCGAGGCAAGAGAATTAACTGACTATTAAAGTCCAGTTTCCACCCTTGCCAAACTGGGCTGTTATTATGGAGTTACAATTTGGCTGGACTAACGATTCTATGCATAGTCCAATCAAATTGCGCACAGAAATCGAAATCGAAATCCGGTTCGTAAACTGTCGTGCAGATTTCGGTCGATTGCAGGATTTGCTAAACAAGAGCACCACCAACTCGCTGACAGCAGATATTTTCCATTTTTTTTCATGTTTTTAATCAAGGTGCTCACTTGATTTGATGCATTTCACAATGTAAGACCCGTTTTATCACAATATAGATCTTGATTATCGATCAGATCGTCCTGACTCTGCGCCACCATTTTGTGCGAAGCAAACGCAAGCAATACGAGAGGTGGAATCTGATTGGTCCATAGGCGAGGTGTAGAAGGGACATAACAGGTAATAGCCACTGGTGGCGCTATGATCGAGCCCAGTAATTCCAGCCTAGTTCGGCAAGTGTGGAAACTGGACTTTTAAAGTCAGTTAACTCTCTTGCCTCGGGAAGATGCCATTACCCCCGGATACATACAACTTCTTTGTAGTGTAGTTTTGATGTACAGTAAACTACGGTTATAACAAACTCAAAGGGACCACCAATTTCGTTTATATCCGTCGTTCGTCCGTATATTCGTCAGTCGAATACGTATTTCGACCGTCAGACATCTTATATCAAGTCATGTGACATCATGTTACTCGATAAATAACAAAAGTGTGCACTGTACATGTACAGAATATATCCACTTCAATCACTGTGTTACTATTATTAATTGCGGGTGTAGTTTGAGGACAAGGTGTCAATACTTAAGAGTAAATCAATTGTCTTCAAATGTTTATTGACGCTTTGAACAGCAGCGCTTGGCCGCGGATGTTTTGAATGGTGACACGTGAGGAGCTCAGCTCAGAGATTAACAGTTCGTTATACACTTACATATTATCGTAATGTTGACAGAGTACCCACGGGACCACAAGGTGAGTTTGCATTATCCGTTATTTCGTGTATTTCCGTTGAGCGTGTTCGTTATATCCATCAACTTTATATGATAAAAAATATAGCAAACATCCGGTACCAAAAGAGCAGTTCGTTATAAACGTGTTCGTTATAAACGTAGTTTACAGTATGAACATTCTGTCAATTAAATGAAATGATGTTTACAGTGTAAAAAATTCGCCAAAATGTCATTCTGACAACTGGAGTGGTGACATAGTAAAGCAACCAGAACAGATAAAATGTCCGTCAGGAATTTTCTAGGCTAACGATCAAAAGTAACAGAAGGGTAAGCATAAGTACTGTTTAATGTTAGTTCTCAGACAATAACAATAAACTGGTGGATTGTCAACTTAGTAACTTCAACCCCAGACCATCGGGCGTGTTACTTTTCAAAACTGTCTGTCCATCAGCAAAATAGACTTTCTCGGACTGTCGGGCAGGTGGGTTTATTAAACACTGATGTATCGCTCAAGGAAGTCCAAATTCAGGAAGGATATTTCCTTGTGGGCTACCACTCTTACTGTTAGGTCCTGTGGCTAATGTTTTTTGCAGACAAGTGAAAATGAACAGTGTAGTCCGAGTGGGCTTGGTGTACTCACTGTGGAGAAGAACATGTTGTACGTGAAGACCAGGGCCTCAGTGTAGAACCTGCGGTACAGCGCCAGGGCTATGGCAGGAAGGAAGAACAAGTTGCTGAGAGTGAGCAGGAGGATGTCCTCCAGCTGGGATGCTACTGTGAATGCCTCCGACCCATCACTGCACGCATAGCCCCGCCAACCTGGCAACAACACATGGTCTCTCAGCTGACTTGTCAACAAAACAAACAGTTACAATCGTACTAAAATCTCACTTGTTTTGGCTTAAAGTGAATAGGTCGTATTACATGCAAGAACTGATGGCATCCTGACAGAGGGACCACAATGTCCCTACCGGCATGACAGAAGGACCACTACCGGCCTGACTGAAGGACCACTACCGGCATGACAGACGGACCACTACCGGGCTGACAGAGGGACCACTACCGGCCTGACAGAGGGACCACTACCGGGCTGACAGGGGGACCACTACCAGCATGACAGAGGGACCACTACTGGCCTGACAGAAGGACCACTACCGGCCTGACAAGAGGGACCACTACCGGCCTGACAGAGGGACCACTACCGGCCTGACAGGGGGACCACTACCGGCCTGACAGGGGGACCACTACCGGCCTGACGGGGACCACTATGTACCTACCGGCCTGACAGAGGGACCACTACCGGCCTGACAGGGGGACCACTACCGGCCTGACAGGGGGACCACTACCGGCCTGACGGGGACCACTATGTACCTACCGGCCTGACAGAGGGACCACTACCGGCCTGACAGGGGGACCACTACCGGCCTGACAGGGGGACCACTACCGGCCTGACTGAGGGATCACTATGTACCTACCGGCCTGACTGAGGGACCACTATGTACCTACCGGCCTGACTGAGGGATCACTATGTACCTACCGTCCTGACAGAGGGATCACTATGTACCTACCGGCCTGACAGACGGACCACTATGTACCTACCGGCCTGACAGACGGACCACTATGTACCTACCGGCCTGACAGACGGACCACTATGTACCTACCGGCCTGACAGAGGGACCACTATGTACCTACCGTCCTGACAGAGGGATCACTATGTACCTACCGGCCTGACAGAGGGATCACTATGTACCTACCGGCCTGACTGAGGGATCACTATGTACCTACCGGCCTGACTGAGGGATCACTATGTACCTACCGGCCTGACAGAGGGATCACTATGTACCTACCGGCCTGACTGAGGGATCACTATGTACCTACCGGCCTGACAGAGGGATCACTATGTACCTACCGGCCTGACTGAGGGATCACTATGTACCTACCGGCCTGACTGAGGGATCACTATGTACCTACCGGCCTGACTGAGGGATCACTATGTACCTACCGGCCTGACAGACGGACCACTATGTACCTACCGGCCTGACAGACGGACCACTATGTACCTACCGGCCTGACAGACGGACCACTATGTACCTACCGGCCTGACAGAGGGACCACTATGTACCTACCGTCCTGACAGAGGGATCACTATGTACCTACCGGCCTGACAGAGGGATCACTATGTACCTACCGGCCTGACTGAGGGATCACTATGTACCTACCGGCCTGACTGAGGGATCACTATGTACCTACCGGCCTGACAGAGGGATCACTATGTACCTACCGGCCTGACTGAGGGATCACTATGTACCTACCGGCCTGACAGAGGGATCACTATGTACCTACCGGCCTGACTGAGGGATCACTATGTACCTACCGGCCTGACTGAGGGATCACTATGTACCTACCGGCCTGACTGAGGGATCACTATGTACCTACCGGCCTGACAGACGGACCACTATGTACCTACCGGCCTGACAGACGGACCACTATGTACCTACCGGCCTGACTGAGGGATCACTATGTACCTACCGGCCTGACTGAGGGATCACTATGTACCTACCGGCCTGACAGACGGACCACTATGTACCTACCGGCCTGACTGAGGGATCACTATGTACCTACCGGCCTGACAGACGGACCACTATGTACCTACCAGCCTGACAGACGGACCACTATGTACCTACCGGCCTGACTGAGGGATCACTATGTACCTACCGGCCTGACAGACGGACCACTATGTACCTACCAGCCTGACTGAGGGACTACTATGTACCTACCGGCCTGACAGACGGACCACTATGTACCTACCGGCCTGACAGACGGACCACTATGTACCTACCGGCCTGACTGAGGGATCACTATGTACCTACCGGCCTGACAGACGGACCACTATGTACCTACCAGCCTGACTGAGGGACTACTATGTACCTACCGGCCTGACAGACGGACCACTATGTACCTACCGGCCTGACAGACGGACCACTATGTACCTACCGGCCTGACTGAGGGATCACTATGTACCTACCGGCCTGACAGAGGGATCACTATGTACCTACCGGCCTGACTGAGGGATCACTATGTACCTACCGGCCTGACTGAGGGATCACTATGTACCTACCGGCCTGACTGAGGGATCACTATGTACCTACCGGCCTGACAGACGGACCACTATGTACCTACCGGCCTGACAGGGGACCACTATGTACCTACCGGCCTGACGGGGACCACTATGTACCTACCGGCCTGACAGACGGACCACTATGTACCTACCAGCCTGACTGAGGGACTACTATGTACCTACCGGCCTGACAGACGGACCACTATGTACCTACCGGCCTGACAGACGGACCACTATGTACCTACCGGCCTGACAGTTGCATGTGGAGTAGATGATGAGGGATGGGCCGACAATGTACTCTTTGCAGTTGCCGTGTCCACTGCAGGTGTTGCCCACACAGCGGTCAGTTGCCAGCTTCATCTTGACATTGTAGCTGTTGTTGGAGCAGGGAGTCCAGGTGATGCTGTTGGACAAAGGAGGAGAACAAGTGCATTGCTATTTTAAAATATTATCTAAAATGTTAGTGAAATGCAGGTATGGTTTTGACAAACCTAGAAACATAATCAGGTGAACGGAGATTTAAACCCACAATCATAGGTTTCTGGCATGCCAAAGAGACGCAGCTCTGCACAGCGAATCGCGGCGCCTTAGATGACTGGGCCACCCGTGCCTCCCCGTGTGGGTGGATGAGTTGGGTTTAATGGCATAATGGATATCAGTTACATAATGCTGTGACAGTGTAATGTGGTTGGTTGGTTGGTTTGTTGTTTAACGCCGCACTCAGCAATATTCCAGCTACATGACGACGGTGTGTAAATATTCTGGAACAGACCAATACAGTGATTGACATCATGAACATCGATCCACAATTGGGATAGATGACATGCATCAACCAAGTCATCGAGCCTGACCACCCGACCCCGTTAGTGGCCTTTTACGACAAGCATAGTCGCCTTTTATGGCAAGCATGGGTTGCTGAAGACCTATTCTACCCCGGAATCTTCACGGGTCCAGTGTAATGTGGAAGACAAGCCTGATGTGACAGGCAGTACAAAGTCGGATCCAGAGGGGGATCTAGGGGGTCCCCCTTCTTTTGAAAACAAATGTAGTATGTTGTAGACAATCCCTCACTGAGAGCATATTTCGTTATTAGACCCCTCCCTTTCAAAAAATGATGGATCCGCCCACAAACATACCTATTTCGACAAGGATCATAATTAGGGCAAATCTGGGATTTGAATCCATGACCATCAGATCCTGGCACAGCTAAGGCATGAAACTCTGCAAAGCAAACATCACCTTACACCACTGTGACACCCTCACTGTGACGCACCCACTGTGACACACCTGCCATGACACACCTACAGTGACACACCTGCGGACATACCCACTGTGACACACCTGCCGCGACATACCCACTGTGACATACCTGCTGACGTACCCACTGTGACACACCTGCCATGACATACCCACTGTGACACACCTGTCGTGACACACCCACTGTGACACTACTGCCGTGACATACCCACTGTGACAAACCTGCTGACATACCCAGTGTGACACACCTGCCATGACAAACCCACTGTGACACTACTGCCGTGACATACCCACTGTGACACACCTACCATGACACACCTGCCATGACACACCCACTGTGACATACCTGCTGACATACCCACTGTGATACACCTGCCATGACATACCCACTGTGACACACCCACTGTGACACTACTGCCGTGACATACCCACTGGGACACACCTGCTGACATACCCAGTGTGACGTACATGACATGACACAACCACTGTAACACTACTGCCATGACATACCCATGGTAACACACCTGTTGACATACCCATGGTGATACACCTGCCGTGACACAACCACTGTGAGACACCTGCCATGACACACCCACTGTCACACACCTGCCGTGACATACCCATAGTGACGCACCTGTTGACATACCCACTGTGACACACCTGCCATGACACACCCACTGTGACATACCTGCTGACATACCCACTGTGACACACCTGCCATGACATATCCAGTGTGACACTACTCCCGTGGCACACCCACTGTGACACTACTGCAATGACATACCCATGGTAACACACCTGTTGACACACCCATGGTGATACACCTGCCGTGACACAACCACTGTGACACACCTGCCATGACACACCCACTGTGACACACCTGCCGTGACATATCCATGGTGACGCACCTGTTGACATACCCACTGTGACACACCTGCCATGACATACCCATGGTAACACACCTGTTGACATACCCATGGTGATACACCTGCCGTGACACAACCACTGTGACACACCTGCCATGACACACCCACTGTGACACACCTGCCATGACAGACCCATGGTAACACACCTGTTGACATACCCATGGTGACACACCTGCCATGACATACCCACTGTGACACACCTGCTGACAAACCCAGTGTGACACACCTGCCATGACACACCCACTGTGACACTACTGCCGTGACATACCCATGGTAACACACCTGTTGACATACCCATGGTGATACACCTGCCGTGACACAACCACTGTGACACACCTGACATGACACACCCACTGTGACACACCTGCCATGACATACCCATGGTGACGCACCTGTTGACATACCCACTGTGACACACCTGCTGACATACCCACTTTGACACACCTGCCGTGACACACCCACTGTGACACACCTGCTGACATACCCACTGTGACACACCTGCTGACATACCCACTGTGACACACCTGCCATGACACACCCACTGTGACACACCTGTCGTGACATACCCACTGTGACACACCTGCCATGACACACCCACTGTGACACACCTGTCGTGACACACCTGCTGACATACCCACTGTGACACACCTGCCATAACACACCCACTGTGACACACCTGCTGACAAACCCACTGTGACACACCTGTTGACAAACCCACTGTGACACACCTGTTGACATACCCACTGTGACACACCTGCCATGACACACCTGCCATGACACACCCACTGTGACACACCTGCCGTGACATACCTATGATGACGCACCTGTTGACATACCCACTGTCACACACCTGCTGACGTACCCACCATGACACACCCACTGAAAGACACCCACCTGCTGTTGTCCATTGTGTAACAGTACACCGAGAGGGTGAGGGACCACAAGCCAGGCTCGGGGTAGGGCACAAGCACCTGCCCCTTGTGTTCAGGGGTGCTGGTGTTCACCTGGAGCATGTTAGTGGGCAGGGAGGAGACATTACATAGGTTGTCAGATGCAAGAGCTGGAATCTTGTCCCGAAGGATTTGCCCACAAACCTGGACATACTCAGCATCTGTGTCCTGTGGAGGAGAAATGGCAGTCTGAATGTTCCAACAAGAAGCACCATCAATACGATAGGTCATTTTAATAAATGACAAATTCAGGAGATTCAAGATCTAAATATTAAAGGAATAAAAAATAATAAAAAATATTTATCATACCCTATATACCAGTATCCATAAAGTTCAATTGATAAAACATTAAATTATTCATGAAACTGGTAATAATCATGTTGACAATGAACCTGAATCTGATCTACCTCATCACCATCTTCCATGGCAACCGTCCAGACAAGACTCCCATCTATACCTCACATCACACACAAGGATGGAGACAAGCTTATAAAAGTCTTAATACAGGGGAGAACACCAACTACCTCATCACCATCTTCCATGGCAACCGTCCAGACAAGACTCCCATCTACTTCTCCCATCTAACACAAGGATGGAGACAAGCTTATAAAAGTCTTACTACTGGGGAGAACACCAACTACCTCATCACCATCTTCCATGGCAACCGTCCAGACAAGACTCCCATCTACATCTCCCATCTAACACAACGATGGAGACAAGCTTATAAAAGTCTTACTACTGGGGAGAACACCAACTACCTCATCACCATCTTCCATGGCAACTGTCCAGACAAGACTCCCATCTATACCTCACATCACACACAAGGATGGAGACAAGCTTATAAAAGTCTTAATACAGGGGAGAACACCAACTACCTCATCACCATCTTCCATGGCAACCGTCCAGACAAGACTCCCATCTATACCTCACATCACACACAAGGATGGAGACAAGCTTATAAAAGTCTTAATACAGGGGAGAACACCAACTACCTCATCACCATCTTCCATGGCAACCGTCCAGACAAGACTCCCATCTATACCTCACATTACACACAAGGATGGAGACAAGCTTATAAAAGTCTTAATACAGGGGAGAACACCAACTACCTCATCACCATCTTCCATGGCAACCGTCCAGACAAGACTCCCATCTATACCTCACATCACACACAAGGATGGAGACAAGCTTATAAAAGTCTTAATACAGGGGAGAACACCAACTACCTCATCACCATCTTCCATGGCAACCGTCCAGACAAGACTCCCATCTATACCTCACATTACACACAAGGATGGAGACAAGCTTATAAAAGTCTTAATACAGGGGAGAACACCAACTACCTCATCACCATCTTCCATGGCAACCGTCCAGACAAGACTCCCATCTACATCTCCCATCTAACACAACGATGGAGACAAGCTTATAAAAGTCTTAATACAGGGGAGAACATCACCTACCTCATCACCATCTTCCATGGCAACCCTCCAGACAAGACTTACCGTCTACATCTCACATCTAACACAAGAATAAAGACAAGCTTATAAAAGTCTTAATACAGGGGAGAACACCAACTACCTCATCACCATCTTCCATGGCAACCATCCAGACAAGACTCCCATCTACATCTCACATCTAACACAAGGATGGAGACAAGCTTATAAAAGTCTTAATACAGGGGAGAACACCAACTACCTCATCACCATCTTCCATGGCAACCATCCAGACAAGACTTACCGTCTACATCTCACATCTAACACAAGAATAAAGACAAGCTCATAAAAGTCTTAATACAGGTGAGAACATCACCTACCTCATCACCCTCTTCCATGGCAACCGTCCAGACAAGAGTCCCACCAATATCCACAATGTCCTTGAGCTCAAATGGAATGACTGTTGATCTATTATCCATCAGGGTCAGTGATATGTCGGATGGCTTGCTGTCATTAACAAGATACACATAGTCGACTCGGAAGTCTCGATCGGAGTACTGGAACCGATCTAGTTTGGGGTACAGGTTACATGAGGAGGCTGACGGCAAGTCAGTTGTGTTGCCATCCATGACGTCCTCCTCCAGATCACAGTCTGTCACAACATCAATAATCAAGAAATTAATGGACTTTTACTCAAAGTGGAAGGTACCAAAAGTATTGTTCAACAAATGACACAAGATATCCAGGTGACAATTATGACAATTACACTACTCAAATGAAGTTGAAGAACACCCAATTTTATTCTACCAGCGATAGGTGAGGTGAGGTGTAATGGGGTTAAACGTCGAGTCCAAGATTATTGCACTTATATAGCGACGTGCATGCACGTGTATGTGTTTGTGTGGCTGCTTGTACTAGTCCAGACTGATACCAGTTTATAGTATAGTATAGCAGTTTAACAAGAATACCCCACTCAGACACAGTATACTGACTCCGAGCCGACCAGTCCTTGTTTTAGCCCCTTAATGCCGAGCGCAAGACAGGGTAACAACAAGTACCATCTTTAAACGTCTTTTGGTATGACGCGGTCTGGGATCGAACCCCGGACATTCCACTCTCCGGGCGGATGCTCTACCACTAGCCCACGGAGGCGGTCCTACCAGCGATAGAAACTAACCCGTTTAGTCTACTAGTCCTTATAATGATAACAGAAAAATCTTTAAAAAATGGCAAATTTTACTTGTCCTTATTATACCTTAACTATAGGGCAGCTTGGCAAGGACTATAGGACTAGTGCCAGTTTCTAACACTGCATACGACTATAGTTAAAACCAGGACAGATTAACAACAGTCATATGAAAAAAAAACAGGCATTCTTTAACTTCTTTGGAGCAGGATATTTTATGCTGAATTCATCACTAACCCATTCATATCCCCGAGCAGTGTAAAATATCAAGTACAAACCAGTGGTTGATAGCATGAGCACTAATGGGTACTATGACACACTGTCGCTATCACCTGATCCTCATTTATCAGTGGGCTTTAAGTTGAAAAATTCATGAATAATTCGATCAGCCAACTTGTCAATGTTTACTAAATTTATTCTTCTGTTAAACATTTGTAACCCTTTTTATATGAAATGAAAACTTGAAATGAAATGAAACATACCAATGCTTGAAATATTGAAAGTCACCTCAGCGACCTGGTCAGATGTAAATAGCTGCACATGATGCCACGCCCCTAGCCAGGGGGAGATAACTGTGTACATGCATGGCGGGGCAGTACAGAGGGAGCTGTTGGCAGAGATGTTGTTAGCTTCATAGATAGTGACATGTAGGCCGCAGTCTGTGTGGTTACACCCAGAGACTCCCAGACTGTACTGTAACACTGTCTCCCCTACATAGAACCTGTAACATACAAGACACCAGACTGTAACGACTCACCAACAATCTGTGTGGTTACATCTGGAGACCCCCAGATTAGGAGGTACCAACGTTTACTACAATATCTGAAAAACTATCGGACCTACTCCAGTCAAAGTTGGTATGAGATTATTAAACAGTCATACATAACTGGATATTACATTTAGAGACAATCGGTGCAATTGGAAAGGTTGCACAGGAATCACGCACGCACGAATACGGTGTTAGCGTTGGGCGTCTCAACGTGCATGATTCCCGTGCAACCTTTCGAGTTGAGTTGATTGGTTCAACTGTGTCATATGGCCCTGTGACGCAGGGGTAGCATTATGCAGATGGCTGTTTCAATGAATGCTCGTTCCACCCATGACGAACAGGTCTGGTTGTTGATGAAATACAGTGATAGCTAAATAGACAGATTTATTATTCATGCACCGATTGTCTTTAAATGTAATATCCAGGTTTTTATAACTGACTATGAAAGTCCACCCATGCTGAACTAGGCCAGAATTTATGGGTTAAATCATAGCGCCACCAGTGGCTATTACAATTATGTCCCTTCTATGTCCATCCTATTGACCAATCAGACTCCACCTCTCGTATCACTTGCATTTGTTTCAAACAAAATGGCGGCACCCAGTGAAGGCGATCCGATAGATAATCAAGCTTTATATTGTAATAAAACGGGCCTTACTTCGTGAAATCTATCAAATCACATGAGCATTAAAAACATGAAAAGATTTGGAAAATATAATCTGCACGTCAGTTTACAAACAGGATTCGATTTCATTGCGAGATTTTGATTGGACTATGCATAGACTCGTTAGTCCAGCTAAAATATAACTCCATAATACCAGCGTAGTTTAGCAAGGGTGGAAATTGAACTTTTATACTCAGTTAACTCCCTTGCCTTGGGAAGATGTATCTCCCCGACATAGAATCTGTAACATACATGAAGTGTTTCCTACATATATCTGCTTTGTATTATCGCAGGTATTTGCATCACATCATTGCAAGAAATTGTTACAAATACAAGCTATGCATAATCGCAAGTATTGTCGATTTCGTTACACATATTCACTATGTTGGTTGGTTGGTTTGTTGTTTAACGCCGCACTCAGCAATATTCCAGCTATATGACGGCGGTCTGTAAATAATCGTGTCGGGACCAGACAATCCAGTGATTAACATTATGAGATCGATCCACGCAATTGGGATAGATGACATGTATCAACCAAGTCAGCGAGCCTGACCACCCGATCCAGTTAGTCGCCTTTTACGACAAGCATAGTTGCCTTTTATGGCAAGTATGGGTTGCCGAAGACCTATTCTACCCCGGAATCTTCACGGGTCTATTTACTATGTAATGTTGCAATACTTTGCAACACATATTAACTATTAAGACCATTAACTATATAACACAAGTGGAGTATTTTAACCTGGCACAGGACGGATGACAGACTGACAGCAAATGTTACCTGAAAGTTCGGCCTGAGTCGGAAACAACCATGGTGTTGTCTGTTCCCATGGCAACAGTGTCTATGTCTGGATGGATGTCGGTGAACAGAGAGGAAGAGATTTTATACTCACAGCTTCTGGTGAGACCCTGGAATCACACAGATCATCATCATCATCATCATCATCATCATCATCATCCCGAGGCAAGCGTGTCCACTAGCCTATATCAAAGCCTAGTTTCTACCCTTGCCACATCAAAGCCAATTATCTTGGCTCGACCCTGGCGTCACCTCGTGAAGATCACAAGTTATGCCCCTTGTAATAAGAGTGCGATATCCAATCTCATACAGTTTCACAAAAGATGGTGACTACCATAGATGATGACCTAGTCGATAAGATAACAAAAACATTTGCGATTTCATCCTTGACACAAATAACAGAGCCACTCGTTGGGGGGTTTAAAAGATGAAAAAGACATATTCTAGCGGTAAATCACTTTCAGGCAATGGTGTACCAGTCTTGGATGTTGATTTTGTGAAATGTTCTCTGATTGTGCGATAGTCCAATCATGTTTAGCACAGGAAAGTGGGCTTGATGTGGCAAGGGTGAGAACAAGACTTTGATAAAAAGGCTAATGGATGCTCTTGCCTCATGAAGATGCCAATCTTCATGGCTTCATTCTTGGCTCTACATGGTATACTCTTAGCTCTTGTCACCAACTACTATATCACCTTTATCATTCTTACCCTCTAAAAAACTTGCAATAAGCTACGCTCAATAAATCATCATCATCATCATTATCATCATCATCACCAGTCACTATCATACCCATACCTGCAAACTGATTATTGCTTGACTCGTAAGTGAGTGAATATGGTTTTACGCCACTTTTAGCAATATTCCAGCAATATCACAGTGGGGGGACACCAGAAATGGGCTTCACACATTGTACCCATGTGGGGAATCGAACCCGGATCTTCATCTTGACGAGTGAACGCTTTAACCGTTAGACTACCCAATGGCCCCTTGACTTGGTGACAAAACTAAGTGTTCATTACAACAAATTTCAAACTGGTCTTCAGCATTGTCCTTTGTTAATTTGATGATGTGTTCATAACATGCCTTTACCATTAGAGTGGCAACAATTTCAGGGCACACTGGTCATCTATTATGTAATAATAGTATTTATGAGTAATACTTCACTTTTCAAGCAAAGGTCAGTTTACACTTCACATTCATCAGGGCTAGTATTATTCCTGACTAATACATCACAGTGCAAACTACACGTCACAAGTCAAACAAAGCTACCATGTTAATTTCAAAAACTGAGTTTCTGTACTTTTGTTGCTCAACTGACTTTCTAGGTTAAATACAGTAAATCTTGAAATTAATGCGTCTCCAAATTAATACGACTGCTGACCCCTAGCCAAAAATGGGACTGAAAATCAATGCGACTCCCCCCCCCCATCCCAGCGGAATGATACATGTCCTTCCTAAATCCAATCAAACAGCAAATTGCACCACTTATTAGCACTGCGTAAAGTATTTCCGCAATAACAACAAACAGTATTTTCCTGAAAACAACACACAGTTTTTTTTGTTTATTCTGTTGACTGGCATTATGGAAGTTCAAAGGCAATAAAATAATTGAACCAACAACAGTTCACTGATTGGAGTGGTCAATGATGCCTAGTTTGACACGAGTGGGTAGAACTCTTGACCCCAGCAGTGATAACTCACCGGATGCCTATTGCGTAATTCCTATTCTTTGCATGACATTGGTATATACTTGTTACAACTGCAGCTCAATAAACTGTGTTTGTGTACATATTCAAGTTGGTATTTCCGCGATCCAAAGTGTGCAGGCCGTCTTATTGTTGATAGTCATTTTGGAGACATAAACGCGAAGTTTCATTAATGCGAACAAAGACCACTCGCATTTTTTGCATTTAATTCACGCTCGCATTAATTTCAAGATTTACAGTGTATCCTTTTCTGGTAATACAAGACCAACCTTCTGCTGGATGCGAGTATCTTGCCACGGTCTGAAGGCGACGGCATACCAGTAACCCGGAGTAGGCCATGACACGGACACGGGGACGCTGATGTTGTTAGGCACCAGCTGCAGATGATGTTGATGCGAACGTTGGAGGTAGAAGTGATCAGGGAACGTCTCGTTCTTCGGGCTGATGACCGGCAGGCTGCCATACTGGAGGTACCTGGTAGTCATGGATTGCAGATCTACATTGAAGTTTACAGGTATGGAGATTCAGTTCAGGCATTCATTAAACATTACTTTAGAATTTCAAGTTTAAAATTCTTAAGTTGATTTGTAAGTTAAATGGTACTTTGAAAAATTCCTGTCAGAAAATGTTTAAAATATTTGATAACGTCTGCTCTACGTATGTATATCTTACACCATGTTATTTCGACCCAAGAGTGAGTGAGTTGGGTTAAACGCCGCTTTTAACAGTATTCCAGTTATATCGCGGCGTGTCAGCTTAATGTGGGAGGAAAGCCCGAAGTGATGCAGACGAGCAAGGGTATGGTGCTGACAAACCTAGAAACTTAATCAGGGCGAACCGGGATTCGAACCCACAATCATAGGTTTCTGGCGTGCCCAAGGGACGCAACTCTGCACAGCAAATCGCGGCGCCTTAGACGACTGGGCCACCCGTGCCCCCTCGACCCATGAAGATCCGGGCTAGAATAGAACTTCAGCTACCTAAACTTGCTGTAAAAGGTGACTGTGCTTGTCGTAAGAGCCCACAAATGGGATTGGGTGTCAGGCTCGCTGACTTGGTTGACACATGTCACTGTATCCCAATTGCGCGGATCGATGCTCATGATGTTAATCAGTGGATTGTCAGGTGCCGACTCGATTATATACAGACCGTCGTCATATAGCTGGATATTTGCTGAGTGTCGCGTTCAGCAAAAAACAAACAAACAAACTCAGTGAACTCACACATCAACTTGGTCATCATCACAATCTTCGGGATCTTTACTGGCTCTGAAGTTCCATGTGACTAGACTGGTTCCCTCCGGGACGCGGTACTTGACGGGAGTCACTGAGTGGAAGGAGGCATAGCTGTAGACATTGAGAGCTTGTTGCCACTCCACCCCATACGCACCCACTGAAACACAGACAGATACAAAACCCTAGCTACATGAAATCTGCCATTCTGCAATCTCATTAAAATCATATCTTAGTTCTCGCCACTGTAAACAAAGATCTGAGGACATCCCATTAGGGGTCATGTCAGAACGACCTTTCATCCGACCAATCAGAGCGTCGCTTACCAGATCATGAAAGTGACAGTCGGAATGTGATTTCTAATCATGCAGCCTCGAAAACGTTAAAACGGGGTATTCCGAATGAAAGTTACGGGCTTAACGACTGAATCTATACAATCTAGACCATATATTAGCCATGTTCTTTTGTTCAGGTTTCAAATTTTTAAGCGAGAATTTGTCAAAATATGTTTCGAAGTGTAGTCACCAATTTAAAATTAGTGCCGTAAAGCACGAGAAAGCTGCCTCCTGATTGGCTAATGTTGACTTCTTGTCAGTAATTCCATTGGTCGGTCAGAGTTTGCGAAAGGTCGATCTGACGTGACCCATAATGGGATGTCCTCAGATCTTTGTTTAGCAGCAGCAAGAAGATCTGATTTTAATGAGATTGGCCATTCTGTAAATAAAAAGACTTTAAACATTAAATGTCTTTTAATCTGAAATGAGTCAACTCTGATGGTTAGAAATTTAATACAATATGGAGAATTGATAGTGTCGATAAACTGGCCAAACACCAGATAGAAAAGGCCACATGGTATAATCCCTTGCAATTTGTCAAATCCAAATTTTACAGAAGTCATATTGACATTAGGGCTCGATTTAACTATAAAAATCATGCACCAGAGAAACTTATCACTGAAAATGTGACCTAAAATTCATGTTTACAAGCGCCAAGTGCATGTCAAAATTCTTCAAATTTGGCCACACAGGTGAACACATTCGATACCTATAAGCATTATTTACCATATTGCATCAACAATCCCTGTGTTCTGTGTAATTTGTCATGCTTTTAGGGGCTTGACATCTTCAAACTGTGGGTACTTCAAGATTATGTGCATATTTCAAACTGATAAATTGACTAGGTTTTCATGTCGACATGCACCTGGTGCATGTTAAAGGGGCACTGATCTCTGACAATTGACCAGGGACTGGTTGTTGCCTTTGTTGTTTTTTCTCCATGGATGCCCAGATTTTATCTCAGAAATCTTGACTAATTCATGACCTGTGCTGCGCCAACCGTAAGAACATTTGTTGCTTTTATTGATAGTATAAGGGTATATCGTCACATTGATCAACAAAATTAAATACAGTCTTGTCTTGGAAATAATTAATGTTTAATTCATCACCCAGTTACTGAAAATGATAGGATTAAAAGGAAACAACAGTCAAAGTACATGTCTATATTTTTATCCTTCTAATCCAAGCATAATCTATTGTGGTGTTTTTAAGCCCTTTTGAACTTCCTTATACTTTTTAGTCAATCTGTTAAATAAATGGACAGATTTTTCAGTCAGATTGTAACATGACTGAAATATTTAGACATTTTAGAAATTGCCTGAGTGAATAACATTTTACAAACTGACTGTAACATATATACACGCCTACAAACAAAAAGGCTTTTGTAAACAATGATTTAGTGTTGTCTGTCCCACATGGAAGAACTTCCCAACAATAACATAGAGGAACAAGAATGATTCTCTTCAATGCTACAGCATATGAATGAAATCAAAATGCAAGTACGAGGGCTGGTAATAAAGTTCTAAACTTGACTAACTTTCAAATATGGGCCATAAAGTGAACTAGTCAATGTAGTACATTGTTTGAGTAGTTCATTGCAAGTGTATTTTGTCTGTTGGGGCCGTTTGTATATTAGTGGCAGCCAGTTGAATGTGATAGGGTCCAAATGGACACAGAAATAAAAAAGAACGAGAACCGAGCTGTGATCAAGTTTTTGACTTTAGAGAAAAGTGAGTGAGTGAGTGAGTATGGTTTTACGCCGCTTTTAGCAATATTCCAGCAATATCACGGCGGGGATCACCAGAAATGGGCTTCACACATTGTATGTCGGGAATCGAACCCGGGTCTTAGGCGTGACGAGCGAATGCTCTAACCACTAGGCTACCCGACCGCCCCTTTTTAGAGAAAAGTACTCCCCTAGAAATTCATGACTGCATGTCACAAGTGTATGGGGGAAGAGCTCTAGCTATTCCAGTTATAAACCTATCACCGCGTTGCCCTATGTTGCAATACGTTCGTGACAACCTCAGGTAAACCAAGTAGCCAGCTCATTCCAAAACTAGGTTTTGAAATGGGTCACTTCTAAACCTGCTTTGAGGTTTTACATTTCAATTGTAATACCTAGGTTTTACAAACTGGCCTCTTGACAGGAACACAATATTAATTTTTGATTGGTTAAAAGTCACAAAAAAATTTTCATGAAAATGCTATGACGTGAATGAAATCTTAACCTCACATATCGCGTTAAGTTTTGTCACCTACTGTTTTCCCACTAAGCCACCGAGGCAGGTGATACAAACTTGTTCAGTTTTACATGTCATGACTCCAGTTGGTCCATGCTGCACTATGTTTTTCTCTCGCACACTTAGATCGAATTGCTTTTAAACCGCAACACACTGTAGTGTTTCCCTATAAGGTATATCAATGTTTTCTTAATTCTTCTGGTATTTCTTGCATTTAGACGGTTCATAAGTTTGATAAACACCCCTCAAGGTTTTGGTTGAAAATCTAAAACCTTGAGCTCGGGACAACTCAACTGATCATTCCTCTCTTGTTGCGCTGTCATGTGCATGTTACATAACATACATTTCACCCCACTTCAGACCTGGATTTATAAGCCGATCTTAAGCCCTGTTTATTGACCTTTTTCACACTTCACTACTTCCGGTTTGAAAGTGAGGCTTGGAGAGCAGAAGGTGAAGGCCGGATAGCACATGAAACACATGGAGATGTCAACAAGACACGCAATCGGGACAAACTGTGACAATTTAACCATCCCTGTACATTTATCGTAAGAGCTGAACAGACTTAATACAAATGCTACTGAGATCTTGTAAAGAATAATTCATTGTTTACACACCATTAAGCCAAACTATTTATTGTTAGTTAAATAACTTTGCGGATTGTATTTGAAGTCGAAATATTGACCTTTTGATCATATCTAGATATAGATCTATGTCAGAAACTAACTAAATTGATATGTATAAATTGATTATGTATCAAATTGTAATCTACTGAGAATTTACAATCGTAACAAATAAGAATTTTGCATCAGTTGCGTATTTGATGTACATTGTAATGGACTCAAATGCATTCCAATAAAATATTAGACCTCTAGATCTACTTGTGCTGTTGTGATTGTGAACAGTTGTTATTTTGATTGTCAATGTTGACAGATTAGATAGCATGAGGTGTAATATTTCAACTGAATTATTTCATAAAGGGTGTGTAAATATTTGAAGTAAAGTTCAGTTTGATCTGCAATTTTGTAAACAATATTTCTACCAAAATAATATTTACTTTACTATACCAAATTATTCATGTCATGAAATGAACAAAACCCCAACTAATTAATGGCCAGTAAATGTTCAATCTACATGTGATCTTTATATAATTTACAGAAACAGATAACTCTTTAACAGTCTGTATTCAAATATTTCAAATGCATAAATTGATATTGACATTACTATAAACTTAAAGTATAAACAGAATTATTTTTAATTCCAATGCGTATTGCAATCATAACTCATTTATTCCCTTTGTTTAATTGTGAAACTCATCTGGTTTTATGTCCACAAACATGTTTTGAAACTTTAAAACCAAATAATTTCTTTTTGTGCAAGCAATTGCCATGTATTATTGATTATTAAGATTATTATAGTTGTGCTTACTGTGTCATTTTGCAATAATTATATTGTTATGATGTAATAGTTTACTATTGTTAACAATCTTTAGAACCTTAGTTTATTTCAATCAAGTCAAGTGGTGTGATCATTTTGATAATTTGTATAATTCAATCAAAACGAGAAATATTTTTTTTTATAAATACATAGAAGAAATTTGTTTTCCTTGTCAAATAACGATGATAGCATGAATTTATCTCATCTTGTGATCTGACAAAGTTAATTTTTTCAAGTCAAGATATCAACTTTAGTAAACCACAAGAAGAGATAAACATTTCATTTGACAAAAAAGATTCAAGTCTTATATTTTCTTTGTGATCTTCATGACCTTAGTGAAAACCATAGTGTCAATGAGGCAGACCGACTGTAGGTGTGACAAAACGTGATATTTCACGTGGTTTTAATAAAAATCTTTTTTATTTCATTCTAGTGAAAGTATGTTTTCAGCATGGTCAGACTAAACAAAGTATTTCATGGTTAAATACATACCGGTAATACAAATATCAAAACGTGTTTCATTAAAACAAGAGTGAATTTCTGTGTGACATTGATATAAAGAGCTGTAGTACACTGTCATTAAATTGATGCATCTGTTGTGTTTACTGTTTACACCGAATATAGTGTTTGAGTTTTAGACATATCAGATGAATTGATGCCTTCAAAATTGTTCTTAAGTAGCATGTAATGTTACACACTGTGATTAATTTTCCTTAAATTTCTCTATTTCAGAAGAATGTTGTTTTCTACATAAGCAATATTTTGAGAGAGGGTGAATATTCATTGTTTATAAAAATAATTATGGAAGTAGAAATATTATTACAATATTATTGATTATTCATTTCAGGCTTAGAGTCCAGCGAGTCAACACAATGAAGTACTAGTATCCGGTGATGGATGTCTGGAGGAGCTTTCTGCTGACAATAACACACTGGTTACAATGTGCGTCCTGTCAAAGGACGATGAAGTGAAAAGCCATATTCATATAATCAACAAATGTGCTTCCTGTCACATTTCACTTAAATAGGACGAGGAAGTGAAAAGCCTTATTCACTCACAAAACAAAATGGCCAATATTTATCAGACACTACAAAAGTACATTGTACCATTTGTTTACAAGCGAGAAAATTATTTTCTCCTGGAATTTAATGAGGTGCTGTTGACTGACAAAGACACCCGGTCCATGTTAAGTTTTGAAAACTTATATTGTGAGAAATAAAGACATGAAAATTTCGGTTTGTTTTTCTTTATTAAATATGAGAAATCCAGATTGAAGTTGATTCCTTTTCATCTTTTGTTATTTTATCTGTACTCATATCTGATCAAGACATTTTCAAACTATTCAGGATAAATTTATTAGTAGCTTCCTTTTGATATACAATTACCTATCATCATACAGGATTAGGTCAGGGTGTTCAAGAAGTTGGTGTTTGTATCAATTCTTATATTTCTTCAATTTCATCCATTATTTATATTTATCAATTTTAAGTTTCCTTTTAACTTATTTAAACAGTTCACACATTATTACTTTTGTCGTGCACGGTGCAATCTCAATCGGTAATAATCGGTTAAATAAATGATGTTTGAAGAAAAAGTATCATCTGTCATTGTACACACTGAATAGAGTTATCGCCCCTTCTGAATATTTATTTTGACACACGAGTTATTTTGTGAACTAATTTCATTTACATCGTAATATGTTTAGATGAAAATCATAGCAGAAAAAGTGTTTTTTGTCAACTGGATTCATGGCAAAACGAGTGCGTTGTGCAGCAAACACCACTATGAAACGTGAAATAAACATGATCGACGATCTCGAGTTGCCAAACCACGCATTGACTGAGCAAATTTGCAAAAGTACACTGACGTGTTTCATGTTATGCGGTTCATTTACGATACAAAACTTCTGCCATTGAATGTACTGTCACAATGAACCAATATGCCGACGAGGTTATGATAAAACAATCTATTTCTGAAATACGTATCTCGAAATGCACCTTTTGATTCACTTCCGGGATCCTGACAGCAAAATGCTAATTCCAGTGTATTACAGGCATATTTTAGTTGGACCTCAGGATTAAATGTGAAATATCTTCTGTATTAGATACAGAGGATACCATTTTTTTCTTCTTGAAATGTCCATCAGTGAAATGCACAACATGCTGTCTGCACATGTTCCCTATCAGCTGATGCGACTCACACTGCATGGAGCTATGCTCTCCAAGCCTCGTTTTCGATCCAAGATGGCGAAAGTGTGAAAAAGGTCAATATGCACACTCTTTGCCCCCAGGGTAAATATACCCACGTGGGCAAAGGGTAAAATGGGGTTGTGTTTGTATGCACTTGTATACTTGGGGGTAGATCATTCTCATATCATATAGACTCCCTGATAATATCAATAATTTAACTCATTTGAGTCAAGACAATGGAGAGGTTTGGATGTAGTGCTCGGAAAAGGAGAAGGCAACGTTGTATGCAGGGATTTGCTCTTGCAATAAGCTCGTCTTTTCTACGAGAAAGATTAACCTGGATGAAAGAAAGAAGCAGAAGTTGGAGGTACGATATTGTTTTAAAAACATTTGATGAAGATCAATGGTATATAATTACCCCTGACACAAGAAATGCCACATGGGAACCTTTGTCAGGTGCTACCACTTATTATATCTGTAATAAATTCATTAACTGAGTATCAAGTGAATGATGACAAATACACAGGTGGCGGTTTATACCTTGAAACAAGGATGACAAGGGAGTAGTCATTGTGGTATAATTCAAGGTTAGAACTAAACTCAAAAGCTTCACTAGACCTGATAATGTTAAAACAATGGGGAAATTTTGAAATTTGTACTAGCCCAAAGGAATTTGTACTTGACCCAGGATAGCGGGATAGTGTTAATTTCTATTCTAACCCTATGATATGCAATTTAGTTGCCTGAACAATAAGGGCTGTTGCTGTTTTAAGTATATGGACTGAGTTATTGTTGCAAATATAATGAGTTAAAGTATTTGCTATAAACATAAAGTACATAAATGTAGGCGGTCAGGTAGCCTAGTGGTTAAAGCATTCGCTCGTCACGCCAAAGACCAGGGTTTGATTCCCGACATGGGTTCAATGTGTGAAGCCAATTTTTCTGGTGTTCCCGCCGTGATATTGCTGGAATACTGCTAAAAGCGGCGTAAAATCATACTCACTAACTCACATCAATGTACATAGGCATTTACTTAACAAGTTGATTTTATTATGCCTCACCCAAATGTTTTGCAGGGGAAGAAGAATATGGTCCGTCCGTCATGTTTCGTTTCCAGAGCATAACTCGTACACCAGTCAATATTTATTCATGCAACATGGTATACGCATAAGGCGTACAGTGAACTGGAGCCTTGTGCTATTCAGGAATAATTGGTATAATGCATGTACTGAACTGATGGGTTTTGTTATTGAGGTGTTTTTTAAGATTTTGCGTTAACAAATTGAATATGGGTTTAAATGAGGGTTTTATTTTGCGGTTCAGTCATCTGTCATAGACCGCCTCCGTGGTCTAGTGGTAGAGCATCCGCCCGGAGAGCGGAAGGTCCGGGGTTCGATCCCCGGCCGCATCATACCAAAAGACGTTAAAAGATGGTACTTGTTGTTACCCTGTCTGGCGCTCGGCATTAAGGGGCTAAAACAAGGACTGGTCAGTATACTGTGTCTGAGTGGGGTATTCATGTTAAACTGCGGCATGGTATCTCAGTGAGCTAGCACTATAAATCGGCATCAGTCCGGACTAGTACAAGCAGCCATACAAACACACACACGTACATGCACGTCGCTATATAAGTGCAATAATCTTGGACGCGACATTAAACCCCATTTCACCTCACCTCATCTGTCATAATGTCAGCTGTATCCCAAACTTTTTTTGGTTTAATGAGGTACATATACATTGTTTGATTTATGCACATATTTAAATGGGCGGGGGTAATTGATCTTCTCGTTCAGTTTACATCCGATAGTCAACAGTATACAATAACCATGTGCAATGGCAAAATGGGGTTTCATTCACGGCTTCAAACAAATCAAATGTTTATGTTTAATATTACAGTGAGTGAGTTTGATTTTAGGCCGCTTTTCGTAATATTCCAGCAACATCACGGCAGGTGACACTAAAAATGAACTTCACACATTGTACCCATGTCGGGAATTGAACCCGGGTCTTTGGTGTGACGAGCAAACGCTTTAACCACTAGGCTACCCGACCGCTCCTTTAATATTATAGGTTTATTGACATGACAAGTATTAAATATCAAGTATGAAACACAGAGATAGGATCCAAAACAATCTCAATCATCGAATATCACAAAATTCAAAAATTCAAAAATGCTTTCACTGCGAGGATACATTTATTTATCATACTATAACCATCAGGGTATTTCCAAATAACAACATCCGATGAGCGTCGCCATCCTTTCTGTCTGTTTGTTTAGGTTGAAGAAATTAATTAACATGCACCCTTTGTGATATCAAAGTATAGATAGATTACAGGTAACCAATAATTGCTCTGAAATGCGTAATAGATACTGTCTCAAAAGTATATTTACTCTCTTCTTACAGAAGATATACCAAACTCTTGTCACAGTTAGTTGTGTTGGCGAGCAAATCGGGCAGTGTTAGACAGCCAGATAGAAACCAGAGTTTAGTGCCCCTTTAAATCAAGTTCTTAAAATTGAGGCTTCTGGAAAAACATTTGAGACAATCCTACACGCTGCACCTGGCAATAATTTTCTTAAGTGACAGGAGGCAATAAAGATACTGGGTATCTACTTGATCACTGGCAATAAACTAAATAGGCCATGTTACCCAGTTAATATTCAGGCTTCAAGACTTTGTCCATCTGCTATCCAAGTTAATTTTGATGTACAGTTAGAAATCCCTATTTGATATTAATAACTGTCACTGGTGTTACTATGCATATTAAAGAAGACAGTTATTATGACAAAATTAAAACATATACCGTATTCGACGTAATAAGCGCCCAGGGTGCTCTCAAAATTAAAAATAGGGGGCTGTTATTAGAATATTATTTTGGTGGAAAAAAGAGAGTTGAAAGATAAATTTTGTGGTTTATGCTGACAGCCTGAAATGTTTATTTGCAAGAGATACATTTTTCCATAATTTAATTGCCCATAATTAAGAATGCATATAACACACGAGTGCGTATTATACACAAATAAATAAGTCTTGTGTACATTGATCAATCAGAAGGAGTGCTAATTGGGATTGTTCACTAGCCAATATATTAGCAAATATTGCCGTGGGTGATTATTACGTCGAATACGGGATTATATATTATATTTCTAATGCTTAACACATAGAATCTATTGATTATGTATCTGATCTGATGAATTTCTTTAAAACAAAAACACCAATATTTTCTAAACCATGTTATGGTATCACTCTCTTCATCACTTTGGTCCACTGGTACAGACCCTCATTGAAAGGAAGATGCTCCCAATGTACGCAGCAACACGAGATCATATACATACATATACAACTACATGTATATGGATCAACTAGACACTGGTAGTAACACGGATATACATCACATCTTTTAACCATTATAAGGGTAGAATTTATCAAGCTCCCCTTGCCCACTCGTGATCGATCTTCAATAAACACAACTTCACTGGCAAACGTCATAAATTTTCTCCATTTCGATACAAGAATGTGAACAAGTGTCAGTTAAAATTGTGGTTATTTTCTCTGCCCAACCTACCTGAAAATATCAAGATACATACAACGTATCTTTCCATGTGTGTTTGGTCAACTTTTGCGTCCCCTTCCTCCCTTCACCACCAGGGATTTGTCACTCATAATTTCCGTTCGTGTTATACCAGAAAACAGCGCCGCTTGTCAGAATGAGGCTCTAAACCCAGGGTCAATTTATTCAACGTTACACATTTAGGCAAATCTCTTCATCAAATATGTCCCTAAGAGTGAGTGAGTTTTATTTTTACGCTGAATTCAGCAATATTCAGGATATCAATCCTCTCTCTGATAAGTTTACTGCCTACAAAACACTACATTTGGTTCTTAAAAAAAGGTGGATGGGGGGAGGGGACAGACTAGTGATGGAGTAGAAAACCATATGCTAAGTTTGAATTACGTCTGCTGTGTACAAGTCCAGAGATTCTCCTGCTTATAAGTAAAGAAACACGTTTAAAAAATATTTCGTTTTGCAACACAGTGCGGGCAGTTTCAATGCCTCGGCACAAACTTTTCTTTTGTAATTGACTCAGCATAACCAGAGAGCATATAATATCTATTATATTGTCTCTGGCATAACTGGGGCGGTCGGGTAGCCTAGTGGTTAAAGCGTTCGCTCGTCACGCCGAAGACCCGGGTTAGAATCCCGATATGGGTACAATGTGTGAAGCCCATTTCTGGTGTCCCCCGCCGTGATATTGCTGGAATATTGCTAAAAGCGGCGTAAAACCATACTCACTCACTTACTCACTCTGGCATAACTAGTAAATGCAAAGTTCTGAGTTTATAGTGAAACTCGGGGTGTTATGCTGCTGAGTTTATGATGAAGTACAAGTTAATAAATGGTGTTAACCCCAAGCCTTTGGCCTTTGGCATTCGTGTAAGGACAACAGATAACCCGTAATTCCGAGTTTCGACAAGGTTATTCCTATATTCTCCAAAGAAAATTTGGGGATAAGGAAATATGAAAGTTGTCAGCTTTGGAAATTAAGTGCCAGAGATAGAACGGTGATGAACGCCTGACCTCTCCTGCTTCAAACTAGTAGACCACACAGCCAGACGCAGCCAAAATGTCCAATGTGTGTCAGTCTGCGATTTGCAGACTTTAGAACAGGTTTCTGCCTAGGTCAACACAAAATGGTAATGATCGGCCCCGCAAAGGGCGGCCTAGGTCAAAACACAAGTCCAGGATCGATAAATCAGAAAACAGGCTTTACGAATCTAAGAACTTATAACTCGCTTGCCTCGGGAAGATGGGTACCATAAGGTTTGTGCCCACCGTGCACGTATCGTAACTGCGACCGCCTTCAGCAGCAGAACATCACTAGAATGCAATGACCAGCCTTGGAACCTGAACTTTCCCCCTCATAAATAAAGCGACAAAACCCTTTCCATATCCAATAGAAATCTCTGTATAAAGCAGAATCGATGGTATGATTCCCACTATAATATCATAAACATGTGTTTATGAATCACTATCAAATAGTAATGATACCAGGTGTTCGCGAAAAGGTGAGCGTATCTTGCCCCACCGGTGGCACCCGTCACAAACACCTGCAAAGGCAAGTCATTTGTTCATTTGGAAAATACACGGGAACATATGGTACAAGACAAAATAGGGAATTGCATCCGACATCATTTTTGTCACTGATGCGTCAAAGTTGGACATGTCCTCCACATATCTACCATAAAACGTTTTGAAAGCTTTATAGGCCTTGAATGTTGTAACCTTGATCATACAACTTCTCAGCAAGAGTTGTATGACGCTCTTTGAAATCTTGGTAGAAAGAGCGTGCTCAATTGTATCTCAAAAGTTGTGAACTGTAAACACCAAAGGCTGGAGCTGCTGGAATATTGCTCGACACGAAGGGAAAGTTGACTATTGGAAAGTTGAAGTTATCCCTCTTGTCATACAGTCTTGTGCACGGAGAGTGTTTTGTCACCCATGAGACTGTCTCATTGGTCTCCTCTACGTCTTGTTCAGGTAACGCCAAGAACATGATCAGCATTCGTGACCAACTCGTGTTATTCCGAGACAAGCCGAAGAGCGACTCGTGCCCCTCTCATGGCCATTTTTGCGACCGGGTTCCGTCTTAGCGCAAACGGGCATACCTAAAACAATTGTCAATTCGTTGCGTAATTGTTCACATGTCTTTCCCCATATATTATATATATTTCAGATGTAATTTAAAGCACATCGGGACGTGAGGAATTATACAGTATGACTGAACACATTTAACTGTGTCTTGGGTATATTTTTAGATGCAAGACATATGTAAAATCAAAAATTGTTTCTGAGGGATTCTTTGACGAAGAACTTGAAATCATACGCGCATTCTGATTGGTTTGTCGTATTTTCGCACATTACATTCATTGATAGGGGGACGAGTCTTCTTTCAGGTTACGGAAAGGGGCGAGTGGTGACGAATGTATGATCAGGAGACCGACGTCAAAGGCCACCACTACGTTAACCGAACTGGGCCTGGCGCTGCAAGAGGAGTGGAGACCTGACACCCTCAAATTGTCACTGGGAGATTGATTTGGGCCATGCCACGTCGTATATGTTTGACTAATCGTGGGGACACGAGCCACTATTGATCAAGTCACCACAAAGGTTCTTTTTTTACTACACACCCCTGTCGTCTTTCGTGGTTGTTTGCTTTGCACCCTTACAATAAACCACAATAAACCAAAATCGCTGTTCTGTTTACTGTCATGTTACACCTAGCCCTTCCTTTTTTCTTATCCACCCAACCGCCTCCGTGGTCTAGTGGTAGAGCGTCCGCCCGGCGAGCGGAAGGTCCGGGGTTCGATCCCCGGCCGCGTCATACCAAAAGACGTTAAAAGATGGTACTTGTTGTTACCCTGTCTGGCGTTCGGCATTAATGGGCTGAAACAAGGACTGGTCAGTATACTGTGTCTGAGTGGGGTATTCATGTTAAGCTGCGGCATGGTATCTCAGTGAGCTAGCACTATAAATCGGCATCAGTCCGGTCTAGTACAAGCAGCCACACAAACACGTGCATGCACGTCGCTATATAAGTGCAATAATCTTGGACGCGACGTTACACCCCATTTCACCTCACCTCACCTCACCTCACCTCTTATCCACCCATTACCGTCACTCGACACCTCTTTGTATTTCTGTAACCACCTGTATTGACCACACATGATTATTGAAAACAGCCTGAGGGATGTTGTTCTGAATGTCAACGAAAGATTGGCCTAACTGAGCTCCGTTACCGACTGGTTCTAGACCTGTCGTAGGCGTCGGACCATCACATCCCAGATATGTTCTATGGGGGAGAGGTCTGGAGAATTGGACGGCCATGGCAGTACAGCAATGTTAAGCTGCCTAAAAAAGTCTGTTACAACACGTACAATATGTGGCCGGGCACGTTCCTGCTGCAATATGTGACGTTACGTCCCTGCATTTGCGCAAAGGGTAGAACATGATCTCGAACGATGTCGTCCTGGTCGCGTACGCCATTGAAATAGCCATTAACAATGATGAGTTGTGTTCTCGTATGAGTTGTGAAGCTACCCATACCATTACTCTTCAACCACCAACTTATTTGTTTGTTTGTTGTTTAACGCCGCACTCTGCAATATTCCTGCTATATGATGGCGGTCTGTCAATAATCGATTCTGGACCAGACAATCTAGTGACTGACATCATGAGTATCGATCCACGCAATTGGAAAACGATGACATGCATCAACCAAGTCAGCGAGCCTGACCACCCGATCTCGTTAGTCGCCTCTTAAGACAAGCAATGTCGCTTTTTACGGCAAGCATGGGTTGCTGAAGACCTATCCAACCCGGATCTTCACGGGTCTCCACCAAACTAACGATGTTGAGTAAAGAAAGCGTCACTAGAACGTTCTCATGGGCGCCTGTAGACCCTTGCACGACCATCTTATCTGTCCAGATGAAACCTGGACTCACCTGTGAACAGTACACTGTCCCAGTCCTATCTTCTGAACCCCATACTGTTGCTGTCTATGCACCAAGCTGACCGTGCCTGAAGGTGACGTGGAATAAAAAAAAAATGGGCGTATCGCTGGACTTCGGGGCCGGATGGCGTGCTCCCTCAACCGGTTGCTATACCGGCTATGTCACTAATTGGTCTTAACCCAAGAACTGTCCGAGCTGTTCAGGTGGCAGTTAGGTATCGATTCTGTAGATGCACCAACCGAATATGGTTGTCTTGTTGACGTGACGTCACAAGTGGACGACCGGCTCGTGGCAAGTCATGAGTGTTTCCCTGCTGCATGTGTTTCCCGTCTTCATGGGGATGATATTGTGTTTCGATGAACATTAAAATGTCTGGCAATTTCGTTTTGCGACATTCCTATTTGCAGCATACTCACGGCGCCTTGACGTAGCATTGTGTAAGCCTTATTTACGGTTAAACAAAAGTGTTTTTATCAACATTTGATAGCAAAACACCAATTGTGTGGTGTTCGCATTAATCATGCTCCTAACAAACATTTTAACGTCAAATTTTGGGAGACATGTGTTCATGAATATGTATTGAAGGATGCATTATATAATTTCAGAATATATTTTAACTGAACTCTATGTGAAGCACGTTTTATTTCTGTCAGTATTGAACGGCCTGTGTTGTATTATTGTGCTTAACAATGTCACTGATTTAGTACAGTTATCTTCAGGTTTTAGTGTGTTTATTATTAAAAGTAGCAGTCTGTGAAGTTAATATTTTTTATGTAATTATTTATAAGAATTGACTTCCGTATGTTTTTGCGTTTATGGAGGTAAAAGCGTAAATATCGGTATCACACTGTTACGCGGATTTAGGCTATGCACACCATAAACGCAAAGAAATTATTGATGTAAATTCTTAAACATTACCTGGGTTTTTTTTAGTGTGTGAGTGTGAGTGTGAGTGTGAGTGTGTGTGTGTGTGTGTGTGTGTGTGTGTCACTCCGAGAGTAAAAGGCAGCCTGTATTGTTCAGATGACGTCATGTAAACAATTTGTGAATTTTCTCAACATAGAGCGCTGTTACGTGTTTTGGCTTCAATTGACTAATCAACATTGGGAATCCCTAAAATGCACATTTGCAAATATCGGACACTTATTACACACGATCATTCATTAGTCCTCG